TTGAAATGTTTCGCCAGAACAAAATCAAACTGCAACATTTTAATGAGAGTAGATAATATAACAGCGGTTTCTTGTATTAATAAAATGGGTAGTATAAAATATTTGAATCTTGACAATATAACGAAATCGATTTGGAAATGGTGTGAAGAGAAGGATTTACGAATTTTTGTATCTTATATAAAGTCTTCTGAAAATATGGTGGCAGATACTGAATCTCGAAACCTGAACATAGAGACAGAATATTGTCTCGATATACATGCATATAATTTGATTACTCAACACTTAGGCAGTCCTGAGATTGATTTATTTGCATCTAGTGAGAATGCAAAATGCGATAAATTTGTATCTTGGAAGCCCGACCCAGATTCATCAGCCATTGACGCGTTCACATTATCTTGGTCAGCATTATTTTTTTACGCCTTCCCTCCATTTTCAATTATTTCTCGGATCTTGAATAAGATTATCCTAGATCAAGCGGAAGGAATTGTGATTGTACCTGCGTGGAGCACACAACCTTGGTATCCGATATATTTCAAGCTGCTCATTTCCAAGCCAATATACTTGCATCCGAGCCCTGAATTGTTGCTTTCTCCTTTCAGAGAGAGTCACCCACTATGGAGGAAAATTACCCTGGTAGCCGGGATTTTATCAGGTCGGCCTTCGAGTTGAAGGGCATCCCCTCGAATGCCATTCCGACGTTTATTTCTTCACTTAGTCCAAACACGCTCACACAGTACAATTCCACCTATGTCAAGTGGTGGAACTATTGTACAGTCCATAACACGTCACGGTTCAAGCCTAGCGTTAATCAGTTGATCTCCTTCCTCCTACAAGAATTTGAGGCTGGAGCTAGCTATAATACTTTAAATTGTCATAGGTCTGCATTGAATTTACTTTTCCAGCCCCCAGATGACGATCAGTTAGTGAAGCGATTCATGAAGGGTATTTTCAGACAAAGACCAGTTTACCCTAGATACCAGGTAACCTGGGAACCTCAGAAAGTTTTAGAATACTTGGGTAGTCTGTATCCGCTAGAATCACTGAGTTTACAAGACCTTACATTGAAGTTAGTTTCACTATTAGCCCTGATATCATCCCATAGGGTGCAATCCCTAGCTGCAATAACATTGGAAAATATTAAAGACGAGGGAAATGAAATTATTATCTTGATAAAAGAATTCTTGAAGACATCTTCCCCTAATAAGCCTCAGCCGATAATAAAAATTCCTTTTTTCAATGAAAAACCGGAAATATGTGTTGGTCAAACGTTAAGGTATTATATTTCCTTCACTTCAGCTATTCGAGGTGAGGTAGATAGCTTATTTTTGACGTACAAAAAACCCTATCACAAGGCAACATGTCAGTCAATTTCACGTTGGATAAAAAATGTTTTATCAAGAAGTGGAATAGATACTTCGATTTTTACGGGGCATAGCACTAGGCATGCTTCTACCTCAGCAGCCTTACGAAATGGTGTAAGCATTGAGGCTATTAGGAATGCTGCGGGCTGGTCCAGTAAATCTGCAGTTTTCGGAAAATATTACAACAGGCCCTTAATTGATGACAGTTGCTATGCGCGCAGTATTATTCTTCCTAACGATTCCATGTCTAGTAATTAGAACATATTTCTATTGTTATTATTATGCTTATACATAATATTGTATTGTTGTATTTTGTTCGGGTATGTTACGATTGTTACTTACTATTGTATATTTGTTAGTAAGGGTTATTATATTAATTCTAAAAAAAAAAAAAAAAATAGATGGCTTTAAACATCTACAAGTTGGTCTATAAGGACGTGGTTCGAAGTATAATTATAGATTAAACGACTTACCTGTAGGAAGTTCAATCTTAATTATACGAGAACCACGTCCGATTAGACCAACCCCTACCCAACCCTATAAGAGATCTAACCCCTTTACCTACATCTATTTTTTTGTGCACTTTTAAACGTAATGAAGATTCGTACAATCAGATAGCCGGACAATGAGGTGTCGGCGGTTTTTTTGACTAGAGATAAACAGTGACTCGTTCCGCACCAGAGGCGTAACTACAAGTTGGTCTAATCGGACGTGGTTCTCGTATAATTAAGATTGAACTTCCTACAGGTAAGTCGTTTAATCTATAATAATTTTATATTGATGCAGGATAATGCCCGACCACACACCGCACTTTATACACCACATTACAATGGCCTGCAAGAAGCCCCGATATGAATCCTGTAGAACATTTGTGGGATGAATTAGGGAGAAGGGTACGTTCTCGCGAGAGGTCTCCGGAAAGTCTCGCAGAAATGGCAGATGCATTAGTAGATGAATGGGATCGTATACCAATGGAAACGATAAGCAACTTAATTTCCAGTATGCCTCGTAGATTAGAAGTTCTTAAAGTTGCTAGAGGAGGCAATACACGGTATTAAGCAGTCATCCCAATTCATAATTTTGTGTTTAATAAAAATCTTTATTAAAATTATTGGTATCAGTTTATTTCATTAGAAAATTGTTTTTCGATAAATTCAGAAAGTTGGTAATCTGCAAGGATTCAGCAAAAAAAGCTGTAATTCGGAAAATTTTAGAGATAAATCAATGAATAAAAAAACAAAATGCTCGCAAAAGGAGCTTCTTTCGTATAGGGTGCAAGCACTTTCTATGCCATTACTCAATTAACACACAGGGTGAGTCAAAAATTAAGAATAAATCATGGTTCCAGTTATTCCACCACAATCAAGGAGGTTTGAAAAAATTTTCACATCCTTATTTTTTTTTAAGACAAATGCATTACCTACCATCAAAAAAAATGAAAATCGGCCTACTATTTTTTGTTTCTTTTTTAAGAAGATAGGTCAAATATCAAGTGCGTCACTTTTTTTGGAACTGAGTGTACTTCCTATGTTTCAATAATAGATACTTTCTTTATTAAAATGTCGATGTCGATACTAGTATCAACAAATCATGCTGTACTTTTTTTTCTATAATTACAGTCGATTCCTGAAATTATGCACCTGTCCTTGCAGATTTAAATAATGACCTGTAATTAGTCTGGTGGACCTGTGGAATCACCCAGGGCGTAATCATATTCATTTAATGATCACCAATCAATTTTAATAAACCGTTTCATTCGATGCGAATGAGTTCTTATCTTTTTTCACCATCGCCCAAATGGAAAATAATTTTGTCGAGTGGATAAATCATATTTAATAAGCGTGTTTTGTTTGGGTATATGATTCTATCATATGTCAAGGTTGAACAGTGTGGTTTTCTATAGGCATGAATCATTCGCAATTATATCTCGGAATTTTACATCCAAAATTCCGAGTTATAGCTCAGAATTTTAAAATTCTAGGCCTTCGTATGGAAGGGACACGTAAAAAAAATAACTCTTCAAAATTCTGAGTTCCAACTCGGAATTTTAAAATTCCGGCTTATATCTCGGAATTTTACATCCAAAATTCCGAGTTATAACTCAGAATTTCAAAATTCCAGCCCTTGGTATGGAAGGGACACGTAAAATAAAAAAAAAATAACTCTTCAAAATTCTGAGTTTCAACTCGGAATAGTGGATGTGAAATTCCGAGTTATAACACGGAATTATAAAATTCTGAGTTATAACTCGGAATTTTGAATGTAAAAGGTAAAAGGTGAGGTTAGATTTTTTTGAAACACCCTGCATACGTTTTTTTTTCGTAAGATCAAATTCCACTTCAGAAAAAAATAAATGAAAGAGGAACTTGGCTCCTCCACCATTCCAATGACGTAACTCTGAAAATCCACATTCACACAGAGTTACAATACGATTCCCTGTGCCAGTACGACGTTGCCGACATCATAAATATGTCTAGATTTCCGGAAATTGTTCTTTGCATGCATAATAACTATATCATCACAGCAATGGAATATAATAGGTTCTTCAATCCTACTTTGTCAAGTATTATGAATGATTCCCATTAATCTCTCATTGGCTGAATGAAGTTGATTACTAATAAAGATAAATTATTATATTCTCCGATATTATCTATTATTTTTCACTATCGTTATATTACAATATGTTATTCATAACTTGTCAGTCATTTTTTTTGCTAATGAATTCGTTCCTCAATAAAACGGATCTATTTTCTTGGAAAGTTGCAGATTATATCTTGCAGTCCACAACACTCAAAATAGTGACAGGCACAACAAGAGTAAGGAGCCATGGATGTCGGCTTCATTCTCTTCTGACCGATATGTCAGTAAATTAGGAAGGATAGTATCATTGAATGTAGCCGATAGTGATTCATTGATTCAATGATTATCGAACTCTATATTCGAGATATTTCAATACATAAATAACAAAACCATAACATGTCAGAATGAAGCCAAGTACCTTCTGCATTCCTGCTCCGAGTACATTTGTGGTTATGTATGTTTTTGTTTACCAGTTTTACTTCTTCTTCTATTTTTTTCATTCGTTTTTCATTCGTTCGCTATTTGTTAGCTATTCGCTAGCTATATTATTCACCATCAGCTATTTTCAGTCTAGATTCAGAATGTACGTCACAATTAGCCGCCCCGAAAATTAGAAATTGCTTTAATTTGAAAATGAAAACGCCATACTGTACAGCGTGGACATAAAAATGGAGAGTTCCGAACTTATTTTATGAAAATTTATCCGAAGGATTTTTTTTTTTTAATATATTTCAATCCTAACCTAGTCAGTCTGCATAGTCGGAAACTATCGCTTTTAAATATAAGATTTCAAGATTCAAGATTTATTCAAAGATTTGATGATACAGTATAACAATTTTTTTTTTCGTAGATTTTTTTTTTCTCCTGTGAACATGAGCGAAAAACGCCTAGGCAACAGGCTGCCTGTTTTGCATTTCTCCCTCATGAAGCATGGGAGGGTTAAAATACATAACAAATGTTTTATTCTATAATGTCATACCATTAGCGGCATGTGGTTTGATTAACAGCTAATCGATAGAGGGTTAATAAATATACTAAACGTTTTCTCTTTTGTTTCAGATATTCCTAAAAGCAATGTGATAATTTCACCTGATATAGGCTTATCGATATCAGAACACACTAGATCTTTAACTACCACTGCAGCTCTTCTAGCTATTCAAAGGATAAAAGACACATCCCTGTAAGTATCGTAGCAATATAATCATACTAAAAAAGGTATATTTTTAATCTTTGGAGGAAGTCTATGATGTGTGGTGTAGTGGTATAGTTCCATAGATGAAAACCCAAAGTCATCTCCATAACATTCATTAGAATTATCAAAGATCAATCGTAAAGGGACTTGTTTCGGGCTTATACAGTCTGTCCAAGATAAGGTTGAACAGCATGGGGATCTCGAAAACGGTAAGAGATACGAAATCGGTTAAATGGGGAAAAAGTTGCGCATTCGGAGGCTCATATCAAGAGCCTTCGAAAATTTTGAAAATTATTTTTAGTTTTTGAGTTATATCGAAAAAAGTGAATTTTTGGAATTTCTATTTTATTTTTTTTCTCCGTTATTATTAGAGATACAGCAAAACTGAGAATACTTTTTCATAGCAACTTTTGATGAGGGTCAACGTGGTGATACCGATTTTTTCATGCGACGTTTCGTATTCGTTGAACCATCATCAACTTTTGTTTTTTAAATACGGTCCTGATAATTTTTTCACAGATTCTAAAAGGTTTTTTTATTTTTTTTATTATGAATTCAACCATGTATTATACAAGGTGGTTCATTTGTGTTTCGACCTATTTTTGGCCATCAACAATGTTTTTTCGAAACTCCAAAGGAAAAATGCCATCAGTTCCACTTATTTTGAAGGAAAATTAGTCAACACACTAATACCTCATAAACTGGTTTCAATCAACAACCCATTTCATTTTGCGGAAACAAAAATTCCATCCATACAAATTCAGAATATGTCAAGCGCTAAAACCAGGCGATGACGAAAGGCGCAAGACATTCTGTGAGTGGTATACCAGGAAATGTTAAAATTTTGCAGATTTCTTTCGAACAATCATCTGGACTGTAGCGAATCCGGGCTGGAGAGCTAGTTACTAATAAAATTCAATAGCCCGTGATAATAACAGCATGCTTCCTATTTTTGACCCTTCTGGTTACAACTGCAACAGCTGAAAGAAGCTTTGCGAAATTGAAACTGATAGAAAAAATATGTAAGGCTTCTTTGCTCCTATATACTGCTCCTAGTATTAATCGTAGGTGATTACTTATATTCAATAAAAACTGATTAAAAAAAATTAGGGACTTTTTGTCAAGGCAAACGACATAAGTATCAATAGATATAATTATGTATACCTACCACCGTTTTTCTGAAAAACAATACCACAAGTGATAATATTTTGCCGGAAATATTCGGTGATTGTTACGACAGCTTGTTGCCTAGTAATTTCGTGAATGACATTGTTATCAAAACTACGAGCCGTAGGCGAGTATTTTTGGATCAATGTCATGAGCGAAATTAGAGCAGCAAGCTGGAGTATGTCAATCGACGAATATTTCCAGGAAAAATAGTTTCACGAGTTGTATTCGTATGACTATTTCATGATTGAATGAGACAATGAATTTGTGGAGATGACTTCGAGCATTCCTTCCTTCCTGTGTGAGACAATATATATAAGAAATAGGGAACATAATTTGAGTATATTCCAACTCGAACTGCGAAGAAAAACATAATGATAGTAATGGAATACAGAATTCAATTTTTTAGAAAATAACTACCTACTTATAGTTATTCACAAAGTGGAATGTACAATTTTGATAAACAGTATTTTTTTATTATCTTGGAGATGGTTGCTCTCGAAAGAGTGTATACAATTTCTATCCAATTCAAACAAAATAAATTGAATTTATGTGACATGAAATAATTAAAAAAAAAAGATATCGTCGCCGAGGGGCTCGAACCAACGACCTTCGTATCTTCGCGTAAAAACCTTATCAGTTGCGCTACATCATCTGGTAATTATGTTAGTCACAATAACTTGAGTGATTGAAGAAGATTACTTTAAAAAGGAATTTGAATTCTAGTATTGTTATGTCAGACCGTCAACAAATATGCAAACTTTTCAAATTACACATGAAACGTCCAGCCAGAATAAAATTGTCTCGCCTTTCGTACAAAATGTCTCACTAACGCGAATTATAAGTAAATAAAATGGAGTAGGTACTTATAGGTTATTGTCTCAGATTTGAATCCAAAGCAATCTTGACCAGACACGATGTCAAAATTTTATCGCTGATAAACGAGGTTTGTTGGTCACGTGTGGGTCAATTCGGCTTCTGTATTGGTAGAGCAAGTCCGATAAAATTCAATAAAAATATCGCTAGAATACAGAAGAAACCGTGAAAATGGTCGATTCTGATTGGTTCTCGAGATCAAGAGTGGAATAGTCAAGCAAAAACACGCCGATATCCTTAAATTTGTCGATGTGAGTTTGCAGGCCAGGCCTTATTGTATCGGTGTTGACCACATAATACGACGTCACTTTCTACACTAGTATTCTAATGTACCTGAATGTACCTACTATTCCGGTGGCAATTTTTTTTCAGGGCTGATGATTTTCTGAACTATTTTTTCGTAGATCTATCACAAGAACAGCCAGATTCGATCCTTCGTCCAGCAAACCGACACCTGTCACCGTCAACAACAACAACATTTACGAGGAGGAAAAAGCGCCGGAAGTGACGATACGACGGAGGAAGATACACAGATGCGACGTTGCCGGCTGTCACAAAGTGTACACGAAAAGTTCGCATCTGAAGGCCCACAAAAGGACGCATACAGGTATAATAGTACTCTCTCCCATTGGAAAATCGTGTTCATATCTCGATATCGATAAATATACCGGGTGTCCCAGTATACCTGTTCCAATCAATTATCTCAGCCATTTCGAAAAATAAAAATTCGAAAATTTCATGATCTCCAATTCGTTCAAGGAAGCTTCAACTAAAGAAAACAAAAATTGAAAGTCACTTCCGGTTTGACCGGAAGTGACTAACTTTTTCATTCCAAATAGCACCCTGTATATTTTTTGCAATTTTTGATTTCTACTTCCAACGATGTATCACACTTCGTATTCTAAATTTGATTTGATGGAGAATACGACAATTGAAATTTCAAATTGAACGAATTGCCGTAGACTACGATATTTTTGTAATTTTGATTTCAACTTCAATAATAATTTCAAATTATTAGAATTTTAGTAGATCATGTCATTTTCAAATTTTCATCTTTCGAAATGGCTGAGATACTATACTGGAACAGGTATACTGGGACACACTGTATAGACATATCGAATAAAGACATATAATTTCAAAAATATCAATATAAGTATCAATATATCGATTACTATCCGAAATATTTAGCTATATATTGGAAAAAATTAATTTATCTTAGACGCTTTCGTAATATCCAGACAATAGTTATAATATACAGTGTGTTTCACTTCTAACACCCCTGTATCTTACGTAATCGTTGGGTAAGAATCCTGAAATTTGCTGGAGCGAGAGATATACCAAAAATGCACTCTATGACCAAGTGAGGTCATCTTCAGTGATATACACTGCTCGCCAACAGCCGTGGAACTACACACATATCCGGAAAATAATATCAAGAGACAAGATGTTGTTGAAAATCCCTTCGGATTCGAAAACAGGACGTCCAATTCACTAACGTCCCATATTTTAACGCATTATCATCGGTAACGATCTTCTTCATACTATTAATAACGAATTCATTCATTCATAATTCATTTCAATGCAACCCGTAATGATTTCTGATCCATTGGATCACTCCTGATAATCTATTCGATTGTACTAGTTCTGATTGTTATTTATCCCTGATGATTATCAATTTCAGAACAACCATTGAGTGAATTTTCCTATTCAATATTTTTTTCCGTGGCTGCTGGCGAGAAATGTGTCATTAAAGATGATCCTACTTGGCCATTGATCTATTTCTTACTCCTTGAAATTTTAGACTCCTGCATCAATAATTACGCGTAAGATACTGGGTTGCTTCCATGAAAAGTGAGACAGAATTTATTATTTCAGAACTGAAAATTTTTCAGAAAGAATATGAGTAGTTAGTGAATTGGACGTTCTGTTTTCTGTTCTCGAATCCGAAGTGATTTCCAACCTATCTTTTCTGCTTATATGATTTTCCGGATATGTAGGTGGTTCCATGGCTGCTAGTGAGCAGTGTATATCATTAATGATAATTTCAATTGGTCATTGACTGTATCTTTGGAATATTTCTGGCTCCTGGAAAAAACAATCCTAACTCGATAATTATGCGTAAGATAAGATTTCTAGGAAAAGTGAGACAAAAATTACATTCTCAGAACTGAATTTGTTTTCGAGGAAAATATGAATAAAGAGAGAATTGGGCGTCCTGATTTCGAATCCGATGTGGCTTTCAACCTATTTTGCCTCCTAATATCATTTTCCGGAAATTGGGGTGGTTCCCATTGGCGAGCAGTGTATATCACTGAAAATGACCCCACTTGGTCATAGAGTACATTTTTGAAAAACGAGGTTGGTTGCTCACTTGTGTGTCAATTCGGCTTCTGTATTGGTAGAGCAAATCCGATAAAATTTAGTAAACAAAAAATATCGCTGAAGTACAGGAGAAACCGTGAAAATGGTTGATTCTGATTGGTTCTCGAAAACAAAAGAGGAATAGTCAACAGTAATTACACAAGTGGTGATAATTTTTTTGATAATTTAATCTAGATGCACGAATCTTTGTTGTCCACGAGTGATTTCTCATTAGCAACAAAGACGAGTGCTAAACTAGTTAAAATTATTCAACAAAATAACCACCACGAATGTAATTCGGCGTCATTATTTTTTTAACTATCACGAAAAAAGTGGACAAAAAAGATTTTTTTCAAATCAATCATAGAAAAGTTGTTCATATATTGCAAAATTTCTGCCCGATTTCTTTCGAAAAAATAAAATATCTCGAAAATTGTTCATCATTTATTTTTTTTAATTTTCCAATGTTTTTTGCTTTGATTGATATTATAGGTAATTTATTCAGATCAATTGGTACTTTACAATAACAATCCTAATGACTTGAAAATGTGTTAGGTAATAGCCTTATTTCTGAATACCACTGTTTATTCTAAAGAGTATTTATGGAGATTTCAGTTAAGAAAAATGAAGTACGATATCTTGTTCGTGGCTGAAGGAGTGAAGGTGATCTTATCTCATCTAGAACAAATGTCCTCATAATTTATAGTCGCGAATAATTTGATTTTTATTCAAATGTAACTCGTTCGGAATTTCATCAATAAATAACAATACATTCAAATCTATAATTTACAAATTTTTAATAACGATCTCATTAACGTTTTATGTATGCCCATTAATCTAATGAGAAAATAAAATGCGGTATGCGGCGGTAATAGGTACATACATAAACTGGTTTTTATAATAAGGCTTCTTTTTTGTTATGTTATACAGGAAAACTAAAAAAGTAATATCATCATTATATACCGAGCAACTTGTTCGTATGACCGTTTTCGATAACTTCTCATCCAACCCTATTTTCCTCCTCTATAGTATAGTAATTTTTTCAATTTGCTGCCGTATCATTGATCGAAATCGATCTGATGAGACGCACCAATCCTGAAAGACATAAACATTGTTTTCGTGTATATTTTCTTCATCGCCTCGTTATGTTTCTCAATGTGATGCCGCACTTGTTAGACGCAGACATTTCTATAGATGATCAGTTACTTTTTCGTGACTCCAAATGTGATGTCGCATTCCACCATGTGATGTCGTATGCTGCAATGTGATGTCGCACACAAAAATATGATGTCGCATGCCACAATGTGATGCCACATTCCACAGTGTGATGTCGCATACCACAATGGGATGTCGCATGATACAATGTGATGTCGCATGCTACAATGTAATGCCACATTCCACAGTGTGATGTCGCATTCCACAGTGTAATGTCGCATTCCACAGTGTAATGTCGCATTCCACAGTGTAATGTCGCATGCCACAATGGGATGTCGCATGATACAATGTGATGTCGCATGCTACAATGTAATGCCACATTCCACAGTGTGATGTCGCATTCCACAGTGTAATGTCGCATTCCACAGTGTGATGTCGCATGCCACAATGTGATGTCGTAAGCTGCAATGTGATGCCACATTCCACAGTGTGATGTCGCATTCCACAGTGTTATGTCGCATGCCAAAATGTGATGCCATATTTTACGACAGAGTCATGTGGCATACCACAATGGGCATGATACAATATGATGTCGCATGCCACAATGTGATGCCACATTCCACAGTGTGATGTCGCATTCCACAGTGTAATGTCGCATTCCACAGTGTAATGTCGCATGCCACAATGTGATGTCGTATGCTGCAATGTGATAACGCACACAAAAATATGATGTCGCATGCCACAATGTGATGCCACATTCCACAGTGTGATGTCGCATACCACAATGGGATGTCGCATACCACAATGTGATGTCGAATGCTGCGATGTGATGCCACATTCCACAGTGTGACTTCGCATTCCACAGTGTAATGTCGCATGCCACAATGTGATGTCCTACACAAAAATATGATGTCGCATGCCAAAATGTGATGCCACATTCTACGACAGAGTGATGTCGCATGCTACAATATGATGTCGCATGCAACAATGTGATGCCACATTCCACAGTGTGATGTCGTATTCCACAGTGTGATGTCGCATGCCACAATGTGATGTCACATTCCACAGTGTGATGTCGCATGCTACAATATGATGTCGCATATCACAATATGCTATGTCGCATGCTACAATGTGATGTCGCACATCAAAATATGATGTCGCATGTCACAATGCGATGTCAATGCAATCACAAAGTGATGACGCATGTCACATTATATGATTTTTTTAGGTGAAAAGCCGTACCAGTGCTCATGGGAGGGTTGCACGTGGAAATTCGCTAGATCGGACGAACTCACCAGGCACTACAGAAAACACACCGGTCAAAAACCGTTTAGCTGTCACTTGTGTCAGAGATCTTTCAGCAGATCCGATCACCTGTCGCTGCACATGAAAAGGCACATTTAACAGAGAGATGGCGTCAGCCGAGGTTTTAGCGAAATTTGTTTGTATTTTTATTTTTAGGAGACCGAGTGTTCAGAAAAATGTGTGTGATTTAAATGTAAGTAAGTGTTGCAGGATCAAAAAGTAGATGGTACATTAAGGGATATATACGATGCGATTCGGAAGTTTGGAGCATGCATTGTTTTACATATTTTCGGTCGTCTATGCTTTTCACTAGATATTTCCTTTGTAAAATTATGTTTTGAAGAAATATGAGATTGGATTTGATTACAAACTCCAAAGTTGCACTTATAGTGAATAATTTATTCAGTATCTGAATTTTAAATGAGTAATAAAATACTTTTTTGGTTTACTGGAAAATATTCGAAGTCCATGTATAGACGAGAAACATTTTTCAAAATCACCTTCTAGTGAAATTTCCACAACTTTCCCTGAATTTATTATATGGATTTCTGAATGTATCCATACATATTATTTTCCGATTATACTAGTAATTTATCTGAAAAAATGCAAACTATCAAAACGCACCTACTGTTGCTTCAAGTCAACAGATTTAAATAAATTATCCCCATAGTATGGCAGCACTTTATTTAAAATATGAAAAAAACAGTGTTCAAAATAAAAATGCGAAATTGGTGCCTCATAAGCTTTAACGAATTATAAAATCTGAAAATGTCATATTGAAAAATATAGAAAGTTACAAAGGGTGACTCGGTTCTAATGATCACCCGGTATATAGTCAATTTTTACAATAACCAACAAGTTTTCTTGTGATATTTGATATATTCTATTATCTGAAATGTATATCTAAATGGTATTGGTGCTAAAAACTGATTTCAGAAGGTGCTATAAAAATGTTGAACATACTAGGTATTCTTCATGCAATATTCTCAATTTGAAAAAAAATTACAGCCACAAAAACTAGCTACACTTTTTTGTGTTCAATTCCTTGGAAATATGGTGTTCATAACTCGCTCGGAAGTTTGATAAGATATTCTGGATTTCTATATTTTTAGATAGGTACTCTAGATTGGAATAAATGAAGTCCTCTAGAAATATATTCTTGAATAAACTCAATACATTTCTTGGGTGTAATCCGTAAAACGGGGATTCATGAAACAATGTTTATATACTTTTGATTGTCACAACATTAATTACATTGATTAAAAAAAAACTGAATTCACTATACAGGGTGGGCCACCAGTAACGCTTCGATCTCTAGAAGGCTAACCACTTATCTTCTTGGAATTCTTCCTCTCTAGGAAGTTGCATGTCAACATAGGCTACCATTTGAAATTACTTTGAAACATACAGGATGTCCCCAAAAATCACAAAACACTGAAGTTGAACTTTTTTCAATCGAACACCCTATATATTATTTCATTTTGAGATTCTCCCTGGTGAGCTGATTTCAACAATCCATCATACTTGGGGTCTAGCAGTTATAATTACTGAGATATAGGGTGTGAGAAATCGAGATTTTGCAAGTTCAAGAATTTTTTGTGTCTAAACCATTCATAATTGGTCAAAACGGCTCACATGTCCCTATCTCAACTTTTGATCAACTATCTACTGACATTTAATTGAAACAAATACAGGGTGGTGCAGAATTCAGAATCTTGATCACCCGGTATATGTCCCAATTAAATATCAGTAGATAGTTAATCAAAAGTTGAGATAGGGACATGTAAGCCGTTTTGACCAATTATGAATAGTTTCGACACAAAAAATTCTTGAACTTGGAAAATCTCGATTTTTCACACCCTATATTTCAGTAATTATAACTGCTAGACCCCAAGTATGATGGGTCGTTGAAATCAGCTCATCAGGGAGACTCTCAAAATGAAATAATATATAGGGTGTTCGATAGAAAAAAGTTTAACTTCAGTGTTTTATGGTTTTTGGGGACACCCTGTATGTTTCGAAATAATTTCAAATGGTGGCCTATGTTGACATGCAACTTCCTAGAGAGGAAGAATTCCAAGAAGATAAGTGGTTAGCCTTCTAGAGACCGAGGCGTTACTGGTGGCCCACCCTGTATATTTTTCACAAAAAAAATTCATTATTGGTTCTTTTTTTGAAAAAAGCATCGTTACATAAAGAGATGGCAGTTCCAGGTAAAACGAATTGAGTTTTCGATATGAATCAACTGATTTCTTGAGAATTTTTCTTATATGCCTTCACCATATCGCTTATATGAACAATTAAAGAACAGGTAAAGAAGTACTGTCTTGGCTCTGGTTCATATAGCAATGGAAAAAATCCATTTGAGGTTATTTTTTCAATTGTTTTTCTTCGAAGAGGTTGCCATGGATATTTGAAGGTATTAATAATACCATTGAAACATCTACCTGCGACAAATAGTTTATTTCTAGTTCCATAGAGGTTTTTCTACGTCTGTTCAGGAATGTTATTTTTGCGGGATTTCAGATAATATAGGTCGCGTGCACGATGACCGACCCTGGAGGTAAAATATTGAAACACAACCTCACTCTTCTGTGAATTATTGAAACACAACCTCACTTTTTTATTTGGTTACAGAGGAATCAAAGGATTGAAATAGTTTTTCACAATATTTTTGCATACGAATCGTGTTTTTTGCGCTATTCATTAATTCAAGCATGCCTTCGCATTGTTTTGTTGTAAAATGTACAAAAACTGCAGCGAGAGACGAAAGAATATGACTTTCAGGTAAATAGTATCTCACATAGTGATCATTATGAAATGTTATCATTCCTTATTAAAATTCCTTCTGCCACTTCTGCAATACAATCTTATACTGCTAATAGATTGCAATATTTTTGCATTATTCCAGAAATTTCACGAGTATTTCTATTAATAATAATAATAATAATAATAATGTTTATTGAAGTAATACCCAATATGTATAACAAATTCATGACGAAATAATATATTATGGTCTTACTACTCCAAAAGGACAGAATATTGGCAAAGCCATTTTTCAATTCTGCCTGAATAATTACAATAGAACATAACATAATGAATAAATATAAAGAAAAACGATATATACAATACATACTACATAATATACAGGAAAATATACAGCGTGATCTAATTGAGAATAGATCACTCGGCACTAATGATATGTCCTCAATAAATATAAATATAGCTACTAGGTGAGAGCTGCGCTCAGATTCTTACGATACTCTGTTTTAAATTTATTTAACGAGTCCAGCATGAAATATTAGCTCCTATTGCAAAAGGAATTCCGATGAGAAATCAGAGAAATTGACAAATATCAAAAATGAAAACTATGTGAGTGACTATATAAGTATATAGTAGGTACTCACTTTCAAATCATAATGTACCAACCGGATTCCTTCGTCTTCCGCTGCAGTTTTTGTGAATTGTACAACAGCACAATGTGATGGCATGAGCGAATTAATGAATTGCCGAAAAATACGATTCGTAATGCCAAAATAATTGTGGAATACTATTTCAATCACTATCACCAATGTTGCGAAGACGAAATTCTAGCGTGAAATGAAAAAAAATACAAATATTTCATATAATACCACACTTTCATAAATCCCCGTTTAACGAACCCATCTCAAATGCGAATTTCTTAATGTTACGCCTATGTCACTGCTACTTTATTGCACGAAATGAAGGCATTTGATTTGATATGAATCTTGATCGGACATGGAAAAAATCCATTTGAGATTATTTTTGTTTTTCTTCCAAGAGGTTGTCAAGGATATTCGAAAGTATTAATAATACCATTGAAACATATACCTGCAACAAACAGAGGTTTTTGTACGTCTGTCAAGAAATGTTATTTTTGCGGGATTTCAGATAATATTTTTGACGATTTTTGACAAACCATTTCATTTTTTTTGACAGAACAAATTCTATAGCTGGGAACTATGAACTGTTACCTATGATTCTGTGATAATTCCTATCACCAATGTTGGGAAGACGATATTCTAGCGCGAAATTTAAAAAAATACAAATATTTCATTTAATACCGCACTTTCATAAATCCCCGTTTAACGAACCCATCTAAAATGCAAATTTCTTAATGTTACGCCTATGTCACTGCTACTTTATTGCATGAAATGAAGGCATTTGATTTGATATGAATCTTGATCGGACATGTATATCAAGCATTGTCGATTGACATCGTGCAATAGTGAACGTACCTAGCGATACAATATGAAGGATGTAAAAATCCTCTTTCCACATGTGCACCCACACACACAATACAGGGTGATTATCAGTGGATTGTCATAGGATATATATCGTGAATGGTAATTTGAAAGGATTATCGTATGTTTTCTCTAGAACAGAGGATTTATACCGTGCTTTCGTGAAGCACTGAATGAATTCATCTTTTAACGGAATATTAAATATACAAGGTGATCCACGTTTGAATTATGACGACCGTGAAATTTTTTCAAATAGAACACTATACTGGATGTCCCAAAATTAGCCTGCCAAACTTCACCAGCGGCTTTGACGACTAAAAATAGAAAGAAAACTCTCAATGAACATGAGTCAAAAAATGTATCCTTAAGGAAGCTACGGCCTCCTGAAAGGGGGCTCCTGAAAATGATATTTCTTGAGTATTTCCGAAACTACATGTGATAAAAATATGCATTTTGGTAAAAGAACTAAACTTTCCACGCCAATACAGTGAAAATTAAATCATTTCAAAATATCGGGAGTGTATAATACAGGGTGGGACTACATTGAATATTGCTGAAAATTTTTCGTATGTATATTTTTCGACAATTCAATCTCGGATTATGAAATTTCACACCTCTTTACAGAAAAAAGGTACTCTTGTTTTGTGACGATCAGATGTATTATTATCGAGTAAAAGCAATTTAAAAATATTGTTACATCTCAGATATTATGCATTACATTGCAATGAGGCGTAGTGGAAATGAAAAAAATGCACGAAAATTGAAGTAGTTTTTTTATCATCATTTTCCTATTTTTTAAGCTTTTATGAGAATGTTTGGTAAAAAGGAAGTACTCGATTTTTTTAGCCACTATGATTTGAAAATTGGCAACGTTATGCATAAGATGTGAGTGCATAAATATTTTCAAATCGATTTCACTCGAAAATGATACAACTGATCGATGCGGAACAAGTACACCTTTTTTTGTGAAATGGTGTGGATTTTGGTAATCCGAGATTAAATTGTCGAAGAATAGGCACACGAAAAAGTTTGAGCAATATTTAATGTAGTTCCACCCTGTGTTGTATACTCCTGAAAGAAACTTTGAAATGATTTTATGTTCACCAACTTCTTCATGGAAAGTTTAGTTTTTGTACCAAATTGCATTGTGGCGTTTTGGAAATATTCAAGAAATGTCAACTTCAGGAACCCCCTTTCGGGGGGGGGGGAGCTTCCTTAGGAGACATTTCTCGACTCTTGTTCATTGGGATTTTTCTTCCTATTTTTGGTCGAAGAAGCCGCTGATGGTTTGGCAGGCTAATTTCGAGACATCCTGTATATATTATTCAACTTTGATTATCCCCGTGGAAAACTGAATTAAAAAATGTTTTACACAGAGATTGGGTTTGTGTACAATTCGTCCAATAAATTCAATGCTCTTGAAGGAAATTTGAATATACAGGGTGATACAAGTGGGACCTATATGAAGACCACGACAACTGTTTCAGATGAAACACCCTATATATACATATATATTATTGAATTTTTGGATTCCTCATGGAAGACTGAAATTCAAAAGTATATTACACTCAGGGTTTGTATACAGTGCGCCTATTAAATTCAGTATAATGTGAAATGGGGGGGTTGCCATTAAAACAATACTGATGACGTAATTTCTCTTACGTGAATTATTATGTATGTATTAATTAAATTTGACTTTGAGCGTTCTTTCTAAAAATGTTTACTTCAATTTTCAACATGTATCCACTTCGCAAGAAAGACCTTGATTCAACGGACGCACTGTATACAAACCCTGTATGTACTATATTTTTGAATTCAGCTTTGCAAGGAAATCCCAAAAATCAGAATAATATATAGGGTGTTCTGTTTGAAGAAATGCAAACGTGGTTCATCCTATATACTTGATTTTGCCTCATAAATGTGGCATATTGAAAATAAAAATCGACTTGTTACAGGATATTTCTCAGAAATTGACAGTATGGATAAGAATGAATGTATCCACTACTTTATGAGAGTACTCAATTTAAACGGACGCACTGTATACAAACCCTATGTGACATGTATCTGTGAATTCAGTTTTTCATGGTGATTACAAAAAACAAATAATATACAGCTTTGTTTGATTTGAAAATATTGCCGCAGTCGCGATAATTAAAAACGTGGATCACCCTGTATATTTAATTTTTCATTATGAATGTGGCAAATTGAAATTAAAAATCGACCAGTTTCAGGAGATTCCTTAGAAATTGATAGTTTAAGTTGAAATTATTTCATTCAGAACTTTATCGAAGCACATAGCAGGGACAGAAAAATTGTGGTGGTTTAAAATCATTTTTTCTTGGGACAAATATGTTCATTTCTCAAGAGTATTGCTGTGGATGAAGAAATTAGAAGATGAACAATGACCGAATAATGGGTTATCTGAACTCATCGATATGATTTTTATGTACTGCTGAAATCATATCTGAACATTTTTGAAATATTGCATGAATTAATAATTTAGTAAGAAAACTCTACTTCTGTTACCTAAATAACTATATTTTTGTAAATACTAGGAAACCACAAATCTATAACATTTATCCTTGAATATTTTGTAAATAATAAAGACATATATTTGATTGAATCATAGAAACTTTCTGAATATTTTGATTTGGAAATTAAATAATTGTACATAAAACTTCACTGTGAATTATCACATTCCTAATTTTTGTACTATTTTCTAGTATTAAGTTAAAATTGGAACAGGTGCCAGTAAAAGGTCAGGAGCTATATATATAATATATATTAATTGTATCAGAATATTTATTTAAATGATGGAGCTTTATATCAATTTATCATTTTCAAAATGATTTCTTCTTTATGCTATTGTAACCCCCTGTAAGTAAGTTATCAAGTGCAATTAGTCCTATTCTGTAGGATGAATCACTCTGTATGTATGATGTTTTGTTAAGTTTATATAAATATTTTATTACATAAATTTATTTCTATGTTAGTGAATAATTATTGTAATTTTTTTAGGTAGGTATCAATAACTATGATTTCAATGTCATTAGAAACAATGCAGAATATCAGTGGAATTATCCCTTGAATATTTTTGAAGGGAAAATACCATCAATAAATTTCACAGTTATATTCTTTAGATTTTTGCCAGTAATAGGGGCCAGTATATTATATTTCTAGAAATAGTTTGTAAGATGATTAATATCTCGATCTCTAGTATTTTTAGTGGAAAATTCACATGTACATTTTCACTAAAATAATCAGCATCCACTATAGGGCATTTACAATAAATTTGAGACAATAACATGTTATTTTATACTGAAAAGGGATATATATTTATTCAATGTTATTGATTAGTTGTTAAAAATAAAAAATGTGGAAGGGTTCTACTTATTTCAATTTGGGTGATGTTTCATTAAGGAACATCATTATTTGATATTTTTTAAAATGCTTCTTCAGTCTCTCCCACAAAGTCGATATAAAAACAGCAAAGGTGGGCAGGTAACATTTATTTCCTTTAAAAACTATCAAGGATGTGTTTCCATACCAAAATTATCAAATATCCTGTGTAAAAAAATATGTACAAATATCAAAAATCATCAAAAAGAGCATCTGTGTCTACTTCTTCAAATAAATTTTTCCAAATTTCAGTATGCTCTTTATCAGTTTTCACTGACAGCTGACTACAACTTATAGTAACATCATTTCCATTTTTACTGGAATTACCAACAATTCTCGGAGTATTACTAGGTTTCAAAGAAGTATTTCTGGTATTAAAATGGTGGACTAAACTAACTGCTGCTGGGCTACCAGTTTTAGTTTGATTAGGACTAATATCACTAGTTGCTTTATATCTAGAATTATTAACAGGAGGACCCAAATTAAAGTTTTTAAGAGGCACACAAGTATTGAAGTTTGATGGTAACAACTTCCTCAAATTTGGCTTGGATCTCTCACTATTATGTTGAAGTTTTCCTGATGCACTTTTCTGCTGTTCCACCAAGTAATCCTCATACTTTTTCCAGATATCCTCCACACTACACTCTTTCAACACTATTTTTTCAACACTACTTTGCCTGACCTGAGTATTACTCCTCATTTTGCACTTTTCAACTTTTGAATAGTATATCCTCAGTAAATTATTTGGAGTGATGGTAACACAATAACTGTCCTCCATACTCAAAACCCCAAATTGTCTCAAAACCAAAACTGATCCAACAACAAATCCTGCTATGTTTTCTTCATAGAGACTATAAAGAATGGTTCCTTCTATCACTCCTGAAAGAAAAAAGTAGTAGTCATTTAAAAACTACAGGAAAAACTAAGAACTCACCTGTAGAATCCTTCAGAGTTACAATAACAGTGGGTATTTTACTGCCTTCATCTATAGTAACACTCTGTATAATAGCAGCAAGAAATGGGGCATTGTAACTAGCAACCTGCTTCTTCAGAGCAGAACTTTGCTTTATCCAGTTTATACTGAATTTTTCATACAACTGCACACTATTGGGAGAAGAAAAGTCTTCAGTCATGCTCTTCCATGGACCATTCTCAAATACAGAGTTTGTTCTTTGAGAACATAACAGGAACTCCTAGAAATCAAGAAAATTCAGCACTCCTACAATTCCCACTTTTATATAAATTACATCTGTTTGTTCAACATGATCTTCACAAATTAGCTCTGATATTGACTTATGTCCTTCTTGTCTATCAGGCAGAAGTCCAGCTGGACCAGGAAATATTCTTTTCACCACTTTACTTGGAGAGCTGAAGGTATTGTCTTTTGATTTAGACAATAACTCAAGTTTGGGATTTATCACTAGATGCTGTCTTTGCTTATTTTGATTATTGGCAATGTCAGAATCCAATTTGAATTTCTTCGAATTCTCGGGTAACAACTCTTCAATTTTACTTTGTTTTTGGGAGAGTCCTTGTGTGCTACTGAAAACTGGTGTGAAGGAGGTCGCCAAATCATCCTAAAATACAAGAAATGGCGTTGAAAATAGATATTGGACTAAACACAAGAACTATTTACATCATCAAAGTCGTAATTTGTTGTATCCTCGAACATTATCTGAAATAATTCACATTATCACAAACACAAATTTTTCTTCCAACAGTCTTCACTAAACTTGACATTGAGTTCCAAACATCAACATAACCTAATTCATTCTTCTTCGTCTGTGTTTACTAGTCTTCTGCTCCTTAGACATTTAGCCTTCAACTAGCTTATCCATACTGTTCAGAATCCATGCTCTTCAAAATCCATACATTCTTCTTCTTCTTTTTATTGGACTGAATGCCAAGAGGAATATGCTCACCGACTTATTTGAACTACTATTCACCATTTCTGGGACACCACTATATAAAAACGAAATTCTACAGGTGAGACCTTGAATTTCAATATTAATTAGCCAATAAAAAGTCGAGGATAAGTCTATGAATAATATTCCAATTCGTAAATTACATAACACCCGCGGTTGTGTAATTAGTTTCTTGCGCATAGTTTGGCGCAGAAGGGAAGTGGCTGCCTGTGAAACTTGTCTAGTTGGTCGGCCATCCTGTTCAAGTTCGACCATGTTGGGTGCTGTGGCTAGAGCAAGTTCAAGCCTTTTGGCTGGAAAAACCATCGAAAAAGTTGGATTGGAATCCATCAAAGTAGCCTCCACCTACAATGTATCCAGTGAGTACACATTTTTTCGTTTATCCATCGAATTTTGGTAACTTTCTCAAGGAATGTCCTTTGATACCCGGTTACGTCAAAACTACAAGTTGAACTTTCATAGAGATTCGCGATCTTTTTACTAATATCGTTCAATATATTGCAGGAAAACTTTTACAACGTCATAAGTTCATTTAAAAATCATCATGAGCATAGAAATCTGAAGAAAATATCATTTTTTTCCTTGCAGTTACATAACCACTTATATAGATCATGCGCCATTTTGAAGTACAAATAATGTGAAAAGTTCTATCAGAAAAGCAAAAAATGTTCTCTTTCAGACAGGGGTTTAGCTGCTAAAGCAGCAGCTAGTGGCAAAAGCAATGGTAGAGTAGTAGCAGTTATTGGTGCTGTAGTTGATGTACAATTTGATGAAGACCTTCCACCCATTCTCAATGCCTTGGAAGTACAAAACCGTACCCCCAGGCTGGTACTGGAGGTAAAACATAATCATATAACACTCATCAGATAAATGCAGAGTTTTGGCCAACAATCAATTTATAGAATTACATTTTTTTTTTAGGTTGCCCAGCACTTGGGTGAAAACACTGTACGTACCATTGCTATGGATGGTACTGAGGGTATTGTCCGTGGGCAACAGGTAAATGACACTGGGTACCCCATCCGTATCCCTGTGGGTGTGGAAACTTTGGGACGTATCATGAATGTCATTGGAGAGCCCATTGATGAGAGGGGCCCCATCAACACTGACAAATTGGCCTCCATCCATGCTGAGGCTCCTGAGTTTGTGGACATGAGTGTGGAACAGGAAATTCTGGTGACTGGTATCAAGGTGAGCAAAAATATGTTACCTAATCCAGGAAGTCTTTCTATTAGTGAAAAAAAATGGTGTAGATACATTTTCTTTTCTATGTCCAATGTGACATAATATTCCAATATGTATTTGAAGCTTTGAAGGGTGGATGGAAAAAATATTCTTTTCTGAATGAAAAATATATGAAGACCAATAAAAAATACAAACTTCTAGCATTCTCAGGAAATTTCAGGAACAATGCAAGTTATCATGAATGGTGTCTTTGTTAATATGACTATAAATGAATTACTGAATTATTTTGAATTTCAATTGTGTGTTGTGTGTAGTATCTCTTATGAAAGTTATCACCCTGTATAGCTCAACCATGAATCAATTGAATTCAAAAGTGAGGAACAGGAATACTGATCTGCAATAACATTTCTGGAATTTTCCCTGATCAACAAGATATTTCCACACATAATATTTCTAAGGTACCTGAAATTTTTTGCATCATCAGAAATTACATGTTTGGTGATTATTTGTATTTTGTAACATAATATGATGAAATTATGTTAAAGAACCCATCAAAATGAATTAGTTTTTTATTATAAATTGAAATATACCTTGTGATCAAATACTGTAGACTAAAATTTTATACTGTTCTTTCTTTGTCATGTGGTGAAGTGGCAACACATTTTGTTTATATTATTTTTGTTATATCTTCCTTCAGAAGACCCCAGATAGATTAAAATTGGTCTCTCTGTATTTCTAGAGGAAGTATATAGAATTTATTCTTGGTTGCTGGCAAAACATACCTCAAAGTTTTGTTATTGTGATGGATGAGACATTTATGTAAATGATTTAGGTGTGTAAAAGTAATAGAGAAGAGATATTGATACCAAGAATGATAAAATCATCCTGGAAATTATCATTTCTAATGATATTTTTTTATCAAATAATACTAGTGATGCCAATTTAAGGTGAGGCAGTGATATCTTCATTGGTCCAAAAGAACTTCAGAGTTACAGATGGTTGTTCCTAATGTAATGATAATGAAAACAATGTGAGTTCATGAAGGACATGAAGTCTAGCACAAATTCTTTTGAAATTAGGGAAATATTTCTGATCAGAACAAATCTCAAGCACTTGACTATTTTGAGGAATTGTTTATATTTAACACTCCAAAGTGAACCTTATGAATAATATAATGTGGTAATCTAAGTTCTTTGTATTGAATACCCACTATCAACATTTGTTTGTAGCTTTCCCTGTAATTTATTTATCCAGGTGTTATTTTTTTCAACTATCTGAAGTAGATTTAATTCTTTTCTATGTTGAAATTTTCACAAGAAAACAAATTTTTGGTATTCAGTTATTGAACAGTTTTTTTTTTAGTTCTAATCAAAAATTAATTCTTTCTGGGTTGAAAAAAGAAGTTTGAATAAGAGGGATAATTATTGTGAAACAGTAAACAGAAAAGAAACTAATGATTATTCACTAAGAAAATATTATAGTATAACATTCTAGTAAGGAAATTGAAGTGGTGCTCCTATCTAAAAGAGCAGATTGACAATGTACATAGGTACAGGGTGTTTCCTTATATTTGGACCACTACCTACAACTTCAACTATAGGAGGTAGAAAAAAAAATTGAATATGAAAGTTATAGGCTTTCATCTGTACCATTACCATCTTTTGGCACTTCTTGAATGAACAAATGTCAATCACAAAATAGAAAAATAGAGTCTATATCAGTTTTTTCAAAATGGAACACCCTGTGTATTTTCAACTGTGGTGAAATATCTTTTTCTTCTGTTCTAAAATATATATATATTTTGCTATTGTTCTCTTGAGCAATTTTCTAGTGAATTCCTGCTGCACTTCTGATATTTTTGCAATATTTTCATAATATACAGTGTGACCCACTTAAGACCGGAGCACCGTTATAAAATCTATAGTTTTTAACCAATTTCTTTTTTTTTTTTTTTCGTTTCAGCAGAAGGACTCTCCGGAGATCTACGTTTACACAAATTTGCAAAATAAAATTTCAATCTACAGGGCATACTATGTTATTTTTTTCATCTTAAAAATTGCGAAATATCATTAGCGATTTTTTCCAAAAAAATCGACCCCACCACTGAATTCAGCATCCTCCATTCAGGTTGAGCGCAAAATTTCATTGAAAAATATCAATTGGCAACAAAGTTATAACAAGATTAATTTTGATTGCTCACCATTTTTTATGAATATTTCAGACATATTCTGAGAAGTGGCAACATTGTCAACACAAATGTTGGAAATCATCAATAGGTTTCTGGTATACATTCGAATTGATTACACTAATTATTATCGAGTTATAACATCTAAAATGGAATAAAATGAAAAATGCATAACGTCGAAAAATCGGCCTTGTTCATCCAAATAATTAGAGTAAAAAAATCGGATAGTCTGTATAGTAAGATAAAGATAATATCAGAAGCCAAAAACATCAAGAGCTTTCAGAAATTGTTGGTTTACATTGATGATTAACTTATTATGAAAAGCTGTTTTTCCGACTTCATTACTTCATTCCAAAAGGGTACCATTCTAGAGATTATAACTCAATAATAATTTGTGTTATCAATTCAAATCTATACCAGAAACCTCGAGGATTTCCAACATTGGTGTTGACAATGTTGCCGCTTCTCAGAATTTGTCTGAAATATTCACAAAAAATGGTGAGCCATCAAAATTAATGCTGTCATAACTTTGTTGCCAATTGACATTTTTCAATGAAATTTCGCGCTCAACCTAATTGAAAGATGCTGAATTCAGTGGCGGGGTCGAATTTTTTTTTAAATCGCTAATATATTTCGCAATTTTTAACTTGAAAATATATATATAATATAGTATGCCCTGTAGATTTAAATTTTATTTCGCAAATTTGTGTAAACGTAGATCTCCCGATAGTCCTTCCGCTGAAACGAAAAAAAAAAGAAATTGGTTAAAAACTAAAGATTTTATAAGGGTGCTCCGGTCTTGAATGGGTCACACTGTATATAATAATATATACTATTTCTTATTTGTTCTCTACAAAATAGCCCATTTCAATTATTATAAAACCCACAATGATGTCAAAGAATGCCTGTTTTGTTTCCATCTTTCTGGTGTGTCCACAGCCACCTAGAAATGCTATTGACTTGAATTCAATGGTAAATAAGTGGAAAATGGTTCCAGGAAACATTAGCGAACCATATATATTTGTGAACAGGAGAAAAAGATCTTTCTATTTTGCGATTCACATTTGTTTTTTCAAGGAGTGCCAAAGAATATTACAGATAAAACCTTACAACTTTCATATTTTACGTTTTTTTCCACCTCATGTAGTTGAAGCTGTAGGTAGCGGTCAAAATATATGGAATCACCCTGTACATGTTATTTTGATGACCCCTACTAAGGTCATAAAACATCTTGATTTCGCCGCTCCATCTGCAATATCAGTTTATAATTTGAAATAAATGTAATACACCCCATTGCCTCCATTTTGACCGGAAGAATCCCCCCTAGGTTGTAGATCTTTTGGCTCCCTACGCCAAGGGAGGTAAGATCGGCCTGTTCGGCGGTGCCGGTGTAGGCAAAACTGTACTCATCATGGAGCTGATCAACAACGTCGCCAAAGCCCATGGTGGTTACTCTGTGTTCGCCGGTGTGGGGGAACGTACCCGTGAAGGTAAAAACGATAATCCCTACTTCCCTACCTATATTATAAATGTGAATGTACGTCTGTTTGTAAGGTTTTCACGCCAAAACTACTCCACCAATTATCATGAAACTTTGTATACCGGGTGCCACAGGAGACTTGTAAAGCCCGTGTCTCACGGTCCAACAATTTGATCAAATTTGTTTGATGTGACGTCATTCTTACCTGTTTGACTCAAACGGTTTGATGTGACAAGAAATCTTTGTCACACGATTTGAAGATTTTTGAACAAAAATATTGGTTAAGTACGTTTTCTAAAATGGAAAAAATCATAAGGGAAAATTAAATAAAATTCATTACATGGTAAGTATTATGTGTTGTATTTGTAATACAAAGTGATTTAGAAATAAGAGGGAGATATGTAGAAGATATTAGCTTCAAAGAAGAAATATTGGTAGATGAGTCCTACCTATGATTTTTGATGGGGTCAGACTGGAAGAAATCCCATAGTGAATTTCAAAACTACCTGAGAATTGATGGGAAAAGTTTCAGATCTTTATCAATCCATATATGCATGTGAACTTATACCTGCAGAAGGTGAGATCATAACAAATTCTCTACTCAACCAAACATAAATTTGGGATTGGAGCAAGACAAAAATTCTTCTTGAAATATCCGAAATGGTCCTCAGTCCAATTACCAGGACAGACATTTTTGAAGTGTTGATAATATTAATGATAGTATTGTTACATCCTAAGATATAAAATAATAATCAATAATCAATGAAGAAAACATGAAAACAAGCATCCTAACCTTATTGTTTGATTCAACATGACAAATATAAGAACAAGTTCTAAATTTCATCTGCTGTTTGACGTGACGTCACTGATGACATCACAGATCTGTAGTTTGATCAAATTGTCGGACCGTGAGACACAGCCTTAAACAGCCTGTAGTATTTTTATTTGAAGAGATGAAATGAAATTCACAAGGGTATATTATCGATGATGGCGCTTCCCTTGAACCCAATGACAATTTTCTTCAACCACCTGTTTAATCAGACCCATTTTTTTTTTCAAAGGGCTCTGTATATTTCTGTCGCCTTTCTTATTTGCCTTGAAATTCTCTATTCAACTGTGTATCACAAATTGATATTCGTTCATTAATTGGCTGTTAAATTGCATTTTATTGAAATACATGAAGTTGGCTGTGGCCCCAATGCAATGACATTTTGATGCTTGATTGGCTTAGAAATCCAAAGATCATTACTTTGACGATATTATAAGAATATTTTCCATACCCTAATCTGTGCCAGAAGATTGCCAATAATTTCATTGAGTTTAAAAAAATCATCCGAAAATAACTCGATATTGAGAAAACTAAGATAGAATCTTAGTTTTTTTTCATTTGGCTACTAGTGAAGACAATATTTGTCATTCATTTTTGCCATGTAACCATAATATGATCATCCATTTGGATACATGGAACTGAAATTGTTGTAATAATTGATGTATCGACCTAATATCGTGAGTTATTTTCGAACGATTTTTTTAAACTCTTTGAAATTATTGGCAATCTTCTGGGACCGATTAGGATTAGGGTATAGAAAATATTCTGATAATATCGTCTAAGTGAAATTTCTGTATTTGGGCCACAGCCAACTTCATGTATTTCAATAAAATGCAATTTAACAGCCAATTAATGAACAAATATCAAATTGTGATATATTGTTGAATAGAGAATTCCAAGGCGAATAAGATAGACTACAGAAATATACAGGGTCCCGTTTAAAAAAAAGTGTTGTCTACTTCCAGTCCAACAGGTGGTTGAAAAAAAAAATTCATTGGGTTCAAAGGAAGCGCCATCATTAATAATATTACCCTTGTGAATTTCAAATTTTTATCCCTTCATCTAAAAAAATTACAGGCTGTTTACATGTCCTCCTGTGTGACCCAGTATAGTCGGGACATTTTGGGAAGGCGAAGTCTACCATGAAACGTCGGTGAGACAAAATGTATATGTTCATTTAATTTCAACTTTAACTGCTTGATGGTGATGAAATTGAGTGACAGTTGTCCGACCAGTCCTAATTACACTAAGACTAAGACTAATGTCTAATGAGAATACAGGTGGAGAGGCAATATTACTGTAGTGCAGGTATGTCTGTACTCATGCCAGGATCGGATTTGGAATCATTAAAAGATTAATTATATTATAGATTTATCAGGTACATATTCCAACAGTCCTCAATTTCTCATTGGTCTGATGGGGATGATAAATCTTCACATATATTAATTATACCTCATTAATTTCAAGTCCCTCTCTGTTAATCTACCTGGTTTTTAAAAGATGGAACCTCTAATCGGCCATCTTTCTCTGGTATAATCAATTCCTCCATAATGTTAATAGTAGCTTAAGTAGGGAACGTATATTTCAAACAAGTGGTAATCATTTGGACGTATATATTGTGTCTCACCAACGTTTTATGACGGATTTCGCCTTCCGAAAATGTCCCGACTATACATATTCATGGATGTATTAGACTTTTTATTAAGAGTTTGTTTTACGGCGGATAACAAAATGTATTTTGGCAGTAATGATTGTTGGGACACAGAAGAAGGAAAGCTCAAAGTCATCTCAACTACTTTTTTACTGATGTAATGATGTAAATCAATCAAGGAAATATGTTTCGGACTTGTAAAAGTTTATCTTCAGCCGTATTCAGAATTTAATGGAGGTGAAACAGAATTATCAAGAAAAGATGCTGATGTCTATCATCATTGTATTGGTAAAAAAGGGGTTCAGAATGAACGGGTTTTCGTTTTCATTGGCCCACTAGTTATCTCAACATTGAAACTGAATTGTTGGTGTTTTTTTTTTGTAAAGAATATCTGGAATATGGGGTGGAATGATTTTTTTTTTCAGGAGTTAATTTTGTTTTATTATTATTTTGAGGTTACCACAGTCCCAGCTCCGAATGAAATTTTTCTAATAATTCATGCGGCGTTTTATACTGTGGAGATCGATTGCTGTGCTCGCTATGTTTGCTAATCTTTTTAGTGATTGGTATAATACAATGTACAGCTACAAAACTTCCTGTCCAGGTTATAATGTAAGGGAAGATTCTAAAATTGTGTTGGTAATAAGTTTCTTCATTTCAAGAGTACCGTGTAATTTTGAGAATCAACTTGGGTGTTGAGTTTTACTTTGAAAAATATGCAAAATGGCTTACTTGGTCATGGTGTTGGAAGAATTTTCGAAAAACGGTGTTTCTTGGTAATTGAAGAAACGTTTTCCAGTCTAAAAAAAGTTATTCAGGATTTTTTAAATTTGGACCATTTTAGTCTATCTTGAATGGCTGAGGAAACTTGCAAAATTTTTAATTCCATATGCTTTATTGAAAAAAAAATATTGAAAAAGTTACTTTGTTTTTTTTTCAAAATCGAGATTTTTCAACTTGAGGAATTTTGTGTCGATGAACATATATGTTTCTTGGGAATAATAATGATTATTATTATTATTATCTTCGAAGGAATGTATCAAATTACCAGTATCCCTCTATAGCTATCTATCTATCTATCTATCTATCTATCTATCTATCTATCTATCTATACGAAGTTAAGGGTGAAATGAAAGAGTAACTTTTGTTCTTCTCTGTATAATGATCAAGTCATCAGGTTTTCTTGAAATTTCAAATTCAGGCAAGAATTGAATTAGTTTCAAAAACCATGTATTGCTCATACTCTGGGAAATATTTTTTCTCACGGCACTTTGCCAACACCACATACATTTCCATGGAGAATCAAGAAAAATCGACCAAAATTCAATTGACAGAGATAATGGAAAAATTGACAAAGTTGGATTTGTTTCCGGAAATTTCAAGAAAAAAGTATGAATTGTCATATACGAGGAATTCATAGAATCTAAAAAAAAATAAGGAAATAAAATCTTTTTCGGAAAGTGTACTTTTTTGAAATACCTTGAGGAACTAGGAAAGGCGTCTACTCTTTGGTCACAATATTCAATGTGGCATAGTGCCACATTATAAAATGAATACCATTTAGTTACATTACTTGGATTCTTTGGAAAAGTGCAGTTGTAGAAAAAGTATAGTGTGCAACATGTGGGGAAAAGTACTCTTCTCACTCGTGTGTTTGCATCACTCGCCCTTCAGGCTCGTGCCACAAACTTTCGCACTCGTGAGAAAAGTTGAACTTTTCCCACTTGTTGCACAATATACTATTTCCTGGCCAGTTTTTTTGCCGGTGAGTGTAGATCTTACGCTAGCTGTAAGCATGGTGGTCATTCACTAGGTAACGACTTGTACCACGAGATGATCGAATCCGGCGTGATATCGCTGAAGGACAAGACGTCGAAGGTGGCGTTGGTGTACGGCCAGATGAACGAACCGCCAGGCGCCAGAGCCAGGGTGGCCTTGACCGGTCTGACAGTGGCAGAGTACTTCCGTGACCAGGAGGGGCAGGACGTATTGCTCTTCATCGACAACATTTTCAGGCAAGTGCACAGTCACATAGAGAAAAAGTACATCTTGAAATACATATACCCGGGAAAAACTTTGAATGTCCTCATGTATAAATTGAAAAAATGATCCGTTACTGTTGCATTCACGTGAGATTTCCAGATGGATTCTTGTTATGTAAGTACTAGCAGACCTCGCAAACGTTCGGTTTGTTTAGTGGCGAAAACAGTGTAGTATGACTGATTTGTCCATCTTTCAATACTTATTTTGAATAAACTTGGTATCCAATTGACCTTCTCAATAGATTCACGCAAGCCGGTTTGGAGGAGTCTCACCCTGATCCTTTCTGGAAGATTTTCAGAAGATTATGAACATATCTATTGTGCAAGATGTTCTTTGAATCTAGTGTAATCAATTCTCCTAGTTCGCCCAACATACGCTCGGTTCTTTTGGTGGCGAAAACAGTGTAGTATGATAGATTTGTCCATATTTCAACCTTCTCTATAGATTTACGCAAGCCTGTTCCGAGGTGTCCGCCCTGCTGGGTCGAATCCCCTCGGCCGTAGGTTACCAACTTAAACTGGTCACTAACATGGGCAGCATGCATGAGCGTATCACCACCACAAAGAATAATAATTCGCAAAATGGTCGAATTTGTTCTAAAAAGTTGGACTTTCTCGACTTTTATTCCAACTCATCCGAAAATTGCCCTTTAAAGTTGTTTGCAACACAAGATGTTCTTTGAATCGAGTTACAACGATTCTCTTAGTTTGCCCAACATACGTTCGGTTCGTTTAGTGGCGAACTTTTGAAAATTCGAGATAATTTTCAGAAGCTTGAAAGGTTTCAGAACATTTTGGAATATTACAACGAATTCTTGAACAGTCTGGAACATGGTCGCGAAACGTGTGACGTCAGTGCGCGAGCAATTTGGATTGGTAATGCCCTCACCTTCTCGCGGGAGCCAATAAAATGCACAATGGACCTAACAATGATACCAATTTGGACAGAAAGCTATGATTTGTCGGATAATCATTTCTCGATTTTTTTTATTCCAGCAAATAATACAGATGCTGTTAGATAACTCAATAAAAATTCATGGTAAAAATTGCATTGCATAGTTAGTTGGATGGTTGATTTCTGTTTGTGGATTATTCAAAATCGTAAGGAAAATTTCATTTTGTATTGAAGTACAGTGCAGATATTCATGACATTCAGTTTCAAATACCTTCCAGTAAAGTACTTTCAAGTTTCACCTATACCTATCTACCATAGAGAATGGAACAAATTTTGAAACAATCAATAATACTAATTGCTTACTTGATTCTATTTTCTTTTGATTCTAGTACACACATCACTGCCTTCTTGTCAATAATATTGTGAGAGTTATGCGGAGGATGAGGTATTTTAACTTTACCACAGTCCCAGCTCCGAGTGACATTCTGCTAATAATTCATGCGGCGTTTTATACTGTGGAGATCAATTTTGCTGTGCTCGCTATGTTTGCTAATCATTTCAGTGATTAGTATAATACAATGTACAGCCACAAGACTTTTTTCGAGGTTATATTAGTAGAGACGAATCTAAAATTCCGTTTTTAATGAGTATCCTCACTCTATTTGGTATTAACCATCAAGAAAAGAGCAGCACCATTTGATACCAATCAGTTCATTTAATATTTTTCTGTCATAACATTTCGTGGTAGCCACTTTATGAACATGGTGGAAGGAAATGATACGGATCTAGACAGGAGAAAATCAGTAACTGAAAGACTGAATATCTGTAATGAATTTGAATCTCATCTGAAATGTATCCTCCTAAATTGTTGGCAACGAAGATGTGTAAAAGATGTTCTTTGAATCTAGTTTCAACAATTTTATCAGTTTGCCCGACATACGTTCGGTTCGGTTAGTGGCAAAACAGTGTGTACTGTACAACTGATCTGTTCAAATTTCAATCATTATTTTCAAGGAACTTTTTTACCAACCTCCCCTCCCCCCAGATGTTATTTAAATCCAGTATCAACGATTCTCCTAGTTTGTCCAACATACGTTCGGTTTCTTCAGTGGCGAAAACAGTGTAGTATGACTGATTTGCCCATATTCGAATAAACTTGTAATCCAATTGACCTTCTCAATATATTCACGCAAACCGGTTTGGAGGTGTCTCGCTCTGACCCTATCTGGAAGATTTAAGAACATTCTGGAAAATTCTAACGCATTTTATGAACAATTCTAGATTTATTGTATATAACTCAAAACATTTGAGAATTCTGAAAAATTTTCAAAGGCTTGAAAGGTTTCAGAACATTTTGGAAAAAGAAATTGTGCAAGATGTTCTTTGAACCTAGTGTAATGGATTCTCCTAGTTCGCCCGAATTTGTTCAAAAAGTTCGACTTTTATTCCAACATTGCTTGAGTGTATCGTCTTGTAGCTCATCCGAAAATTGTTCTTCAAAGTTTTTAGCAACAAAATTGTCCACAAGATGATATTTAAATCCAGTATCAACGATTCTCCTAGTTTGCCCAACATACGTTCAGTTTGTTTAGTGGCGAAAACAGTGTAGTATGACTGATTTGTCCATATTCCGAGTAAACTTGTTATCCAATTGACCTTCTCAATAGATTCACGCAAGCCGGTTTGCTCTGACCCTTTCTGGAAGATTCTAGAACTTTTATGAACAATTCTAGAATTATTGTAGAGAACTGTAAGAAAATTCTGGAATTTGGTACATTCTAGTACATTTTGAATGATATTAGAGCACTATGTAATATTCCAGAGAATTCTGAATGTTCTAAAACATATGAAAGGTTCTGGTAAATTCAAAACATTTGTAAATTCTAATAAAATTTCAAAGCCTTGAAAGGTTTCAGAACATTTTGGAAAAAGAATTCTTGAACAATCTCGAACAGTTTGATAAATTCTAGAGTATCTTGAAGAATTCCAAATATTTTCGGGAGATTGTGAACAAATCTATTGTGCAAGATGCTCTTTGACTCTAGTGTAATGGATTCTCCTAGTTTGCCCAGCATACGCTCGGTTCGTTTAGTGGCGAAAACAGTGTAGTATGACTAATTTGTCCACATTTCGTTACTTATTTAGAATAAACTCCTTATTCATTTGACCTTCTCCATAGATTCACGCAAGCCGGTCCGGAGGTGTCCGCTCTGACCCTTTCTGGACGATTCTAGAACATTCTGGAAAATTCTAACGCTTTTTATGAATAATTCTAGAGTACATTTTGAATGATATCAGAGTACTATGTATTATTCCAGAGAATTCTGAATGTTCTATGTGAAAGACTGGTAGATTCAGAACTTTTGAAAATTCGAGATAATTTTCAAAAGCTGAAAGGTTTAAGAACATCTTGGAATATTTCAAAGAATTCTTGAACAATCTGGAACCGTTTGGTAAAATCCAGAGTATTTTGGAAGATTATGAACAATCCTAGTGTGCAAGATGCTCCTTGAATCTAGTGTCATGGATTCTCCTAGTTTGCCTAACATACGTTCGGTTCGTTTAATGGCGAAAACAGTGTGGTACGACTGATCTGTTGATATTTCCATCCTTATTTCGAATAAACTCGATAGATTCACGCAAGCCGGTTCGGAGGTGTCCGCCCTGTTGGGTCGAATCCCCTCGGCCGTAGGTTACCAACCCACCCTGGCCACCGACATGGGTAGCATGCAGGAGCGTATCACCACCACCAAGAAGGGCTCCATCACGTCCGTGCAGGCCATCTATGTGCCCGCTGATGATTTGACAGATCCCGCACCTGCCACCACGTTCGCCCATTTGGACGCTACCACGGTGTTGTCGAGGGCGATCGCCGAATTGGGTGAGTAGGCGTCGATATCGTCTTATTTTCATTTTTATTCTCGAACATTTTGGAAGATTGGAACGTCCCAAAAAATTATTGAGCATTCCGGAACAGTTTGGTAAGTTCTAGAGTATTTTGGAAAATTCTAAAAATGTTCGGAAGATTATGAACAAAGTTATTGTGCAAGATGTTCTTTGAACCTAGTGTAATGGATTCTGCTAGTTCGCCCAACATAGGCTCGGTTCGTTTAGTGGCCAAAACAGTGTAGTATGACAGATTTTTTCATATTTCAACCTTCTCGATAGATTTACGCAAGCCGGTTCGGAGGTGTCGGTGTGTTTTTGAATGATTTTCGAACATTTTGGAAAACTCTGAAACATTCACATTCTTGAACATCTTGGAAGATTATAGACAATTCTGGACAAAGCTGTTTAGATGATTTTGAAAGGTTTTAGAAAATTTTGGAATGCCACAAAGAACTCTTGAGTGGAACAGTTTGGAAGATGTTGGTATATTAGAGTATTTTTGAATGATTCTCGAACATTTTGAAGGATTCGAAAATATTCTTGAATATTTTGAAAGATTGTAGAACATTATGGACAATTCTAAAGCTTTTTGGAAGATTATGAAAGGTTGAAGGAAATTTCGGAATATTCCAAAGAATTATTGAAAATTCTAGAACAGTTTGCAGATTTTGGTAAATTATCAAGTATTTTTGAAATATTCTCGAACAATTTTGGTGGATTCTAAGATATTCTTGAACATTTTGGAAGATCATTGAACATTTTGGGATATTCTAAAGCATTCTTGAAAATTCTGGAACAGTTTGGAAGATTCTAGAAGGTTTTATAAATTTATAAAGCATGCTGGAAAATTCTTGAGCATTTTGGATGATTATGAACAATTCATCATTTTTTGAGATTCTAGAAAAATCTGTAATATTCGAGCATAATGGAACATTTTACAACATTTCAAAATATATTGGAGCAATCTGTAATGTTTCAAAGAATTCTTGATAATTCTGGATCATTTAATATATTTTATAGAATATTTTGAACGTTTCTTATAAATCCTTAATTATGTAATTGTGTTGGATTATTTTGATATTACCACAGTCCCAGCTCCGAGTGACATTTTGCTAATAATTCATGCGGCGTTTTATACTGTGGAGATCAAATGCTGTGCTCGCTATGTTTGCTAATTATTTCAGTGATTAGTATAATACAATGTACAGCTACAAAACTTCCTGTATAATGTTAGGGAAGATTCTAAAATTGTGTTGGTAATAAGTTTCTTCACTTCAAAAGTACCGTGTAATTTTGAGATTCAACTTGGGTGTTGAGTTTTACTTTGAAAAATATGCAAAATGGCCTACTTGGTCATGGTTCCTGATTATCGAAGGATGCGTGGTCTCAGTAATTAGGTCCAGGATGTTAGGAATATTCTAGAACATTCTTGAACATATTTGAAGATTTGTGAACATTTTTGAACAAATTGGAAGATTCTAAAACGTTCCAGAAGATTCTAGAACATTCTATAGAGCATTTATCGAGATTTTATATAATTCTAGAATTCTCAGGCATATTGGAACATTCTAGAACATTTCAAAAGATATCAGAGTGCTCTGTAATATTTCAGATAATTCTTGAATATTCTGGAACATTTTGGAAGATTCTTGTTGATTCTAGAGTATTCTCGAACCTATTGGGACTCTCTTGAACATTCAGAAAAATCCAGAACATTCTGTAACTCTCAAACATTGTGGCCAGAACATTTTGAAAGATAGATTTATTGGTGTTAATATACATATAAGTACTTACACAAGTCAGTAAAAGGTCAATACACTTATACTTGTAGTCGGACAATATACAAATATATGTTAGCTTTCAAGAACCCGCCACTGATGATTTCATCACCTCCTCGGAGACTGGGTCCAACGCAAATCTGATGACCGGGCAAAAAGCACAATAGTTCGAACAGTCAAGCACAATTCGAGCAGTCAGGCGTTGACATTTATATTGCGAACTGGCTTCCATATTTTATTTCTCAAAGTTTCATTAAAAAACAATCATTTCGATAATTTCGAGTTTAATTTAGACTAAAATCTATCATCAGAAGTGGGATACCTCCTTTGAGCCCAAAATCGAAGGAGGAAGGACAAAATATTGTGGAGAAAATATCCTTTTGTGTGGAAAAATGGCGGACAAAAGTGCACAGAGCCTCGTTAGTGAGTACAGTGACAGTGATAGCGAAAGCAATATAAACAGAAACATGATGAAAATGTGGAAACTGCAGCAGAGGAATAATATACAGCTCCAAAATCAGATGATTCAGGTTTTAACAACAATGGCTACCCAACAGAGTCCAGCTGAAACGGCCTCGCCCAGTTCCAAACAGTTTGCGCTTAGTCAGGAAAACAACTTCGTAGGTTCTGCGCAGATCAAGCTGTCAACTTTTGATCCCGACGATACCCCCTTCACCATGACCGAATGGATGGATGAGGTCACTCGTATTCAGCAGGAAATAAGCTTATCGGACACTTTAATTGTTTTGAAAGCCGGTGACGCCTTACGAGGTAGAGCGGCGAGATTTTATAAACATTGGAAACCTTTGGTGCGGGATTGGGTTTCATTTCGTCGCGATTTTGATGTGGCATTCCCAGAACAAGGAACTCCGGCAACTAGAATTCTGGCATGTTTGGCGATCAAAAGTTCCGACTTTGCGTCATTGGTGGAATATGGAAACGCCAAACTTGCTGCCATTAAATGCTTTTATTCGAATTTTCCATGGCCTATTATTCTCAGCCTGTTGGAATATGATGTACAGGATTCGGAAGTCAAGAACAGAATCTGTCTTCATGCACCGTCATGTGAAACGGACTTACTGAAATTATTGGCAGTGTGTGATGCCCGAAATGTCACGGAAAAAGCGGTAGCATCTGAAAATCATCTTGAATCCCGAGACCGTCTAAGAAAACGACAGTATAACTCTCCTCCTTATCGTCCACGTGCTTCAATATCATCATCGAGTTTCCCAGGAAAGTGTCGAAAGTGCAATCAATACGGACATAAACAATCCGATTGTAAATAGTGGATCCGCCGCACTTCTAATTCTGAACAAGACACTCCCACTAGCTCTGGAGTAAAACAAAATGTTTCAATCACGGATGTGAAGTCTAGATGTAAATACTGTAAGAATATAGGTCATACAGAAGAGAGATGCCACCGCAAACAAAGTGACACGAAGCGTGTGATGTTAACACAAAAATCTCGCGTCATCAGGTCATTCCCCAATGCGACAATAACACACGAGAGAAACATTCTGTCAGTTCCGTATTTAGTCGATACAGCTGCTGACGTATCAATTCTTCATGAGAAGGTCGCTAAAATGTTACATTTAGACATTCAGTCAGCTGATTTCTAGCAACAGGAATGTGAAATAGTATGACACGTCCTATTGGAACATGTAGTACAATCATGGTAACACCAAATATGACACTGGAAATCGAGTTTATAGTAGTACCATGCACTGGTTGGTCTTGATGTGTTATAAAAAGGCCCGGAATCAAAGTGGAGGTCACTGCTAACGGTGCAAACATGGTTCACGATCTATGGCATTATGGTCCTCGTATTATGAGCCTGCGTACCCTGGATATTGATGATGTTAATTTGTCAGGATTGGACGAGCAAGTAGCTACCACAGTGAAAGGAATACTGAAAAATGCATCGAAAAATAGAACATGATTTTAATGTGACGGTCAATAAATCAACGAAAGTGTCACCATATGAACTGATGTTTGGGTCAACTTGCCGGTTAGCAACTTCCAGTCAGCTTTTAGCTGAATAGCCGATGCAGCACAAGGTCGTCGATTATGATGAACTTCGAAAGCGGGTGTTTAGACGAATGGAAACCATTCGAGAAAAGACAGAGGCAGACTTTAATAAGAAAAGGATTGCCGCAGTGCCGTACACAATAGGCGATCAGGTTGCAGTATAAGACAGTCAGTTCGCTTCAGGTGGGAAATTGAAGCCTAAATTTCAGGGACCTTTTGAGGTGACTCATTGTCTACAAAACGAAAGGTATGCTTTAAGACGTTTAAATGGACGTCGGTGGACGACTGTAGCTGCACATGAGCAGTTGCGTACTTGGCCTCTATAAGGTAATCGCTTGTATTCTCTTTTGTGTATACGTTGTTGTTATTGTTGGTACAAGAAAAAATGAAGATAATTGGAACAACGGCTAGTACTTTCAGTACGGAACCGGTAGTTACTGATTATTACAGCAACAGTTAGTACTTTTGGTACGGAGCTGGTAGCTATGGAGATATAAAGCAACAGTACTTTCAGTACGGAGCTGGTAGCTAAGGACAAACAACAGTTAGTACTTTCAGTACGGAGCTGGTAGCTAAGAACATACAACAGTTAGTACTTTCAGTACGGAGCTGGTAGCTGAGAACATACAACAGTTAGTACTTTCAGTACGGAGCTGGTAGCTAAGAACATACAACAGTTAGTACTTTCAGTACGGAGCTGGTAGCTAAAAACATACAACAGTTAGTACTTTTGGTACGGAGCTGGTAGCTAAAAACATACAACAGTTAGTACTTTTGGTACGGAGCTGGTAGTTAGTGATAGTTAGTACTTTTAGTACGGAGCTAAAAATAAGAGAGATAATTTGACAGAAGTACTTTTAGTACAAAGCTGTCAGATAATCTTTTCTATTGTAATGGTGTGATTTAATTATTCGTTTTTCTTTCCACAGTTGAGCCGTTTCATTCGAGTTAGTGCGAGGACGCCCTCAAGTCAGGAAGGCCGTGTTAGCTTTCAAGAACCCGCCACTGATGATTTCATCACCTCCTCGGAGACTGGGTCCAACGCAAATCTGATGACCGGGCAAAAAGCACAATAGTTCGAACAGTCAAGCACAATTCGAGCAGTCAGGCGTTGACATTTATATTGCGAACTGGCTTCCATATTTTATTTCTCAAAGTTTCATTAAAAAACAATCATTTCGATAATTTCGAGTTTAATTTAGACTAAAATCTATCATATATACTTTCAAAATCATGTACCAGGTGAACAACTAAGAACGGCTGTCGGCGTGATCTGGAGTATCAATAGATATCGTGAATTAAAAATATAATGTATGCATCTTATGACACGATCAAATAGAGAAACTAGATCTCAACAGACCAACGAAAACTGCAACATGATAGCTTTTCGCTAACGGAAGATTTTGACGATCAAAGTTGATGACTTGTGTTCTTAGTTGTTCACCCGGTACATGTTGAAATAATTCAAAATATCCTAGGTCTTGTTCACTTGATCAGTTCTATTTCTATGTTACCAAATCATTGAAATTATTCGTGGTATATTCACCAATTGAGTACAATGCTTTTGTAAAAAAAAAAATTCTTAAAGATTTTGATGAAACAATTTAAATTTACATTCTTGAGTTTTGATCATTTCTGTCCTTGAAATGATACAGTTGTAGATACAATTTCATTTGAATATCAGGTATCTACCCCGCTGTGGACCCCCTAGATTCCACGTCTCGTATCATGGACCCCAACATCATCGGCGCTGAACACTACCAGGTGGCTCGTGATGTACAGAAAATCCTACAGGACTACAAATCTCTGCAGGTGAGGTATATTCATTGTTGTCCCAATATCATTTTTCATTCAATCATTTACAAGTCTCATTCTTCCTTGTGCCTCAGGACTTTGTTTATACAGGGTTGCCGAAAAATAATATCTTCTTCACTAGTAGCTCCCCGCAAATTTTCGATTCAACTGATATTTTTTGATAATTAAATGAATTATTTTCCATCGCCTTCTCCCCTTTGTCCGTTTCACTTCATCATTTTTACAAGTGTCAGTGTAATTTGTTCCCCATTGATTTTGATATACAGGGTTGCCTTGAATTTGAAGTGAATTATTTTCGTTCAACCCGTTTCCTTGGCCTTTAAACCACCCCGACTTGATCTTTATCTTCCTTAAAAGCACCAGATTGACTTGTTTTTTGGTCTCTTTGGTTGTCAAAAGGAAGTATATTAAAAGTTATTCCTGGGTGCGGACAAAATTCATGCCTAGTTTTGTTCCTCAATCTGGTATAAGACAATACTCATGAGCTTTAAAGAGTATATTCATCAACTCAGATGTTAACTCCTATAGATCGTAACTTAGCTACTTCCTTGGCTTTTTGACGAGAGGTTTTAATCATTTCACCACCCAAATAAAGAGTCAAGACAGTTATCTTATAAAATTTTACATTTATTGATTAAATGGAAAAATCGAGGGAAAAATTCTTGCCTAATGACTTGTATTGATAAAAATTGTGCCATATCGACTCGGCTACTATTTATATTCTGAATCGATGCTAGGTTCGCAATTTTCCGCAATGGGAATGGCCGTTACCTTCCGATATTGCTTACCTAGGTATTATCGCACGGTAAGCGGTTTTTTTGCAAATTTTAAAGGAAACGACGTCTATGAACTCCGCTGACCTGATCGAAACTACAATGTACGGAAAAGTTGATTTATGATGAAAGATCTTGAAATGAACGGGAGTTTGAATTATGTTAATTCATAGACATTTGTACTTCTTGACAATATAGTCCAGTACATCTCAGTATGAACTATTTCAATTCTTCCGAAGAGGGTTAATATAGAGGGTGGTGTAAAAGTAACAACCCTATTGAGAGGTGCTCCACCCTCAACATGTTTTTTTTCACGTACTTCAAACTGTAATTTCATCAGTACATCCTCTTTCAACCAACATTCCGATGAGGAGAAGCCATGAGCTTGCATTTGAAAAAAAACTGGGCTGATTTCAGCTACTCTCGTATTGCTTGCTGAATTTAGTGAAACGTTGACGTGTAAAGTCTCCACCCTGTATAATTATAGAGTATCCCAGTATTCTAGAACATTCTAAAACATTCCCGAATGTTTTGAAAGGTTTCAAAACATTAGGGTATCAACTTTGAGATAGTCATCGAACCTTCAGTGATTTTTTTTTCTTTCAGGACATCATCGCCATCTTGGGTATGGACGAACTTTCTGAAGACGACAAACTGACCGTGTCACGTGCCCGTAAGATCCAACGTTTCCTGTCGCAACCCTTCCAGGTGGCCGAAGTCTTCACCGGTCATCCCGGAAAACTTGTACCACTCGCGGAAACCATCAAGGTAAGAAAAAGTACACGTCACATGACTCGTGGTCGGTGCACAAAGTCCACGTTTTGCAACCGATTTTGAATAGTTCTTTGGTAGTAGAATGTGAAGTTGTCGGTAGACCGAGATCGACTGATGAGACCTGGTGGGCCGAAACAGTACTGTCTCGCTCTTGCTGACAAATGGCAACTCTATTCATTTTGGATATCTTTGTTATAAGATCTAGTGGAAGATCATTGAGGATTCTGAATATTAGAAGTCATAATTCTGTTTCTATAGATTTCGAATATTTCTTTGGTAGCCGAATTTAATGTCGGTAGACCGAGATCGACTGATGAGCCCTGGTGGACCGAAACAGTACTGTCTCGCTCTTGCTGACAAATGGCAACTCTATTTATTTTGGATCTCTCTGTTATAAGATCTAGTGGAAGATCATTGAGGATTCTGGATATTATAAGTCATAATTCTGTTTATATAGATTTCAAATAGTTCTTTGGTAGCAGAATTCGAAGTTGTCGGTAGACCGAGATCGACTGATGAGACCTGGTGGACCGAAACAGTACTGTCTCGCTCTTGCTGACAAATGGCAACTCTATCATTTTGGATATCTCGGTTATTAGATCTAGTGGAAGATCATTGAGAATTCTGGATATCAGAAGTCATAATTCTGTGTATATAGATTTCGAATATTTCTTTGGAAGCAGAATTTGAAGTTGTCGGTAGACCGAGATCGACTGATGAGACCTGGTGGACCGAAACAGTACTGTCTCGCTCTGGCTGACAAATGGCAACTCTATCATTTTGGATATCTCGGTTATTAGATCTAGTGGAAGATCATTGAGAATTCTGGATATCAGAAGTCATAATTCTGTGTATATAGATTTCGAATATTTCTTTGGAAGCAGAATTTGAAGTTGTCGGTAGACCGAGATCGACTGATGAGACCCGGTGGGCCGAAACAGTACTGTCTCGCTCTTGCTGACAAATGGCAACTCTATTCATTTTGGATCTCTCTGTTATAAGATCTAGTGGAAGATCATTGACGATTCTGGATATTAGAAGTCATAATTCTGTTTATATAGATTTCGAAAATTTCTTTGGTAGCAGAATTCGAAGTTGTCGGTAGACCGAGATCGACTGATGAGACCTGGTGGACCGAAACAGTACTGTCTCGCTCTTGCTGACAAATGGCAACTCTATCATTTTGGATATCTCGGTTATTAGATCTAGTGGAAGATCATTGAGAATTCTGGATATTAGAAGTCATAATTCTGTGTATATAGATTTCGAATATTTCTTTGGAAGCAGAATTTGAAGTTGTCGGTAGACCGAGATCGACTGATGAGACCTGGTGGACCGAAACAGTACTGTCTCGCTCTGGCTGACAAATGGCAACTCTATCATTTTGGATATCTCGGTTATTAGATCTAGTGGAAGATCATTGAGAATTCTGGATATCAGAAGTCATAATTCTGTGTATATAGATTTCGAATATTTCTTTGGAAGCAGAATTTGAAGTTGTCGGTAGACCGAGATCGACTGATGAGACCCGGTGGGCCGAAACAGTACTGTCTCGCTCTTGCTGACAAATGGCAACTCTATTCATTTTGGATCTCTCTGTTATAAGATCTAGTGGAAGATCATTGACGATTCTGGATATTAGAAGTCATAATTCTGTTTATATAGATTTCGAAAATTTCTTTGGTAGCAGAATTCGAAGTTGTCGGTAGACCGAGATCGACTGATGAGACCTGGTGGACCGAAACAGTACTGTCTCGCTCTTGCTGACAAATGGCAACTCTATTCATTTTGGATCTCTCTGTTATAAGATCTAGTGGAAGATCATTGACGATTCTGGATATTAGAAGTCATAATTCTGTTTATATAGATTTCGAAAATTTCTTTGGTAGCAGAATTCGAAGTTGTCGGTAGACCGAGATCGACTGATGAGACCTGGTGGACCGAAACAGTACTGTCTCGCTCTTGCTGACAAATGGCAACTCTATCATTTTGGATATCTCGGTTATTAGATCTAGTGGAAGATCATTGAGAATTCTGGATATCAGAAGTCATAATTCTGTGTATATAGATTTCGAATATTTCTTTGGAAGCAGAATTTGAAGTTGTCGGTAGACCGAGATCGACTGATGAGACCCGGTGGGCCGAAACAGTACTGTCTCGCTCTTGCTGACAAATGGCAACTCTATTCATTTTGGATCTCTCTGTTATAAGATCTAGTGGAAGATCATTGACGATTCTGGATATTAGAAGTCATAATTCTGTTTATATAGATTTCGAAAATTTCTTTGGTAGCAGAATTCGAAGTTGTCGGTAGACCGAGATCGACTGATGAGACCTGGTGGACCGAAACAGTACTGTCTCGCTCTGGCTGACAAATGGCAACTCTATTCATTTTGGATCTCTCTGTTATAAGATCTAGTGGAAGATCATTGAGGATTCTGGATATTATAAGTCATAATTCTGTTTATATAGATTTCAAATAGTTCTTTGGTAGCAGAATTCGAAGTTGTCGGTAGACCGAGATCGACTGATGAGACCTGGTGGACCGAAACAGTACTGTCTCGCTCTGGCTGACAAATGGCAACTCTATTCATTTTGGATCTCTCTGTTATAAGATCTAGTGGAAGATCATTGACGATTCTGGATATTAGAAGTCATAATTCTGTTTGTATAGATTTCGAATATTTCTTTGGTAGCCGAATTTAATGTCGGTAGACCGAGATCGACTGATGAGCCCTGGTGGACCGAAACAGTACTGTCTCGCTCTTGCTGACAAATGGCAACTCTATTTATTTTGGATCTCTCTGTTATAAGATCTAGTGGAAGATCATTGAGGATTCTGGATATTATAAGTCATAATTCTGTTTATATAGATTTCAAATAGTTCTTTGGTAGCAGAATTCGAAGTTGTCGGTAGACCGAGATCGACTGATGAGACCTGGTGGACCGAAACAGTACTGTCTCGCTCTGGCTGACAAATGGCAACTCTATTCATTTTGGATCTCTCTGTTATAAGATCTAGTGGAAGATCATTGACGATTCTGGATATTAGAAGTCATAATTCTGTTTGTATAGATTTCGAATATTTCTTTGGTAGCCGAATTTGAAGTTGTCGGTAGACCGAGATCGACTGATGAGATCTGGTGGGCCGAAACAGTACTGTCTCGCTCTTGCCGACAAATGGCAACTCTATTCATTTTGGATATCTTTGTTATAAGATCTAGTGGAAGATCATTGAGAATTCTGGATATTAGAAGTCATAATTCTGTTTATATAGATTTCGAAAATTTCTTTGGTAGCAGAATTCGAAGTTGTCGGTAGACCGAGATCGACTGATGAGACCTGGTGGACCGAAACAGTACTGTCTCGCTCTTGCTGACAAATGGCAACTCTATCATTTTGGATATCTCGGTTATTAGATCTAGTGGAAGATCATTGAGAATTCTGGATATCAGAAGTCATAATTCTGTGTATATAGATTTCGAATATTTCTTTGGAAGCAGAATTTGAAGTTGTCGGTAGACCGAGATCGACTGATGAGACCCGGTGGGCCGAAACAGTACTGTCTCGCTCTTGCTGACAAATGGCAACTCTATTCATTTTGGATCTCTCTGTTATAAGATCTAGTGGAAGATCATTGACGATTCTGGATATTAGAAGTCATAATTCTGTTTATATAGATTTCGAAAATTTCTTTGGTAGCAGAATTCGAAGTTGTCGGTAGACCGAGATCGACTGATGAGACCTGGTGGACCGAAACAGTACTGTCTCGCTCTGGCTGACAAATGGCAACTCTATTCATTTTGGATCTCTCTGTTATAAGATCTAGTGGAAGATCATTGAGGATTCTGGATATTATAAGTCATAATTCTGTTTATATAGATTTCAAATAGTTCTTTGGTAGCAGAATTCGAAGTTGTCGGTAGACCGAGATCGACTGATGAGACCTGGTGGACCGAAACAGTACTGTCTCGCTCTGGCTGACAAATGGCAACTCTATTCATTTTGGATCTCTCTGTTATAAGATCTAGTGGAAGATCATTGACGATTCTGGATATTAGAAGTCATAATTCTGTTTATATAGATTTCGAAAATTTCTTTGGTAGCAGAATTCGAAGTTGTCGGTAGACCGAGATCGACTGATGAGACCTGGTGGACCGAAACAGTACTGTCTCGCTCTTGCTGACAAATGGCAACTCTATCATTTTGGATATCTCGGTTATTAGATCTAGTGGAAGATCATTGAGAATTCTGGATATCAGAAGTCATAATTCTGTGTATATAGATTTCGAATATTTCTTTGGAAGCAGAATTTGAAGTTGTCGGTAGACCGAGATCGACTGATGAGACCCGGTGGGCCGAAACAGTACTGTCTCGCTCTTGCTGCCAAATGGCAACTATTCATTTTGGATCTCTCTGTTATAAGATCTAGTGGAAGATCATTGAGGATTCTGGATATTTGAAGTCATAATTCAGTTTATATAGATTTCGAATATTTCTATGGTAGCAGATTTTGAAGTTGTCGGTAGACCGAGATCGACTGATGAGACATAGTGGGCCGAAACAGTACTGTCCCGCTCTTGCTGACAAATGGCAACTCTATTCATTTCGGATATCTTGGTTATTAGATCTAGTGGAAGATCATTGAGGATTCTGGATATTAGAAGTCATAATTCTGTTTATGTAGATTTCGAAAATTTCTTTGGTAGCAGAATTCGAAGTTGTCGGTAGACCGAGATCGACTGATGAGACCTGGTGGGCCGAAACAGTACTGTCTCGCTCTTGCTGACAAATGACAACTCTATTCATTTTGGATCTCTCTGTTATGGAGTGGAGATCATTAATTTATATTTGAATTATAATATCTAGAATAGGTACAAGATTGATGAATTCAAAATAACGGCTTCTGATAACATTGTTTCTAACTTGAGTATAAATTGATGCATAATTTCAAGTTTCTATAAAAAACCTCAAAAAAATTTCTTTTGTCAAGTTGTCCATTCTGAGATTTCTAAAAATCCATTTCCAATATAACACAAAAATGTAAGATAGTATTTTTCAGTGATTGAATTTTGTTTTACTTCCTTAAAAGCACCATATTTATGATCCACTATGTGTCTTTGTGGTTGTCAAAAGGAAGAATATAGAAATTATACCTGGGTGCGGACAAAATGTATGCCAATTTTTGTTCCTCAATCTGGTATAAGACAATGTATCTCACTATGTGAACATACATTTGAGTTATATCAATGAAACAAATTTGTTTGTATGTTCACTCAACGAAATTTATATTGTACAAAATATCACCAAAAATTGCTCTTAGAAAAATTGGAAAATAACCAAGTTCACCGATAAAATTGTCCCTATTATGGTCCTAGTATTATCGCATTCCTAGTAGAAAATGACGCTGAATCGAATGAGACCATGATCAGCCCGATAGAACAGATGGTTTTGGAGATATCGGCGCTCAAAGACAGCTTTCTGCTTTTATTGCCAATAGGTGCACTCCGGTAGGCTACTACGTCTCCATTTTCCAGAATTTCCTAATTCCCACCACAGATTCGTTCATTTCGACATCGAATTAGTATATGTGAATTTTTTCAGATTTTTAATTGGCCAAATAAGAATTTTCATTTTCCCACCTGAGACTTCAGTACGATATTCGGACAGCCGAAAGTGCCAGAAAACGGTGGAAATTCACGCGAATTATCGCTTTCCTAGTAGAAAATAACTCGCTGATTCGAATGAGACCATGATCAGCCCTATAGAACAGATAGTTTTCGAGATATCGGCGCTCAAAGTCAGTTTTCCGCTTTTATTGCCAATATTTGCAATGCGGTAGGCTACTACGTCTCCAATTTCCAAAACTTCCACCACAGATTCGCTTATTTCGACATCGAATTAGTCTATGTGAATTTTTTCAGATTTTTAATTGGCCAAATAAAAATTTTCATTTTCCTACCCTGAGACTTCAGTACGATATAGTCACCGAACTATCTTCGGACGGCAGAAAGTGCGAGAAAACGGTGGAAATTCACGCGAATTATCGCTTTCCAAGTAGAAAATGACACGCTGAATCGAATGAGACCATGATCAGCCCTATAGAACAGATAGTTTTCGAGATATCGGCGCTCAAAGTCAGTTTTCCGCTTTTATTGCCAATATTTGCAATACGGTAGGCTACTACGTCTCCAATTTCCAAAACTTCCACCACAGATTCGCTTATTTCGACATCGAATTAGTCTATGTGAATTTTTTCGGATTTTTAATTGGCCAAATAAAAATTTTCATTTTCCTACCCTGAGACTTCAGTACGATATAGTCACCGAGCTATCTTCGGACAGCCGAAAGTGCCAGAAAACGGTGGAAATTCACGCGAATTATCGCTTTCTTACAAGAAAATGACACGCTGAATCGAATGAGACCATGATCAGCCCGATAGAACAGATGGTTTTGGAGATATCGGCGCTCAAAGTCAGCTTTCCGCTTTTATTGCCAATATTTGCAATGCGGTAGGCTATTACGTCTCCATTTTCCAAAATTTCCAAATTTTCACAACAGATTCGTTGATTTCGACATCGAATTAGTCTATGTGATTTTTTTCAGATTTTTAATAGGCCAAATAAAAATTTTCATTTTCCCACCTGAGACTTCAGTACGATATAGTCACCGAGCTATCTTCGGACGGCCGAAAGTGCCAGAAAACGGTGGAAATTCACGCGAATTATCGCTTTCCTATTAGAAAATGACACGCTGAATCGAATGAGACTACGATCAGCCCGATAGGACAGATGGTTTTGGAGATATCGGCGCTCAAAGTCAGCTTTCCGCTTTTATTGCCAATAGGTGCACTCCGGTAGGCTACTACGTCTCCATTTTCCAGAATTTCCTAATTTTCACCACAGATTCGTTCATTTTAACATCGAATTAGTCTATGCGAATTTTTTCAGATTTTTAATAGGCCAAATAAAAATTTTAATTTTCCTACCCTGAGACTTCAGTACGATATAGTCACCGACCTATCTTCGGACGGCAGAAAGTGCCAGAAAACGGTGGAAATTCACGCGAATTATCGCTTTCCTAGTAGAAAATAACAGGCTGAATCGAATGAGACTACGATCAACCCGATATGACCGATAGTCTTCGAGATATCGGCGCTCAAAGTCAGCTTTCCGCTTTTATTGCCAATATTTGCACTCCGGTAGGCTACTACGTCTCCATTTTCCAAAATTTCCAAATTTCCACAACAGATTCGTTCATTTCGACATCGAATTAGTGTATGTGAATTTTTTCAGATTTTTAATTGGTCAAATAAAAATTTTCATTTTCCCACCTGAGATTAAATTTCTAGCCGTTTGAGAATTACCATGGCATTATTGATGATTTAAGCACCTAAAAATCGACCGAAAAATTCTTGAAAAATATGAAATTGAAAGGTATTTGAGTGATGATTCTATTTGAGAAATGAAGCCTATTGAACAGGTTGATTCAATTCGTTTTTTTTTTGTTTTGCAGGGATTCCAGAAGATTCTCGCCGGAGACTATGATCACTTGCCCGAAGTGGCTTTCTACATGGTCGGACCTATCGAAGAGGTCGTACAAAAGGCGGAGAGACTAGCCGAATCTTCTTGAATTGAATGAATTTTCGTTTATATATCACCACAGCTCCGAACTCGACAGAATTAGAAAAGAGTGTCGCCAGAAATTTTTTATATTCCATTTTTATTTGTCCGTTACATCCGAGGTTCAAATATGTATTTGTTGTATTTACTTTTAATTATTGTGTATAATAATAAACTAGACTGTTGAAAATGGCGTGACGTTTATTTTTGAGACCGGACGGTCTCATTTGCCCCTGAATTTACTGAATTTTGCTGTGCCAGCAGTGAAGAGGTTTTTCGGTTTCTGTTGGCTGGCGTTCTGTTGATTGCAACTTTCTTTCCAGTCTGCCTCCAATCTGGTCCAGATGCCACCTGCAATGAAGTTATGTGTTTTATTGAATTTTTGAAAATTTTACAAAATTTTGGTTTTTTCTATACCAACGTTAATGGGACACGATTACAAGACACAAGTTCCCGCTTTTGAAATGCTGTGCGATAAGCCCGAATTCCCAGCGGTTTCCGAGATATAGAAATTTTTTTGAGAAATAAGGGTCTCAGAAAAAAATCCACAACGTTTTCGTGTTGTCCAGGACAAACTCTATACGAATCAAGAGAAACATTTTCGGAAAAACTGCAGTTTCAAAATTTTCCAAAATTTTGGATTTTCTTAGGCCAATCTTAATGGGACACGATTACAAGACACAAGTTCCAGCTTTTGAAATGCTGTGCGATAAGCCCGAATTCCCAGCGGTTTCCGAGATATAGAAATTTTTTTGAGAAATAAGGGTCTCAGAAAAAAATCCACAACGTTTTCGTGTTGTCCAGGACAAACTCTATACGAATCGAGAAAAACATTTTCGGAAAAACTGCAGTTTCAAAATTTTCCAAAATTTTGGATTTTCTTAGGCCAATCTTAATGGGACACGATTACAAAACACAAGTTCCCGCTTTTGAAATGCTGTGCGATAAGCCCGAATTCCCAGCGGTTTCCGAGATATAGAAATTTTTTTGAGAAATAAGGGCCTCAGAAAAAAATCAACAACTTTTTCCTGTTGTCCAGGACAAACTCTATGCAAATCGAGAAAAAAAAATTCGAAAAACTTCAGTTTCAAAATTTTCCAAAATTTTGGTTTTTCTTAGGTCAATGTTAAGGTGACACGATTACAAGACACAAGTTCCCGCTTTTGAAATGCTGTGCGATAAGGCCGAATTCCCAGCGGTTTCCGAGATATAGAAATTTTTTTGAGAAATAAGGGCCTCAGAAAAAAATCAACAAATTTTTCGTGTTGTCCAGGATAAACTCTATACGAATCGGGAAATTTTTTTTTTCGAAAAACTGCAGTTTCAAAATTTTCCAAAATTTTGCTTTTTCTTAGGTCAATGTTAATGGGACACGATTACAAGACACAAGTTCCCGCTTTTGAAATGCTGTGCGATAAGCCCGAATTCCCAGCGGTTTCCGAGATATAGAAATTTTTTTGAGAAATAAGGGCCTCAGAAAAAAATCAACAAATTTTTCGTGTTGTCCAGGATAAACTCTATACGAATCGGGAATTTTTTTTTTCGAAAAGCTGCAGTTTCAAAATTTTCCAAAATTTTGCTTTTTCTTAGGTCAATGTTAATGGGACACGATTACAAGACACAAGTTCCCGCTTTTGAAATGCTGTGCGATAAGCCCGAATTCCCAGCGGTTTCCGAGATATAGAAATTTTTTTGAGAAATAAGGGCCTCAGAAAAAAATCAACAACTTTTTCGTGTTGTCCAGGATAAACTCTATACGAATCGGGAATTTTTTTTTTTCGAAAAACTGCAGTTTCAAAATTTTCCAAAATTTTGGTTTTTCTTAGGTCAATGTTAATGCGACACGATTACAAGACACAAGTTCCCGCTTTTGAAATGCTGTGCGATAAGCCCGAATTCCCAGCGGTTTCCGAGATATAGAAATTTTTTTGAGAAATAAGGGCCTCAGAAAAAAATCAACAAATTTTTCGTGTTGTCCAGGATAAACTCTATACGAATCGGGAATTTTTTTTTTTCGAAAAGCTGCAGTTTCAAAATTTTCCAAAATTTTGCTTTTTCTTAGGTCAATGTTAATGGGACACGATTACAAGACACAAGTTCCCGCTTTTGAAATGCTGTGCGATAAGCCCGAATTCCCAGCGGTTTCCGAGATATAGAAATTTTTTTGAGAAATAAGGGCCTCAGAAAAAAATCAACAACTTTTTCGTGTTGTCCAGGACAAACTCTATACGAATCGGGAAATTTTTTTTTTTCGAAAAACTGCAGTTTCAAAATTTTCCAAAATTTTGGTTTTTCTTAGGTCAATGTTAATGTGACACGATTACAAGACACAAGTTCCCGCTTTTGAAATGCTGTGCGATAAGCCCGAATTCCCAGCGGTTTCCGAGATATAGAAATTTTTTTGAGAAATAAGGGCCTCAGAAAAAAATCAACAACTTTTTCGTGTTGTCCAGGATAAACTCTATACGAATCGGGGAATTTTTTTTTTCGAAAAACTGCAGTTTCAAAATTTTCCAAAATTTTGGTTTTTCTTAGGTCAATGTTAATGCGACACGATTACAAGACACAAGTTCCCGCTTTTGAAATGCTGTGCGATAAGCCCGAATTCCCAGCGGTTTCCGAGATATAGAAATTTTTTTGAGAAATAAGGGCCTCAGAAAAAAATCAACAACTTTTTCCTGTTGTCCAGGACAAACTCTATGCAAATCGAGAAAAAAAAAATTCGAAAAACTTCAGTTTCAAAATTTTCCAAAATTTTGGTTTTTCTTAGGTCAATGTTAAGGTGACACGATTACAAGACACAATTTTCCGCTTTTGAAATGCTGTGCGATAAGGCCGAATTCCCAGCGGTTTCCGAGATATAGAAATTTTTTCGAGAAATAAGGACCTCAGAAAAAAATCACCAACTTTTTCGTGTTGTCCAGGACAAACTCTACACGAATCGAGAAATTTTTTTTTCGAAAAGCTGCAGTTTCAAAATTTTCCAAAATTTTGGTTTTTCTTAGGCCAATGTAAATGTGACACGATTACAAGACACAAGTTCCCGCTTTTGAAATGCTGTGCGATAAGGCCAAATTCCCAGCGGTTTCCGAGATATAGAATTTTTTTTGAGAAATAAGGGCCTCAGAAAAAATCAACAACTTTTTCGTGTTGTCCAGGATAAACTCTATACGAATCGAGAAATTTTTTTTTCGAAAAACTGCAGTTTCAAAATTTTCCAAAATTTTGGTTTTTCTTAGGCCAATGTTAATGTGACACGATTACAAGACACAAGTTCCCGAATTGAAATGCTGTGCGATAAGCCCGAATTCCCAGCGGTTTCCGAGATATAGACATTTTTTTGAGAAATAAGGGCCTCAGAAAAAAATCAACAACTTTTTCGTGTTGTCCAGGATAAACTCTATACGAATCGGGAATTTTTTTTTTTCGAAAAACTGCAGTTTCAAAATTTTCCAAAATTTTGGTTTTTCTTAGGTCAATGTTGAGGTGACACGATTACAAGACACAATTTTCCGCTTTTGAAATGCTGTGCGATAAGGCCGAATTCCCAGCGGTTTCCGAGATATAGAATTTTTTTTTAGAAATAAGGGCCTCAGAAAAAAATCAACAACTTTTTCGTGTTGTCCAGGATAAACTCTATACGAATCGGGAAATTTTTTTTTTCGAAAAACTGCAGTTTCAAAATTTTCCAAAATTTTGGTTTTTCTTAGGTCAATGTTAATGTGACACGATTACAAGACACAAGTTCCCGCTTTTGAAATGCTGTGCGATAAGGCCGAATTCCCAGCGGTTTCCGAGATATAGAAATTTTTTCGAGAAATAAGGGCCTCTGAAAAAAATCAACAACTTTTTTGTGTTTTCTAGGACAAACTCTATACGAATCGAGAAATTTTTTTTTCGAAAAACTGCAGTTTCAAAATTTTCCAAAATTTTGGTTTTTCTTAGGCCAATGTTAATGGGACACGATTACAAGACACAAGTTCCCGCTTTTGAAATGCTGTGCGATAAGGCCGAATTCCCAGCGGTTTCCGAGATATAGAAATTTTTTCGAGAAATAAGGACCTCAGAAAAAAATCACCAACTTTTTCGTGTTGTCCAGGACAAACTCTATACGAATCGAGAAATTTTTTTTTCGAAAAACTGCAGTTTCAAAATTTTCCAAAATTTTGGTTTTTCTTAGGCCAATGATAATTGGCACGATTACAAGACACAAGTTCCCGCATTTGAAATGCTGTGCGATAAGGCCGAATTCCCAGCGGTTTCCAAGATATAGAAATTTTTTCGAGAAATAAGGGCCTCAGAAAAAAATCAACAACTTTTTCCTGTTGTCCAGGACAAACTCTATGCAAATCGAGAAAAAAAAAATTCGAAAAACTTCAGTTTCAAAATTTTCCAAAATTTTGGTTTTTCTTAGGCCAATGATTATGGGACACGATTACAAGACACAAGTTCCCGCTTTTGAAATGCTGTGCGATAAGGCCGAATTCCCAGCGGTTTCCGAGATATAGAAATTTTTTTGAGAAATAAGGGCCTCAGAAAAAAATCAACAACTTTTTCGTGTTGTCCAGGACAAACTCTATACGAATCGGGAAATTTTTTTTTTCCGTAAAACTGCAGTTTCAAAATTTTCCAAAATTTTGGTTTTTCTTAGGCCAATGATTATGGGACACGATTACAAGACACAAGTTCCCGCTTTTGAAATGCTATGCGATAAGGCCGAATGCCCAGCGGTTTCAGAGATATAGAAATTTTTTTGAGAAATAAGGGCCTCAGAAAAAAATCAACAACTTGTTCGTGTTGTCCAGGATAATCTCTATACGAATCGGGAAATTTTTTTTTTCGTAAAACTGCAGTTTCAAAATTTTCCAAAATTTTGGTTTTTCTATGGCCAATGTTGATGGGACACGATTACAAGACACAAATTCCCGCTTTTGAAATGTTGTGCGATATGCCCGAATTCCCAGCGGTTTCCGAGATACAGAAAATTTCTTGAGAAAGAAGGACCTTAGACAAAAATCAACAACTTTTTCGTGTTGTCCAGGACAAACTCTATACGAATCGAGAAATTTTTTTTTCGAAAAAACGATTTTCAAAATTTTCCAAAATTTTGGTTTTTCCTAGGCCAATGTTAATGGGACACGATTACAAGACACAAGTTCCCGCTTTTGAAATGCTGTGCGATAAGGCCGAATTCCCAGCGGTTTCCGAGATATAGAATTTTTTTTGAGAAATAAGGGCCTCAGAAAGAAATCAACAACTTTTTCGTGTTGTCCAGGACAAACTTCATACGAATCGAGAAATTTTTTTTTTCGAAAAAACGATTTTCAAAATTTTCCAAAATTTTGTTTTTTTTTAGGCCAATGTTAATGGGACACGATTACAAGACACAAGTTCCCGCTTTTGAAATGCTGTGCGATAAGGCCGAATTCCCAGCGGTTTCCGAGATACAGAAAATTTCTTGAGAAAGAAGGACCTTAGACAAAAATCAACAACTTTTTCGTGTTGTCCAGGACAAACTCTATACGAATCGAGAAAAAAAATTTCGAAAACACTGCAGTTTCAAAATTTTCCAAAATTTTGGTTTTTCTCAGGCCAATCTTAATGGGACACGATTACAAGACACAAGTTCCCGCTTTTGAAAAGCTGTGCGATAAGCCCGAATTCCCAACCACAACGTTTTCGTGTTGTCCAGATCAAACTCTATACGAATCGAGAAAAGAAATTTCGAAAAAACTGCAGTTTCAAAATTTTCCAAAATTTTGGATTTTCTTAGGCCAATCTTAATGGGACACGATTGGCTTTTGAAATGCTGTGCGATAAGCCCGAATTCCCAGCGGTTTCCAAGATATAGACATTTTTTTGAGAAATAAAGGTCTCAGGAAAAAATCAACAACGTTTTCGTGTTGTCCAGGACAAACTCTATACGAACCGAGAAAAAAATTTCGAAAAAACTGCAGTTTCAAAATTTTTCAAAATTTTGGATTTTCTTAGACCAATCTTAATGGGACACGATTACAAGACTCAAGTTCCCGCTTTTGAAATGCTGTGCGATAAGCCTGAATTCCCAGCGGTTTCCGAGATATAGAATTTTTTTCGAGAAATAAGGGTCCCCGAAAAAAATCACCAACTTTTTCGTGTTGTCCAGGACAAACTCTATACGAATCGAGAAAAAAAATTTCGAAAAAATTGCAGTTTCAGAATTTTCCAAAATTTTGGATTTTCTTAGGCCAATCTTAATGGGACACGATTACAAGACACAAGTTCCCGCTTTTGAAAAGCTGTGCGATAAGCCCGAATTCCCAACCACAACGTTTTCGTGTTGTCCAGATCAAACTCTATACGAATCGAGAAAAGAAATTTCGAAAAAACTGCAGTTTCAAAATTTTCCAAAATTTTGGATTTTCTTAGGCCAATCTTAATGGGACACGATTGGCTTTTGAAATGCTGTGCGATAAGCCCGAATTCCCAGCGGTTTCCAAGATATAGACATTTTTTTGAGAAATAAAGGTCTCAGGAAAAAATCAACAACGTTTTCGTGTTGTCCAGGACAAACTCTATACGAATCGAGAAAAAAATTTCGAAAAAACTGCAGTTTCAAAATTTTTCAAAATTTTGGATTTTCTTAGGCCAATCTTAATGGGACACGATTACAAGACTCAAGTTCCCGCTTTTGAAATGCTGTGCGATAAGCCTGAATTCCCAGCGGTTTCCGAGATATAGAAATTTTTTTGAGAAATAAGGGTCTCAGAAAAAAGTCAACAACTTTTTCGTGTTGTCCAGGACAAACTCTATACGAATCGAGAACAATTTTTTTTTCGAAAAAACTGCAGTTTCAAAATTTTCCAAAATTTTGGTTTTTCTTAGGCCAATCTTAATGGGACACGATTGGCTTTTGAAATGCTGTGCGATAAGCCCGAATTCCCAGCGGTTTCCAAGATATAGACATTTTTTTGAGAAATAAAGGTCTCAGGAAAAAATCAACAACGTTTTCGTGTTGTCCAGGACAAACTCTATACGAATCGAGAAAAAAATTTCGAAAAAACTGCAGTTTCAAAATTTTTCAAAATTTTGGATTTTCTTAGGCCAATCTTAATGGGACACGATTACAAGACTCAAGTTCCCGCTTTTGAAAAGCTGTGCGATAAGCCCGAATTCCCAGCGGTTTCCAAGATATAGAAATTTTTTTGAGAAATAAAGGTCTCAGGAAAAAATCACCAACTTTTTCGTGTTGTCCAGGACAAACTCTATACGAATCGAGAAAAAAAATTTCGAAAAAATTGCAGTTTCAAAATTTTCCAAAATTTTGGTTTTTCTTAGGCCAATCTTAATGGGACACGATTACAAGACACAAGTTCCCGCTTTTGAAATGCTATGCGATAAGCCCGAATTCCCAGCGGTTTCGGAGATATAGAAATTTTTTTGAGAAATAAGGGCCTCAGAAAAAAATCAACAACTTTTTCGTGTTGCCCAGGACAAACTCTATACGAATCGAGAATACAATTTTTTTCGAAACAAAAAAAAAAAGACATTTATTTCTTACAATTTTTAAATTTTTTCCAAAAGTTTGGTTTCTCCTATACCAATGTTAATAAGACACGATTACAGGGCACAAGTTCCCGCTTTAGAAATTTAATGCGATAAGCCCAAATTCCCAGCGGTTTCCTAGATACAGAAAATTTTTAGAGAAATGAGGGCCATAGAAATAAATCAACAACTTTTTTGCGTTCCCCAGGTCAAACTCTATGTGAATCAAGAATACGTTAAAAAAAGAAATTTTCCTACAATTTTTCAAAATTCTTCAAAATGTTGGTTTTTTCTATTCCTACCAATGTTAATGGGACACGATTACGAGACCTAAGTCGTCACTTTAAAATTCAAAGGGTCCTATAGGGATGTCCTAGTGCAGATTAGATGATGGTGGTGGTGTTAGTAGGGGTTGTTGTTCAGTTAAAACAAAAACAAATTATAACATACAAAAAAAAACATTTATTTATTGAACTAAAATAATTATTTTTGTACTTATGTGTATAATGTGTGATGTTTCCTTATGTGTATTTAATGAAAACTGGATCAGTGACAGTACAATAATAATAATAATAACAACAATAATAATAAAAGAGTGGATGGAGTGGAATAAAGTAAAAAGAGAAGTCAACGCATAATTTTGAAAATAACCTCTACTGAGACGATAGCATATCTCATTACCTATTGGTGTATTGTTCTTGGACCTCACGCATCTTCCCAAGTTATCATTAGCGATATTTTTGTTCAGCATGGCCGTCATCGCTTTGACAGCATTCTCTTCGTATGCCCTTTGTACGTCCTGATTGCTTCTAGCCGACAAATTGTGTTGCCATAATCTCGACTCGTGTTTTCTCTTCGTCTTCTTCCTTTGGACGATCTGAAAGAAAACAATAGGAGAATATGTCTGTTAGTGGCTGCAGTAGATGAAGTAGTAGTAGTATACCGCGTGAGTGAATACAGAGTTATCTTCTTCGATATTCGCCAAACCATCAGAAATGTAGAAAAAAATCAAATACATCAGCTATAGGGTACCATTATAACTATCACCCAAAATTGTTGTATATATTCTTAACTGGAATCTACTATAGTTTTCTTACTTTCTTGGGTTGCGGGTCGCATTCGGTGCTACCCTCGTCGCTTTCAGAAGACGTGGTCGAAGATGACTCATCGTCGTCCTCTTCGCAATCGTCGGAGCTGTCTTCGAACGCATTCGCCTCGTTGTCACTTCTGTTGGCGAAGTTGCTCAGCAGCCCGAGCTTGGGACGAGGCGGGATGATCTCCAAGCCGTCCCACCAAAACGACTCTTTGCACACGAACTTTTTATCCGCAGCGCTCGGATCTGCGATGAAATAGTACATTATACATCAAGGGACAGAAATGCAAGATTTTTTCCAAAGTGCGATTTGTAGCTCGAGGGCGAAGCCCGAGAGATACAAAGCACCGAGGGAAAAATAGCATTCTGTCCTGAGGTGTATATATGTACTATTTTTTACGCTGGCGAAAACACAAAAATTAAGAAAGAATAAAAATTTGGTCAAAGTGTTTTATCATTATAAGTAGTAGTATAGTTTGTGGAATTATCGTATCTTGGCAACATAGGTACATCTTGATGTTGACAACCCGTGGTGACAGCAAACTGAAATTTATGAACACAGCTTTTGAAAATGGTTATCGGTTATTAAGGAAGAAGAAATCGAGGGAAAACCCCAAGAAGCTATTGATACTGCGTCTGCAGTGATTCTTAACTTATCTATAAATCTGTATGATGCAGCTTATACTCACTTCAGGGAAGGGTGTGTTCCGAAAAGAAAGCACAGAGCTATGCGGAAAATGTAAAGTTGGTATAAACTCTCTAGGGAGAAAATATGTCACATTATCTCCCTAGGGAATAATACGATACTTCTCCCCCCGTTTTTTGTTACCAGAGAAACTAACTAGTTAGTAAAAGCTTTTACTTCCGCCCGCGTAAAAAATACATACATCAATATTTATTAGCATATACTGATTGGTCTTTGCACAGATAAAATAACAGAAAACAAGATGAGTGTTACAAATATCAAAAGTTCTTCAAAATACAAAAACAGGTACAATATATATCGACAACTATATACTAGGTACAACAATATCAAATGCACTATGCACAACATATTAATAGCTATAGTACAATAAAATACTCTATCTCATACTACTATATGAAATCTGATTGAATACATATAGTCACTGCATTTATGGATACGGCTCGAAGGACCATATTATGCTGATGGTTTCCATTTGATACAGCTATAGCTGTTATAATAGCTAAAGTTATAGTTTGTTAACAAAATTATATATTTTTTGATAATTTAGTCTGACATTTTCCACTGTCAACTGAATTTTGTATTGTTATTAAACTTGAACAGTTTTCATTTCGAAAATATAAATATGGGGAGTATGAAGTTTTTACACGAGTAACAAAATGGAGATAATTAATCTGTCTGCTCGTTAAAAAAAATTAAATCCATATTATCACCCTTAAGAATGTTCTGAACGAAACGTCAGGGGGCGAGGGAAGTTTCAATCCTTTTAAGATTTATTTTGGGTTTCTTTGATTACTGAAAGTATAGTGAATAGTGATCCTCTTAACACTTTTGTCAGATTTGATTAAATTTAACATAAATGTATATTTTATGTCAACTTGAACTCTTCTCACGGACAAACGGTACATTTTGTTACCTTTATAAATGTATTGGGTCCAATCAACTTATTTTACCTCTATTACACGTGATAGCTCTGTGTCCCAGCATTTTTTTGGAAAGATAGTACCTACATCTTGGATTCACGATTTTGAAAGGTTTTTTCAAATTGTTGAGCCTGGTCTACTTACTGTGATTTTTGAGCAGAAAGGGCCATTTATACAAAATTCAAGGCTTACTATGTCAAATTATAGCAGTAAACTTACAAGGGTGACAATACAATTACTTTTTGTGAGTTTTTGTACAGGATATTTTTATATTCTTTGTTCAACATTTTAGTTGAAATTACTTGTTGAGATCTTACCTATTGGAAAAATCTAATATTTTTCAACACAGCATCATATCAATCAAATACCTATGAATACCTCTTGTCAAAATCAAATTTTTGACCTCATAAATATATGTTGAACTTTTGGATTGGAACAATGTAGATTATGTTATGGTTTTCAAAATGAAAGAGATTTTTTTCATGGTATTTATAAGGTATACATTTCAAAATAATGGAACAATACTGAAGCTGAAATAAGTTGTGAATAAGTAATAAAATACCAACCTATATAATAGGAAAAACAAATTGTATATTTTTTTATAATAACATTTGAAATATATTAATGTATTCCAGCAACATGTCTATGATTCTTCATAACTCTCAGTGACCATATCATTCAGTCCCAACTCCTCATTCTGATCAAAAGATCTCTCATAATGCTCTATCCTCAATCTATCATCAAGCTTGTCATCATCTCTCATGCTCTGTATGTAACTATTGCCAGCAGGATCATCCAATACCAAAGTCACTGGCAACTTCCCTTCCAAAATCTGATCAAACTTATTCAGAAAATCCTGAAACTGCTTCTTCTTTCTTGGTTCAAATGAATCCCCAAACATGTGGGACCTCTTGGGATCACTTAGCTGTTCTTTCACTGCAGCTATGAGGCCTTCAACTGTGGTGAATCTACCCCCCAAAGCATGTGGACCCACTTCCAGTTCTAGCTGAGGTATGCTCAGAGAACAAGTCTCAGACTTGAGCAAATCCCTGGAGAAATCTTCTCTATCATGAATGTCAACTTCAATTTTGATGCCCTTAGGCTCTATGCCACCACCAGATTTCACTTCATTGGTCCTGGTACCACACACTTCACAATTAGTGGCCATTATGACAACTTCTTTAAAGTGGGGAATGTTGGTCATTTTCATGTTAGTTTCACAAGGTGAACTGCAGTTTGAACAGTTGGTGTGGAATTGCAAAACTTCACCTTCAAGGTCCTCTAGGGTGAATTTCCCTTCAGATGTTGGTTGCAAAAGGGCACTGTCCTTCTCCCCAGTGACTTCCTCCTGAGTGAAAATCCCTAATTCCTGGTCTTGGTCCTTGTTCCTAGTAAAATAGTGTGTTGTGCAGTTTTCATCCCTCATAGGAGCATTGGGATTTTGTATGAAACTATTACCAGAGATATCTTCTAATATCAAGGTGAAGGGAGTTTCTACAGATTTCAATTTCTGCAGCTTCTTGACAAACTTGTCAATTTGTGCAGCTGCTTCAGGGTGCTGTATTCTCCTCTCAGCTTGATCTTGCTCTAACCCAGTGACACTGCGATCAATAATACCCTCTATGGTCGTCACTTCTCCTTTTTGGCTCCTAGGTGGTATTTCAAAGTCCAATTCGGCAATTTTAACCCCGGTAAAATCACTTCTCACCACTTGTCTATTCAAATCTTGGACAGTCTTCACAGTCAGTGTTATTTTGATACCTTTATCCGAAACGGGAGATCCGGATTGTATCTCGTTATTGTGATAACCACACTCCTCGCAACTGAAAGACATCAATACCACGTCTTTGTAGAACGGAATTTTCGTCAAAAGCAGCCTTGTCACCCCATTTTTGTAGCAATTCATGCACAAAGATTCGATTTCTGTTGTTTCCGGATCGTCTGGGTTCAGGTCTCGAAATATAGGCTTGGAAGCACCCATAATCTTTCATAAACATAAAACTTCCTTGAAGATTTCAACAAGAAAAACCATCAGCCATCAGCAATAATCAGCATCAGATTTGACAACCTAACCTATTATTCTCTTCTTCTTTGATTTCATATTGGGTTTGTTCAACCTCAATTGTTTGGGCTATCCGGCAAAATGCAAGGTTGGTATCTTCCTTTTTTTTTTTCAATCATCGACGTTTGACCTACTTCAAGAGGGCAAGAGGCGTAAATAGCTAGGAGAGGCAACAAGATGGGCGACTTCACTTCGATATCTGACGTTTACAATTGAGGTTAAGAGTAAATGTAAATAAAAATATTGTACAATATGTAAATTAACGAAAAAACTGAACTAGTATTAATCGAATCAACTACAAATCATCGTTTTCATGAACCACAAGAAGTAATTTAATAATTTCCACCGTGAAACTCTCAACATGGCACCGCCCCCTATAGTAACAGGGTTATCTCCGAAAGAAGGCCCACCCGGGACTCGACTGAAAATAAGGGGCGAACATTTCGGTTCCAAACCGTCCGATCTGATAGGACTAACGATTTGTGGCACCGATTGCCTCCTATCAGCTGAATGGAAAACCTCAACGAAAATCGAGGCCATCTCAGGCCCCATAAAGGGTACAGGAGAAGTTATCGTGACCACGAGACTCGGCGGGGTAGGGACTTGCAATGTGACATTCAGAGGGTACTTTTTGTCCAGCATAGGGCCGTTGAAGGAGAGTGCTGTGTGGGTGGAAGAGGTTTCATCTTGGAGTAGACATTCATTGAGTCCTAGCAGTTTTCAACATGAGGATCCCTTGGGGTTGTCAATAGAGGAAAATGAGAACAAAATAAGTGAAGAAGATTTACAAAGCAACTACCCAGGTGAGTCACATGGCATCAATAAAAAAAGTGTCCTATGTTTACACTAAACATTTACACAATTGTTCATTGGAATAATTCATACTGTTTGTTTGCTAGGTACCTACAAAGATTTCTAAAAATTAGGTACCTTGATCCTTGATCTACAAACAAGGTCCATTCAGTTATCATTGGAATTTATGAAAATGAAAGATTTCATAATATGTGTTATGTGGTATTTGATCCAGACAGGCATGCAAAAAGTATTTCTAGATTGAATAAAAGTTGATTCAAGTTCTAAAAGTTGATCCAAGTTCACTAATATATATCTGGTGATAGTGGTGACAGGGACTCATGGTATACCCCTCTTTTCTCCTTTGCTTTTCTAGATAAAGTTCAGGAATATGAAACATTAAACATTGCATATGCTCACTAGAGGGAACTTTCTCACATTTTAGGCAAGGTTGGTAGAGCTGTACAAAATACTCATCAGTTCTACCAACCTTGATATTAGGAATTTATTTTCATCTTATGATTTACTTGAAAATGACAATAACTTTTGATTTTCAAATGGAACACCATGTATTTTATTCCATAATAAGTTATGGATTATTATAATGAATATTGGGTTTGATATAAATAGAGATTAAAATATAGGGTGTGCCCTCTAGTGACCATATTCAGAATAATGAATCCATCAAAGGAATTTGCACCCTTGTGAAATCTTAATGTTTTTAAGGATCTGGACACTGATTTTGACAAGGGGAATTTCAGATGGGGAATTTGGTGTACATGTGATGATAATTCATAAGAAAAGAATGTAAATTGTGAGAATTCAAGAGGAATGGTGTGAGTTCAGCAGTAATTGGGGGAACTTAATCTGGAAAATAGTGGGAATTAGTGTAAAAACCCCAAATTACCCCTTTTTTGGTATGGATTTGAAATTCAAGTGGTTGACTTTATTTTTGATCTGAAATCATCCAGCCATCAAAATACACCAGTACCGATTTTCATCACGATTATTAATTTTCTTTAGGTTGGCGTGGAAGATTATTTTTGTCTTTTACACCCTCTGGAAAAACATGGTATGATCAATACTGATCAATTCAACTGTAACAAGCACATTTTCACACTAAATTCAACATTCAATATTTTCGCGCAAATTCCACATAAGCGTTTTTTTATTTTGAGAACCATTAGGTACATGACAACAAGACCGCTGAAGAAAATTCATGGTGCTATCTGTCTATACAGGGTGACAAACATACTTCTGCAAAATATTCTCCATGCTCCTAATTGTATGGAAAATTTTTGGGGATATTTTTCAATCATATTTTCAAGATACTCAATTTCTCTAAATTGTTTTGCAATGTTTCTCATATCTTCAAGGATTAAAAGAAATGTTCTCGAAGAACGTGATATTTCCTACTTGTATGAAATCTCATATTTTATATATACAGATTATTTTGCAAAATTTCAAATCACCCCGTACCTAAATTAATGGAACAGATAGGAATGTCAAACCATGCCATATCACGAGCGGGTGATTAATCGGTTTCGTCATCAAGAAATGCGGTTGAAGCCACTTTGAAGCGGACTCATTCATCGGCATCAGAACGAGACGGTCATTCGTTGTATTTCATAAAAAGTATTCTTTGTACAAGTCATCCTAATTGAATAGATGTGTTTAAGTGTAAAAAATGTGTCTATCTACGCCTCAACTCAGGAGAATTCTTTAATATTTTGCAGAGGTTTCTTTGTCACCCTGTATAGCCAGATGCCACTATGGATTTTCATCTGCGGTCTAGCTATCATATACCCAATTGATTTATCTTCAAAATAAAAAAAAAAGCGCATCCGAATATGTGAAATTTTCGCGAAAATATTCATTGTTGAATTTAGTGCAAACACGTGCTTGTTGCAGCTCAATTGATCAGCAGTTTACTTATGCTTGGCGTTTACTTCCAACAGTCTTAACCGACTTTACAGCCCCCCAGGTGTTTCTAGGCTCATAGAAAGTGATGCTATATCATTTTTAGGCACTAAAAAAACACTATTTCCTATCATGATCTCTAATTCAATGTAATCATTTCTTTGAAACGGAAATTATCGAGTTAATTTTGATTCCAGGAAAATGCGGAGATATAGGAAGCACAAACTTCTCCCCAGGTTGGTTTCTTCTAGAAAACCACCAAGCCACCAGCTTCCACGATCTGGATGCTGGTTTGGTGCACCTACAAAGAAAAGTACAAGGCCAAAAAGAAGGCAAACTATCGTTCCTGAAAGCCAACATGAACTCCATCATGGATCAAATAGACACCTTGTCAAACCTGAGAGAAAAATACGAAAAAGATTTGTCCGAATTCGGAAGTGAACCCACTCTCAAACTAGAAAAAACCATCAAAGAGTCCGAACGAGAAGCGAGAAAGCTGTTCGATGACGTTTTAGCCAGAAAAGATAGAGCGGAAAAAACGAGGAATGCTCTGAGCGTGTTATCAAGGTTCAAGTTCCTGTTCTGTCTGCCTTGCGTGATCGAGAGACACATCAAGAAAGCCGAATACGACATAGTTATAAACGATTACATAAGAGTTAAGAATTTATTCCACAAAACAGACGTGCCTATTTTCAGAGAAGCTTTAAAAGAAATCGACAAACGCATTGTGAATTTGCAGAAGAAGCTGCACGCTGATTTGCAAACCATGCCTATCACTGTCGATCAGCAAAAACGTCTGATTCGCTATTTGGTGAACCTCGAGGCCCCATACGATTCTGCTTGGGACGCCATCAAAAGTCGATCAGAGTATATCCACACGAAATTCCGGCTCATATACGACTACTACAAATCCATGGAAAGGCCTGAGAGTGGAAAGAAGGTAGTTACAGCTTTGAAACAATCCAAACTCAATGATTCACAAGTAGACGAGAACGTACCGCCATCTTGCGTCAGTTTCACGAAGGAAATTTGCGCGACCCTTTCCGAAATTTTTCCCGATCTGTGGAAAATAGGACAGGCGTACTTTTCTGGAGAGCTACAAGTCAAAGTTGGAGCTGGAAGACAGGTGAGGAGTAGGTTGCACACTATAATCTTGACATATTGAGCCGTATACCGGGCAAACTGTCCACAAGTTGGGCGCCAATTTATATAGGAAGCACTATCGTCATTTTCTTGATCCATCTATAAGTTTTTTCCCATATTATTTTCCTGCCAGAGCCAGTTTTGACCCAATAAATCAAGTTGATCATTCTTTCTTCCATTTTTCTTTGCCTACTTTTAGCAAACTGAAAATACAATTATTATTGTATAGATAGATAGATAGATAGATAGATAGATAGATAGATAGATAGATAGATAGATAGATAGATAGATAGAATTTATTGGTTCCATAAAATCCACATAAAAGGATGTAGAACATGTCAAAACAAGTACATATTTTATGCATAGATGTTTGAATCTTTACACTTACATTTGGATACATATCATTGAAGACGAAATGAACAGCTAAATGTCACCATATATAACAATACTAATAATAACAACAATAATGATAATGACAACAATACTAATAATAACAATACTGATAATAGAAATAAAAACGACTTGTATATAATGAAATTCAGAATTGATATCTTGATGTTATAAATCAATTAATCTGTATATGTTCATTGAAAAATTCATTCAGACTATAAAAGGCTTTAGAGACAAGTATTGTTTTCATCTTTTTTTTAATATGTCTGTCATCGAGGTTCCTTATTGTTATAGGAATTTTATTCCATATTTTCATTATGGAGAATTTCACATTTTTCTGGACATAACTGTATTTTGTTTTATCTACCCTTAGATCATGTTTATTTCTTGTGGTATAGGTATGACTTATTACATGCTCATCAAAAAGTTCTGGGTTTCTTTTTACAAACATGATAGCTTCTAAAATGTACAGACTGATTACGGTTAAAATACCTTTTTGAATAAAAATATCTTTACAACTAACTCTGGGTCCCATTCCGAATATATTTCGCAGACACTTTTTTTGAATTCCTAATATACGACTAACATGTGTTGAATTTCCCCAAAAAATTATTCCATATGCCATTCTTGAGTGCACAAATGAGTGATAAGCAATTATTGCCGTGTCGACATCCACATTATTTGAGAGAATCTTCAGTGCATAGCTATATTTTGCCATATTTTTTGCTGTATTATTTATGTGCTCATACCAATCCAGTTTTTGATCCAAGATCACCCCAAGAAAAGATACACTTGATTCCGATGATATGTTTTGATTGTTGAACTGAACTAGGAGATTATGTCTTGTTCTATTGAAGAACATCAATTTAGTTTTATTTATGTTTAAAAGGAGATTGTTTTCTGTAAACCAGGTCTCGAGTTTCTCTAATGCATCTTTAATTTGTCTTTCACATTCATCTCTTGTTTGTTCTTGAAATATCAGAGATGTATCATCTGCATAAAGAACCATTTCCTGTGCCACAACTCCCGGCAGCTCATTAACATATAAAATGTACAACAAGGGACCCAAAATGGAGCCTTGCGGTACCCCCCTCAGAACAGATTTTTCATTAGATTTTATCAGAACACCTGCATCATTATATTCCGCTGTTCTCTGTTTCCTATTAGTGAGATAGGATTTGATCAAATGCAATTGAACTCCCCTTATTCCATAATGCTCCAGTTTGTTGCAGAGTATATCATGTTCAACTGAGTCAAAAGCTTTGGAGAGGTCCAGACACAATGCTGCTGTTTCTTTATCGTTATCGATAGAGTTCAATATGTTTGATAGTGCCTGATAAACAGCCTTTATTGTGCTTTTCCCCTTCCTAAATCCATTTTGTTCAGACGTCAATATATTATTCATGTCTAAGAATGTTGATAACCTCTCGTATATAATTTTTTCGAATATTTTGTTCACATTTGACAGTAGTGAGACTGGTCTATAGTTTGCCATATCGCCCTTATCCCCTTTTTTGTAGATAGACCTAATATATCCAATTTTCAAAGACTCAGGATATATTCCTGTACAGAAGGATAAATTTATGATATGTTCCAAAGGAATCGATATCAAGTTAGCAGATGCTTTAATGAGTTTAACTGGAATTTCATCTTCTCCCACTGAATTTTTATTTTTTAGTTTACTGATTATTTTTACTATTTCGGGTCGGTTTGTTAATTGAAATCTACAACTGTTATTGCAGTAAGTTATTTTACCATAATCTACCTCACCACTCTTGATGTCTGGTGCTGCACTTATATAAAAGTCATTTATTCTATTCAAAATGTCATATGACGATGATTGGGGATCTGATTTGCTGAGATTATGAAGAATATTTTTTTTTTCATTATTAGAGGTATTATTAGTTATTCTTTTGATCAGCGACCAAGTCGCTTTCGATTTGTTTTCTGCATTGAAAATGAAATCCTTATTGTCCAAGCGCTTAGCCTTCCTTGTAACTTGTCTCAAAATGCTACAATATTTTTTATAATAATTCTTTGTCACCTGACCTCGCAGCATTTCGTTACGCAGATAAAGTTTCTTGGTACAAGATATTCTGATACCGTTTGTTACCCAAGACTTTGAAGTACTTACATTTTTGCATTTTTTGAGGGGAAATAATCTGTTCATCAGCGTTCGAAGTTTGAATATGAAAATATTATAAGCTCTATTTACCTCAGTACAATTCAATATTTCGTCCCAATTTTCGCGTTCTAGTTCTTCAGAGAAATATCTCAACCTGGCTTCCGAGAACACTCTCCTTACCCTAAACTGATTCTCCATTTTGCTTTGGTTTTCTTCGAGCTCTAGGAACTGACCATAATGATCTGACAGAGCCAGATCAATAACTTCACAGCATTTATACTCCTTAAAATCAATGAATATATTATCCAAGAGTGTGCTTGAATTTTCAGTTACTCTGGTGGGTTCAAAAATCAATTGTTGCATATTGTGACTAGATAGCGTGTCTAATAATTGCTCAGATATTGGGTTTTTTACTAGAAGATTCACATTGAAGTCTCCGCATACCACTGTTTTACAATGTTTGTACTTATTATTAACATAGTCTAATATTTCATCAATTTTTGTGATGAAATTTTCAAAATTACCAAGATTTGTACGATAAATGCATATGATGATATAACTGGATCCACTGCTAACCTCTGACTTGACAGCAGCACACTCAATTTCACCTTCCACACTCATCTCCTCTATTTTATGTACACGCTCACACTCGTATTCTTCTGATACGAAAATGCATGCTCCTCCATGAATAGCGTTTTTTCTTGAGAAACAGGACTTCATTTTATATCCGCTTAGTTTAGTGAACGATTCTTCCTCTGGTTTCAGCCAGTGCTCTGAAAGACATATAACTTGCGGCTTATAATCCATTGCTTCGAAATTTGCCTCAATATCTAATATTTTGTTACGAATGCATTGAATATTTTGGTGCAAAATTTTGATGCTCCTTTTTTTTATCTCCGTGCTTCCGATCTCATTCCTTATATTGTTTTTTTTCTCTATTCTATCATTCCTTGAGTCCGCATTTTCTATACTGACACCATCTGTTAAATGATGCCTATTACTATCTAGTTTTTTTGACTCTGTGGTACTTTAATTATTTTCGGAATATCTTTAAAGTATTTGATTCTCAGATTTTCCTCCCCTTTCTGCATTCTTTGCTTCATTTCTTCTCTTAGGATTTTATATTCATTAATTTGCATAGCTGTTTTGTCGAAGCCGATAGCCAAAGTTTTATATTCAGGAATTTTTATCAACTCCTTTGCCTTGAAGAATACATTTCTTGTTTCTGTGTAAGAAGACAGCGTTGCTCTAATTGGTCTTGGTCGATCAGTATTTGGCTTGCCCACTCTTCGTACTTTTATTTGTGTGCAATTTATCTCTGGACATACACTCTGGATAATTTCTCCTACCTTGACAACATCGCTCTCATTTTCATCCTCGGGCTCAGTTTCAATACATCCGAATATCATTATATTATTTTTTCTTCTTTCTCTTTCATTTATTTCATTCACAGCATCTAGTGGATTCTGATTATGTTTTACACCGACTCTAGACTCCGACATCTGCTGTTTCAATAGATCAATCTCTTGCCTCAGCTCATTATTAATTACCAACTGTGCTTCATACATTTTCATCATCTCTGAGTATTTGTTGTCCATTTTATTCAACTTGTCCATCACATCGAAGAGAGTAATTTCTTTTTGTTGATCAGGTGTAGTAGAGCTAGTAGATTTCGCCTCCCCTTCATCACATGTTATGCAGAACCACCTTTTTCCTTTGGTATTCTTCAGTTCCTTTTGGAAGTTGTTCAAGCTTGAAATACTCATTCCAATACATTTTGTGTGAAACCATTTTGAACATTTGGCGCACCCAATTGCATAGGAATTGTTTGTGGTTGCTTTACACACCCCACATGCCATCGCAGTCATTTTTACGAAGATACAATTAAAAGCACACTTTTCCCTCCGAATCGTCGACTTGGCAACCTCGCTTCTCTCCGTTCTCCGGAGCTCGACTATGTTTATGTTGTCAATAACACTGATTTTTGTCGTTTTGGAATACCAAATTGACTCACTGTACTTCTCCGTGCACAATCTATTGATTCTTTATCCTCTAAGCTGATTTCGCAAAATTTTCTTCAAAATTTCTAATAACTTTTTGATTTAAAACACGAGCCGCGTGACTGTGAACTGACTCACAGCGTTGCCGGACCTTCATATAATATCACATCGACCCCTAATTGGGCGCCAATAAAAATACGCACATTCCTTTTCTATGTGTGGCACTGTGATTTCTGTGCTATGTATATGCACATTATTTCTTTTCTAATACGATTGATCCATTCATATGTTCTTCCCTCTCCTGTTTTGCTGGCACTTTGTCGCACCACTGTTGAAGTTGGTAGTCGACCAACCATTACAATAGGTGACGATAGTGTCAGTGAATTCAGACAGTTCTAGAGACAGTTTAGAGTAAATAAATCAATTTGATGATCATTTTGCCTCATTTATCATTGTCTTTACTTAGCACACCACAATTGAATACAATGTGGAAACCAATGATGGAATGAATTCCGAATACCCACTCATAATAGAAATATATTTTTAAAAATCTAGATTGATTTTTTATTTTGAAAATCTATATTTTACATGAAAATTTGCAACCACATGTCAACCTCCTTTTTAAATCGTACGAGGTGTCAGGTTAAACAGGTATTTCAATCTCTATACAATGGTCTATTTTTTTAAATTCCGGTTGTGCCCTATCCGCAAGAAAGCAGTCGAAAGATTCAAGGTTATTGGATTTTTATCCAAATTATTGGTAATGGTAAATGGTAGGTACAGTTTCATTGTATTACAATAAATTTTTAATCTTTCGACTGCTCTTGCGGATATATAGCTGTACCGAATTGAAAAAACATAGACCGTTGTATAGAGATTTGAAACACCTCTCTACGAAGATGTACCATGAGAAATTGAGACCTCGTACAATTTAAAAATTTTGAAGAGGTTGATCTGTAGGGTAGGAGATTGACATGTAATTGAAAAATTTCACCTCTACGAGGAATTTTGAAAATATATTTTTATGTAGATACAGATTTCATTACATCATAGGTTTCCACAATGTATTAACCCCACATTGGGCGCCACTTAATATACGAAAGTGTTCAAGTTTTATGTATAGTCCTATAAATAATGTATGTTTTGTATGGGAAGTTTTACAATTGTTTCTTTAGATCTAAATGGTTCATATATCCTGGCACTCTGGTCACTGTTACCTTAAAAATTCTTAAATGTGAGAAAGTGTCATCTAGTGAGCATATTCGATGTTTCAAATTTCAGAAATTTTGCTAGAAAAACAGAGGAAAAAGGGGGGTATATCATGAGTTAGTCAACTGGTATACTACTACCACTACTACTACTACTACTGACTTTTGACATGTAGCGTAAGTCACGTGACTTCAGCAGAAGAGGCTATTTTTCATCTTCTTTGAAGGAAATCTCAACGCCCTAGGCGTTAGTTTTTTCCACATCACGGCAACTTTCCGAAAGAAACTATATCCCGATCAAATTTCTCTTACAGGTGGAGTACAAACACATGGTCCTCGACGTGATAGAAAGCTTCTGCAGATACGCGAGAGCCACCACCGTACCCCACACCCTCGAGAAACACCACCGACCCCCTTCCCCTTCCCTAGCTCCCCCCTCTCGCGACGATCTCGCCTTCTACCTGCCCGACCTGCTGCGCTCCGTCCGCTCAACCTACGCCACCCTCATCAAGCTCGATCTGCCCAACGAAGCCCTAGACATCGTCAGCCATCTGCTTTTGGACCTCAGGACCAACTGCATGAGTATTCTGTTCCAGCAAACTGCCGAGCAAATCAAGCAACTCAACGAGAATTGGCGGATCAGCTTCGCCGGCAAATACACCGGGATCTCCGAGCTGCCACTGAAGTTCCTGCAGCTGGTGGAGGACGTGTTGCAGATCGTGAAAGAATCCGCTCTGTCTGTCGAGCTGAGGGAAAGTTCTTTGCTTGATAGCCCTCAAGCCAAGAAGGAGCTGGAGAAGCAAGTGGACAACATCTTGACGGGGTTCTACGACGTCTTGGACAAGCTGTCTTCCGGGGAAGGTTTCGACGATGGCGATGACAATGTTCCTGTCGTCTCGCAGCTGATAGGCAGCCCTATGAGCACCTACAAGTTCGTGCCTTCAGGGCAAACGTGCCCCTCGTGGGAACACAGACTGCTCATCACGCTCTCCAACTGCCTCTTTGCTAGGAACACGGTAATGGATGCTGTTGCCTCCAAGTTCAAAGAAACCGGTTTTCCCTCAGTGGAAAGCTCGATCAAATCGGCTAAAGCCAAGCTGCGCAACCTCGAAAAGTCCATCTTGGACAAGTATTTGGAGCAGAAGAGCGATCCACTAGTGGGCACTATCGAACCTTCGATGTATCTGGGTCGTTTTGATTGGGACGTCAGTACACCCCCCACGGACATACGCCCTTACGTCAAAGAGTGCATCAACAATCTAATCAATGTTCACGCAGAAGTCACCAACATCTCGTCGAGCCTGCTAGATCTGGTTTTGCCGAGGATAGTGGAAACGATAGCCGAAGAGCTGTACAGGTTGATGTCTTGTGTGCAGAAATTCAGTAAGGAGGGGGCCCAACAGGCTAGGGCTGACGTGGAAGCCCTGCAGGAGTTTTTCGAGGATTATTCGTCGGAGAACGCGAGGGCGTACTTCAAGGAAGCTTTGGAAGCGGTGGAGGGTGTCCAGGGGTCTGACAGGACGATGGTCGATGACATTTTGTCGAGGTGTAGGGTGAGAATGAGGATACAGATGCTGTGTTTGAAGAAGGTCGACGAGAACAGTTAGTATTTCGTTTTGCGTCGGTGGTGTCGCCACTGTCTGCCTTTTATGATTATATTTATTGATGGATGACGGATGCTCGGTGCCAGAAAATAAACGGTGATATTATGATGAAGTCAGCAACGATTATTTTATCACTTTTCATTAGGGACTTTTTTGTATCGTTCAAAGGCAAGTTATTTACAGGTAAATTCTTCATGCACATATAATTTTTCCCATACCAGAACTATCAAACATTATGATTTCAGGGTAATTATCTTTAAATTATTGTTGGAAAAATTACCATTTTTGAAAAATGATTACCTCAAATGAGGCGTTTTCCTATGAGCCTTGAAATATAATTCAGAAGAAAATGTTCGAAATATTACAGTTAAACAGTCTTGAGGTTCTGAAACTGCCGTACTAAACTACATTTCAATTGAAATCAACTAGAGGTAAAGGTGGAAAGTAATAACTAAAGCCAAATAAGTAACTGACATATATAAAGCCGGTATGACACTATGCATTTTCTTACATAATAATCATAATATTCTGTACAAAATTGAATTATTGCAGGTTGAAATAGAATATTTAGATGAATTTCATGTCAATAAGTGGCCGTTTTGAGTGGCTATCTTGATCATTGTACAATAAAATGCACAGTGTCATAGGGCTCAGAACGAAAGAATATAATTATTGCATAATCAGTGTAAATATATTGGGATTTAAACTCACCAAATCGATTTTGTTATTATACTTATTGTTATCGCCAGTTGTACAATGTTAATGTATTTATATTTCGAAAAAATAAAATAGGATAATTCACTTATTGTTTCATTGACATTGTGGAAAGGAATTGAAAATTTATGAAGAGAACACTTATTTCATTTTGTTTCCAAAAATTCAGAACAATTCTGAATCAGTTATAAATTCCTTCGACATTTCTCAAAAAAGTGCAATCTACGTTTTCAGTGGTAGAGTAGTCCAGCTACTACTTAGATGAAAAAAATGTTGTTCTCCCTCAAAATCCAGAGCTGTTTCTAAAACTACCAAAATGTTTCAAAATGGCCAAGAAGAAATAAATGAATAAACGATCGGGAACTAATTAATAATCTTTAATATACACACGGCATAGAATTAATACACATCCATTTATTTCTGCCCGGTAGTTTAGGCGATGATGTTTTCTTCATATAGATATGGAAAAAATTGTATCATGTATCAATGACCTCACCTGGAAACCCCTTCATGAACATTCATGGTACGTCGCCTAGATCTCATAACTAAGAGATCTAGAATGAACAGAGTCCCCCTAATTGTCAGCAGGAGCGAGACAGTACCTACTGTTTCGGACCACCAATCCTCATCAGCCACTCTCGGTCTGCTGACAACTGGGACAACTCAACGCTTCGGGTACATCACTCATTTCGAAGACACCGGATAAAACATGATCTAGTCATGCTGTAGCCATCTAGTGGCGATAGTTCTAAAATAGGACCATGCAGTCACGTCATACAGTACAGTCTTATGCAATTAAAATTCGCGAGATCCCACTACACTTGACTATACCAAACAAAAGCAACGAGCAGGATATATTCATGACACTCCACTGCACTACACTCGTCCACGCCAAAAAGTGTAGTGTAGAAATATATAGTGTACAATATAAATTTCATGCAGAAACAGCGAACAGTCCTTCTCGTGTCCAGAAGTGCTATCGTTACATGAATAATACAATAGTGGGTATAGAGGGGGTAAACCGCATAATTATGAGAATAGCATTGGGTACACCAATGATACTTTTTAGATAATGGAGAAGACCACTGAGAGAAGAAATCCGTGTAAACCTCTTTCAATCGACGAATCATGATTTACGTTTGATGTACAATCAATATTATAATGTAAAGTTGAAGGGAATCGAATCTATATCGTTTTGAAATCAGCATATTTCATTCGATTTTTCAAACAGCCAAATATGATGGTGGAGTCGTGACGTATTAGTCCCGAACTGTAGCTATCTCTCTCTGATACCTCGTCATTCTGCAGTGTTGCAGTGTGATTGGTCAGTTCAAGGACAATAGGCGTGTTGGGAATAAGACGTCACACCAGTCACACCAATGAATTGACAAAATTTCAAATGGCGCAGGAATTGTGTGTTTTGAAATGGACATATTCTAATTTATTATTTTCATCGTGTTAGCATGAATAACAAAATTCAAAATTAATTCGCTGGTAGTTTTTCAGTACATAGTTCACGATAATATCATTTTAAAAATTCAGTGGTCTTCCCCATTGCTGCACTTCTAATAGACGTTTACTCCCTGCCTGCCCACCATTGTACTATCTAAGTAGCGGCTGGACTCTGATGGAACATTTGCTTGAATTAATGAATAGTGTCCTCTTTATAATCCCAGTCGAGGAATTGGATGAAAATCAGTACTCACCTCTAGCAACGAGCCTTGTCAATCTTTCAGGAAACAAAAGTTGTGGCGGTTCTTCTTCTATCAGATGCCGGTACGTTTCTAACATTGTGAATATAGCAGATTCTTTCACATCTTGCGTACACACCTGAATCCAACGAGAAGCAAAAGAAGAATGAACGAACGGAATAAACGACTAAGGGCTGTTAGCATGAAGCATTTGATGGACGATCAAATATTTAATTTCTTTATATTCTTGTAAAACAATGCCCTAGCCGAGTTAGGAGAGTCAATTTTATCATCTGCCCCACATTTGAAGTGAGTTATTTCACCGATCTGAAATAATGACCTACATGATCATATTGAGATTATCCTGTTTGGCAGGAATTATTTTTAATGTTTCATTGAAGACGAGATGAAGCATACTAAGTATTCTCGAAATGATTATGGATTTAGGATGATTCATACAGAATGTTTCGATTTATACAATTTTTAACAACATACTACATTCTTATATATTCAGCAACTCACTTCACTACTAACTGTCAAATGATCTAAGGATTGTCAGGTTATATTATATACCAATATTACATATACTTCGATACAAATTGAAACTGAATGCCTATCACGATTTTGTGTTGAGTTCCTGAATATTGAAATATAATGACATCCATGACAGACTGCTGCTTTCAAGTTATTTTGTTTCATATTCGATAAAACTACCAATGGAAAAGCGAAATACAAAATCGAAAACACAGCATATTAGTATCCAGTGTCCAATCAACTGCCGAAATACAAAATCGAAAACAATGTATATTGAAATATGTGGAATAATCAAAATAATAATCTGAAATACAGTTATGTTCGTTCTTTTACCTAATAATGAATGTATGTGCTTCAAAATCGTTCATACATTTGAAAGATAAAATTCTGGATTTATTATTTTTTGACAGAAAACGCTTAATTCGACTGCTATCTATTGATAAAAAATCATGAAATTCATTTTGCATTATTTCAAAAGTAAGAACTGTTCATGAAATTCAAATTTTTTTTATTTTCACCCCATCCCGTATGCCTACAATCGATATCGGAATTAGTCGTACTTGTTCGGGAATTAATCGGTTGAACGGATGACGTAACTGATTTGTCATCAGAAAGCAGCATCAAACCAATCGGCAGTGCAGTTCTAGACTCCATCGCGTAAGGTCGATTATTCAAACGTGAAAAATTGAAATTCATCTTCGGTTTAGTGATTGAATTTCAAATGCGAGTGTGTGAAAGTTGTCCTTTTTCGAGATGGTAAGTGATTTTGTATATCAATATGGATTTATTCATCACATGGAGTATTTTGCTTCACATATAACGAAGAAAACATTTGAAATCCAAGTTACGAAAATATTTGCCATTCTGCTCAGAGTTAACACCAAACGTTCAAAAATTTGTATTTATTTAGGATGAAATAATTCGTTTTGTTAACATATACAGAAGTACTAAAAATATGTATTAGAATTATTATATTTTCCAATAGTATCTTTTTTTTCTCTATCGTTATATTACCGTATGTTATTCATAACTTGTCGGTAATTTTTTTGCTAATGAATTCGTTCCTCAATAAAACGGATCAATTTTCTAGGAAAGTTGCAGATTATATCTTGCAACAGCGCCTAATACTTCGAGCCCGTCCACACCACTCAAAATACTGACAGACACAACAAGAGGAAGGAGCCATAGGTGTCGGCTTCATTCTCTTCTGACCGATGGCAGTAAATTAGGAAGGATAGTATCATTGAATGTAGCCGTTATTGATTCATTGATTCAATGGTATCTTCGCTTAGGATTGAGCTCTATACGAGGTATTTCAATGCCTAAATAACAAAACCATAACCTGTCAGAATGTAGCCAACTACCTTCTGCATTCCTGCTCCGAGTGAATTTATGGTTATGTATGTTTTTGTTCACCAGTTTTACTTCTTCTTCTATTTCAGTTTTTCATTCGTTAGCTATTCGCTAGCTATATTCTTCACCATCAGCTATTTACAGACTAGATCCAGAATGTAAGTCACAGTTAGCAGCCCCGGAAATTAGAAATTGCTTTAATTTGAAAATGAAAACGACTTGGACTTTATCGGTCGCCATTCTGTACAGCGTGGACATAAAACTGGAGAGTTCCAAACTTACTTTATGAAAATCCATCCGAAGGAAACTTCTCCATAGTGAAAGTAATTCGATGAAAATTCATTCGAAGCCAATAGGTACTCACCGTATGCTGTCTGAAATGGCACCCGGAGAAGTTCTCCAGCAACTGGTACCGGTACGCCCGTTCGCCGCAGCAAGGGTACCGACCAATAGGCAGCGGCGCTTTTTGCGCGTCCAACGTGAAAAATTGCGGCCCGTCCGGGTGGTACCGACACCAGCCGATCTGGCACGAGGGGAAGTACCGCTCGCAGGCGGTGCAATAGAAGAAGTGCGCGTCGCCCCACAGGCGCCAATACACTCTGCGCCACGTGCGGAGGGACTTGTGCAACTCGAGGATGTAGTCGTTGATGTTCCAAGATAGGTCCCTAGAATTTTTAGGGACTAATACAGGGTGAGGGTGTCCCTCCGGGAACTGCATCGATCAATATACAGGGTATTCCAGTACCCTGTTAATATGACAAATACGTCAATTTACATCAAGGGACCCTAGGTTAAGTTAGGGTCTCTTGATGGAAATTGACGTTAAAGTCATCTTAACAGGGTACGGACAGATCCTTCTCACTCTAAAGTGTTCTGGGGATAAACACTAGATTTTTGACATTTGTTAGTTTTTAGGTTATATTGAGGTCATTGGCGTATCATACGGAATTTCCATATGGAATTCCTGATTCAACTATACCAAGATATAGATGAACAATCCTCTATATTCAGAGTTTACTACTCCAGCATAATCTTTGCGAGGTAGGGAACATAGAAATTATTGTACTGAAAGCTTTATATACTTTACCAAAAGATACTGTTCTTCGACTGTATACCAGGGTTGACTGAATTGACTGATTGAATTCTGATTTCAAGCTGAGCAGCAGTTTATCTAAGAGCTGAATGAGCTGAGCATTATGATTGAGAAATGGTGAAAACCTCGATGTGCTAAATATATTCCCGGAAATCCAACTCGGAGAAGAAGTCATATGGAGTGACTAATATCACACTATGTATATAACTTATTCAATAGTAAAATCTTTTTATTTTCTTGAATTTTATAATCATTAACATTCAGAAATCATTTGACACTGTCAATATTTTCTTTTTTCAACAATATACAAATTGTATTGGGAACGAATAATAAATATCATTACTAGATTACTAGCTAACTTAGCAACTCGGCAATCTATCTCTTCAGTTGTTTAAACTACTATTCATTCTCTACTTCTTCTGAATTCGACTAAGTATCTATACGAACGCGTGTTCGATTGATTTTTCAAACAACTATTTATTACATCTTGAATATCCCAATTTTGACAAAAAATCATAAAGTTCGATCCCGAAAACCCCCAGATACCAATCTTTAATAGAATCAGATCATAATCAGAAATGTCTTTCGCCATATTGGATCCGTCATCTTGAATTTTACAATTTTGACGAAACAATCATTATCTCCTACCTCAGTTACAATTTTGAATAGAATCAGATCTTAATTACAAATCTCTTCCACCATATCAATTATAAAGCCTCTCAAAACTCTTCGAAATAAAATTATCAAATGTATATACAGACTAAATTATTCGGAACCTACTATGAACCTTTACAGAAGAAGAGAATTATTAGATATAGATTCACTATATAAATTCAAATTAATGTCGTTCATTCATTCAGTTAAACATTGTCAAAAGCATTCAAATTTGATTTTCCAAGTCAATAGTAATCACCACAACCATACAACCAGACAAGCAGATCATTTTTCTGTCAAGAAAATTAAATCAGATATTGGTAAAAAATCCATCTATCACAATGGAATGATACAATACAATTCACTACCAAATAACTTGAAGCTGATTAATAGGATTGAAAAATTTAAAAGAGAATTCAAGAAACATATACTCCTGTAATATTGACATCTTATCTCATTTTTATAGTTTTCTTGTACAACTACTATAGTTTTCAATTGTGTACCTAACAGCTGAGTCAAATTGAGGATCATTTTCATTTGAACTTGAAAAAAAAAAGATTCTTTTTGAGTGTGAGTCTTATTTTACTGTCTTCTTTATTTTATTTTGTCAAATATATTTATGTATTCACTATGTTCCCTGCTATAAACAAATATTGTTTCTTGGGAATAATAAAGTTGATTGATTGATTGATATTGGATCCAGAATCTTGAATATCCCAATTTTGACGAAATAATTATAATCTCCGACCCCGGAAATCCCCAGATACCTTCCAATTTTGGATAGAATCGGATCATATTTACAAAACTCGTTCGCCATATTATCTGCCTCAACAAGTAAATGCCCTGTACATACCTATTATTAAAATTTTGAATGATTTTCTGTAGCGCCCATGGATGTGACGTGAAAGCAATGTCAGGGATGCCAGTAGACAAAACTGAAGTCTCTAGATCATTAAAAAAGAATGCAGCTATGATCTGTCCGTACCCTGTTAAGATGACAAATACGTCAATTTAAGTCAGGTAAAATGCCTTACCTGACGTGCAAACTCCGTATCGACCCGTCAGGTTGCATCCGCATGCACGGCGCTATACAGGGTATTTGCGAAGCCGTGTCGGGATCGATCAGCGAGCGACACTTCTCGCACCGAAACACTCTGGCCAAGGAGCGCCAATGGCCGCGGAGACCTTCCGGCTCTGGATCGGCCAACGATTGGATCATTTTGGTGAACAGACGAGACTGGATCTTGTCCTTTCTGTCCTTCATCGACTCCACTTCGGAGTTCGTGTACATGGCGGCTAATCTGAAGGAGATACGTTAATTCTACAGAAACGAGCGATAAGGTCAGTGGCGTAATTACTATACCGCGAAACCCTGCGGTTGCAGGGGGCCCGTTCCTCGGATGGGGCCCTGGGTCCACCAACTAGAGCAAGAACTCCGCCAAATTGGTTGATACATGAATATTTTTCAATTATGAATATGCCACAGAAATAATTTTTCCATTTCTGCGAATAGTGCAGGCATGTTTTTTTCAGTGTAGGTCCAGGGTGATGTGTGAAATCAACGATACAAGTCGATTATTTTAAATGAAGAACTTGATTGAAACTAGTGGTGTTCCAAAAAAAAATCCAACACTCATCTCCTCGCCCTGTCCTTTCTAGGTACGCGCGATGTTACACGAACAGAGATGAAGAAACTCATTGGATTTTTTTTTTGTATATCGCTACTTCAAAGTTGGGAACCAACTCCCCAGAAGTCGGAACTTGTGCGGGGTTAGGAAGAGCGGGACCTACAGCTTATAGTGGAATTCGAAGTATTCGAACCACTTCTAGGAAATCGAGGTGCTAACATAAAACAAGAAAAATGATACAAAAAATAATTTACGGGTGATATGAAGTCGGGAAGTGGAAGGGGGTGAGTTTTTAAGGGTAAAAATTCAAATAACCAACCAAGGTAAAACTCAAAAATAAATAAAAGCAAACCTAGTCAGAACGGAATCGTTCAAGCAAGACAGATTCGTGTTCGTTCGCAAAATCTCGTTCATGTGTTCGTGGCAAAACAGCAGGCAATCGTTGAGCAGTGGCTCCATCTGTAGGAAAGCGGCAGACACCAGTATCGGTATGACACACTGGGCATCCAACTGGGGCCAATCGTCTTCTTGTAGGTCGTCCTTTTTCACCCACTGCATCAGCCATTCGAAAATGCCGATGTCGCAGTGAACTGAGATGTCCATATCTTCCAAACGTTGGCCTGAAAGATTTTTACTCAATTTTTTTAATTTTCATTCATTCTTGGACGTTTTGAAATATTTTGTTACATACAGGGTGTTTCAAGAAAAAACCTCACCCCCTTACTAGGGTAGGTAGTACACTGCAAAATAAGTTGGGTTTACTCAGTAAATGAATTTCGTAACGGCATCCGTTATCAAGATACAAGGTGTTGAAGAAATGTTTTTTTTTCTGTGACGGGAAAAAAGTTTGGCATTTCATCTCTGTTGGCAGGTTATAAAATGTCACTTTTCATAAATTACTTTTTTCCCGTGGGAAAAAAGTGAGTACTTCTTTCCCGGATATATATCACATATATGTACTCTGTTAATGGCTTTTGTTGTGCTATAGTTCCGAAAAATAAGTCAATAATACCGTCTCCGCGCAAGAACTACAAGTCCTTTTATCTTCCATTCAACTTCGCGGTTTCGTATATTACTAAACAACTACTGAATTCGCAATTTTTTAAAATCAAATCACAGAATTTAACTGACAGAAGTGACATCAGATATTTGATTACTTCAAAAGAATGATAAAGATGTATATAAAACGCAGGTGTCCCTACTGTTAAAAACTTGAAATTTCACGTCGATAATTTTCAGATTTCGAAATAATGTAATATCTTCCCAATATTGATTCGTCCTTCCTTCTGTCACAGAAAAAAATAGTGTATTATACACGGGAAAAATATTAGATTTTAGCTCACGGTTTTTTGTCTCCCTCCGCTACGCGTCGGGAGACAACACAACCTGGAGCTCAAATCTACTACTTTTTTCCCTTGTATAATAAATAACTATTTTACACATTTTTCAAGATTATGTCGCAACTACTGGCAACATTGTAATGAGATTTTGTATGGATGTTCCTTGGAATCTGATACATCGCATGCATTTGTTTTTATATCTGACTCTCATAGAGGGCGCTAGTTACACGGTTCGTACCGAGTACTTTTAAACATAAATTTTTTGAATTTCAATTTTTCAATCCAAATTTGATGTCAACTTGAACATCATTCAATTTCACACCAAAAAGGTACTCTTGGTAAAACTCAATACTGTGTTACGTTTTCGGAATATTTCGATTTGAAAATGATGAAGTGATAACTGTTGCAGATATAAAGTTATGTATTAGAGTCAGTATTATGAAAAATTATCACCTATTTATTGAAAACCGAAAACAACAATACATTTCTGATGCTTATCGTATTGATTTAACAATGAATCACAAGAATAACATCGATACAGATTTGACTAAGAACATGGATTACACAGTTTTGTTGTATCTTGAGCAGAAAGTCTAGGCTACATAGGTAAATTCACGTCAAGAGTTGTAAGACATAATTGAACATCACTTAAATGACCTAACAGCTAATCCTCAACTGTTTAGAAGAATAATACATCCTTAAGAAAAGAATATAGAATCGTGTATTCGTCGAAACGTAGGACGTTTTGAACACTTACTCTAACTGATTCAATATTTCATGTTTCTTGTCAAATATCTCTTAATTTATTATGATTCTTTGTTCCGTCAATAACTCCAGCACAAGAATAATTTTATTGTTTTTGAATCGGAATAAATCGGTAATTGAACTCAATAAAATTCATTTTATACCAGCATCAGCTATTACTCCATTATTTTCAAATCGAAATATTCCGAAAACGGAACATAGTATCAGGTTTCACCAAAAGTACCTTTTTGGTGTATAATTGCCTGATGTTCAAGTTCATATCATATTTGGATTGAAAAATCTAACCTCAAAAAAGTTAGGTACGAACCGTGCAACTAGCGCCCTCTGAGAGTTAGATATAAAAACAAATTCATGCGATGTGTCAGATTTCAAGAAACATCCACACAAAATTTCATTACAATGTTGCCAGTAGTTTCGACATAATCGTGAAAAATCGGATGCCGTAACGACATTTTTTCACTGAGCAAACCCAACTTATTTCGCAGTGTTCTACCTACCCAAGCAAGGGGGTCAGGATTTTTTGAAACACCCTGTATTGTACGTATATTGATTATTATACTCAACATTTTGATTATTTCTTGACTGACTGTACTATCAAATGATTTTGACCATTTTGTTTACATCAAAATGAATTTGTGGACAACCACCCTAGAATGACCATGCAACATATTTCCATAACATTTCTATTTCCATTGATTATTTTATGACTGACAATGAATAAACTGTACTATCAAATCGTGGGCGTACAAGCAGAATCATATAATTCCATAAGAGAATATTAGGAGAAAACCGCAATTGAATGTTTCAATCAACCAGTAAAATTTGATTTCAAGTATATATTTTGAACACTAGAGGAGAGTTAGCAGTATGCAATCTCTCATCAGTTTTCTCAGTATGTACTTTCTTTCCTGTTCCATTTATTAGTCACTGATGTCCTCTTCCAAATGGCTCAGCAGATCGATCTAGTGCATTTTTCAAGGTAGGTAATATAATGCATACTTTCAGAAGATCTTGTTTTTTTCACACTTATTGGCAACTGTTTACTATATAATTTCTTCAGCTGCTTAGGATATGCTATTATTTTCAATACATATATTAATTAGGAAGCCAATATTTTAATTAACTACATTCTTACCTGCACTGCCCTTGATGTTTTACACATATTTTCACTGATGTTTCCACATATAACGAGTACCCATTATTGTTCATAGGTTTTTCACAAGTGACACAAATTTTATCTATAACATGGCTCACTTGTTCATTGCAAGCTTCATTGCAAACTAGAAAAACAATTCGCGAGATTCACGAAGTGGGCGACATCTAGGTATAATACTATGAACTTCAAACTGGGGGAAAACGAACTGTTGTCTATGGATAAAGTGCATAGACTACATTGCATTCAGCTTGCTGTAGCTGTAGTCAAACTTGTCAATGACATAAAGTGTTGGCACTGTTGGTAGTGATGATGGTTGAGTTGGTTAATTTTTTTACATTATTACATTTTTATTAGTTCAGTGTACAGTGAACGGGTGAAGAATTGGAGATAATTCAAATAATTCAAACTAATTATGACGAGCAAATCAATTGACATATAAAAGAACAGCTACAACATGTTTACAATACCCAGATTGTCCTCCTTTGCATGAACAAATACGTATAAATTGTTCTACAGGAGTTCCTCGGGACCCCAACTTCAATTTTACTTCATGTGGGGAAGATTTCATCGCCGAAGTTTGTAGACAAAGTGCAAAAATGTGCCTTTTGTTAAAGTCTTCTGCCTCACACAAAATCACATGATTAGCACTGAGAACTGCTTCTCCTTTCACTACTTGTCGGCTTTTTCCGTCTAAGGCTATATTCCGAATTCAACTGGTCAGTACTGTAAGTTGATCCACTGACTCTGCTGAAAATCTGTGTTCCGAAATATAAAATCAAAAATTCACTACTGTAATTCGGGACACGTTTTCATGGTTTTCATCAGTAGTAGTTTCTCGTTTATCTGAACTAGATGTTTAGCCTTCTACTTGTTATAAATTTTGGAAATTTAATATTTAACATGGAAGAAAAATCGATTCTTGTATCCTCTATAGTTTCTACGATTGTTGACGATGGCGATTCAAGCTCGAGTGATGAAGAATACTTGGACATTTTGTTGCCATAAATTTCTCATGATGTACCAGATTGAGAATTGAGATTCATGAAAATCGCAATATGCCTTAATAATGATGAATTTTAGGAGACATTCCAGGTTTATTTAGTTTATTTAGCCAATGCTGCTCCTTTCCTTACTTGCTCTACTACTTCATACTCCAGGTATTTTCTGATATTGAGAATCATCTCATTAATAACGGAAATGAATGTTACATTCCTACCCCCTCTAAAATATGACAGTTCACTGAAGCCACACTACCTTTTGATACTCAGCAATTTCAGCAGAATGTTGAGTCGAAATATTTGGAATGAATAGTATGTCTGCTGACAAGCATCTGTCACTTCCAGTGGATTTTTTGATTTCGGAATGGAAAATCAGCAGATTCAGTACTGCCAGTTGAATTCGGAATATAGCCTAAATAGAGCAAAATATCTGCCAAAAAACATCTACAACTGGCATTATTGGCGTTTTCGATCGAATATTGACAATTAATGTCAAGAAATTCAAAAACTTATCACTCTCATCAGTATACAGTACACAAGCTAATGGCACTAATGGGATTGAGCGAGGATTGACTTTGTTTTCCCCCAGTTTTGACGCGGCTTTGACATAGAACGATGAAAACCGAGCGCCACCTGGTAACATTGATTCCCGCAAATATGTTTCCCACTGGAAGACTTTGATGCACTAAGGATGAACTGTCACAATCCTACACCATGAAACAATAAACACCAGATGACAGACTTGGAGTTTGTTTCCTGTTCAAACTTGTCCAATATATAGGCCAGTAGAATAAATTGAAAATCATTCAAGTGCACTTCTGCATGTCAAAATTATAAGGAAATTTAGACTTACTTAAGTGGATTTTCATTGACTATATCTCCTGAAACAAAGGCAAAATGGACTTGAATGTTTATTTGCCTGGAGCATTATGCTAATATGGACTCATGTGATAAATTCCTCATTTTCGAAAAATGTGGACTTAAAGGGTTCTGCTTGTAAGCTCATGAAATGATTATGACCATTTTGTTTACACCAAAATGAATTTGTGGACAATATTTAATACCACCCTAAAATGACCATGCAACATATTCCCATAACAAAAATGTATTTCCAAATTTGAATGAATAAATAAAACACCTGAATGAACTTCAAGCAATGTACAGCTGATTTTGTACCTTGTGTTACATCTGCAAAATATCCCATTTTTGCCACCAACAGCTTCTGATTGCAGAAAAATGTCTTCTTTGAACTTTTAACTTCATCACATACATGGATTTCAACTTCTGATCTGCATATAAAATGACTAATTTGTTTAATTTGTATCAACTATGATTAATTCATTATGAATATAAGTTGTTGAACACCCTTTCAAATCTGTCTACCGGGTGACACAGGCTATCGGGCCACCCCTGTAACTTCTGCATTCGTCAACGGAGTTTTCTGAAATTCGGTACAGTTATATAAGCAACTATTTCGGATTTGATCACATCACAATCCAATATGGCGGACTTCCGGTTTTACTGGAAATGCCAGCAATTTTGTTTTTTCAAATAGAACACCCTGTATATTTTTATATATTCAAGTTCAACAGGTCAAAACAAGTGCAATCTTGATGTCAAATGTCATTTATTCCACAGCCTACCTAGTTGAAAAATTATTCTAACTGCTAGAAATTCATAAACTAGTTGTTGATTTTTGAATGTATACAATTTGTTACTGCACCGAAACACAAAAATGATATTTCATTTTGTTCCTTAATGTATGTTCTAGAGAAACGGGTAGGTGGCCCATAGGGGATCCATTTGAAAAAAAAATTATTTTTGATCAAAAAGTGATGTGGCTGAATTGATTCCTGGATAAGTGACACAAAAAATAATTTTTCAGAAAAAATTATGTTCTTTTGTTATGTGTGACTCATTGTGAATAGTCTTGGCCACATCTCATTTATCCACGAGGTAAAATGAAAAAACAATTTCAATATATTTTTTTTCGAAAAAATGATATTTGAAATAATGATTGCATTTGTTTCGACCTGTTGAACTTGGATATGTAAAAATATACAGGGTGTTTCATTTGAAAAAAAAAAGTTTCTGGCATTTCCAGAAATACCGAAAGTCCGCCATATTGGATTGTAATGTGATCAAATCCGAAATAATTGCTTATATAACTGTACCGAATTTCAGAAAAATCCGATGACGAAAGCAGAAGTTACAGGGGTGGCCCGATACCCTGTGTCACCCTATAGGTACTATTTTTTTTCCAGTTCTATCAAACACCACCATTATTTTACAAATTCTGAAGAAATAATGACAAAAGCAACTTTGATATATAGGTATTTGCTGTGATATAAATTCTAATATCATTATGACATTTCATTTTTTATTCCCTTTTGATATTTGCACCAAAATGTCTCTATATAAACCCCAACTCATTCCTCTATAATCAATGGCAGATATAGGTATATTAAAATCTTTTTAAGTTTGATAAACATACACATGTACACACTCACTTAAATTTTTATATCAATGAAAGATACAATTCCATTTTCTATTTTAGGAACCCAATCTAGAGTGCACAAAATAACTTACCCAGATTTGGGAACATTACTTTTCAAAACCACATCACTTGATCTATGTTTGGTCACAACTTTATCACTAGAAGTATTATTTAGAACATGGCTGGAGTGACTTGTATGAGGTCTCTCTACAAGTGAAACATATCACAGACTTGTGTAGGTTTATAAGTACATATTGTAAACCTATTTATTTGATAGAATTGAACAAACCTCTGGAAGATGGTTTCTTAGTAGGTGGATGAGTTGGAAGCAAGTATGGTAACACTGAATCTAATAATCCCTCTGTCAACACCTCATTCAGCTTCACTTTGAGTGAATCTGCTGAAGCACATGTCATACTCTTTTTTCGATTTGCTTCTACAAATGTTGAAGATAACTCAAAAGTGATAATTACATGTTTAGTAGTTTTGTGTAGGTACCTATATTCTCTTCTGACAATAACACATTGGAAGTCTGAGAACTTATGCTATTTTGCTGTAATACCAATTGATTTTCTTTGAGCTTCAGCCAATTTACAGCTTCTGTCATCCCATTAGATATCATGAAATTTTCAACACTTTCTTGAACCTGCATTATGTGAAAAGTATTCACAATGTTCACATAATAATAATATTCAAAATTATTACAATAAACTGACTCACCTGATAAGCGGTTTTCAAAAAATTCAAAAACTCTTTGATAGATATTTCTGAAACATTTTCATCTGCCTTTGATTTGTTTTTTGTTTTCACTTCAATTGTGGGAGAATCCGAGTTCAGTTTATCAGATTCCATTTTTGTGACAGGGATAGTTCAAAAGACACATGTATTGATCAAACTTTCCAAAATAATTTTATAAATTGCTACAAAAACTTGACATAAAAAATAAAAATGGTCTGATTGGTATTGGTTTGTTTAGTTTACTAGTTGAATACCTGCAAAGTGTAAATTTTATAAAGCCAGACCCTGACCCCTGACATAGCATCACAACCACATCACAACCCATAGAAAACCCCCACATGATAATCATTAATCAATCAATTTTGTTTCTTCAAAACTCCTGTACCGGAAAATCGGAAGGAGAACCGAAAAAACAATAACCAGAAAACCAAATAATATTCCTCTTCATTATCATTGTAGAGTAAAAGTGTAGAAGAAGAAAACAACCGCCAGGCAGGCAGGTAAGCAGAATGACCTCGTACGAGCTAAAAAAAAAGAAGTGGACACTGTTCTCATTCTTCTCTTCATACCATACCATTCTGGAGATGGGGGATTCCCATAATCCCATATTCCCATTCCCAATAATGATAATGCATTTTATAGTTAATATTATCAGCAAAGAAGATTATCGCTGTGATAGCGTTAATCTTCTTTGTTATCAGTATTATCATATCTTTGGAACCATTAAAAAGTGAAGAGAACTACCTAAGTGAAAATTAAATAGCATAGTTTGTGGAAATAAACATTTTGAAATGTCTCAAAAAGTGGATTGGGCAAAGTATGTTTCAGAAACCGAGAAGAATCTGACCGGCCTAGTAAGTTGAGAACATTATACAAGTATTATCCTTCATTAATATCAACCCATTTGTAGATTGCAACAGTGGACATAACAGGTACTGATGAATCAAAGAGACAGAACTCACAGCAGACTGATGGCGAAGTTCCCGAACAATTTAGCCCAGCAGAGGCAAGTCTTCTAGCAAAAATAATACGAAAAGGTTTGATAGAGAACAAAAACAATATTGAAGTACAAAGGATGGATCCAAAGTCACCACTGTATTCAATCAAGTCCTTTGAAGCCTTGAATCTGAACCCCAACTTACTCAAAGGGGTTTTTGAGATGGGCTTCAATGCACCTTCTAAAATTCAAGAAACAGCTCTACCCACCCTTCTAGCTGACCCTCCCCAGAATTTGATTGCTCAGTCACAGTCAGGAACAGGTAAAACAGCTGCATTTGTTCTAGCTATGTTAAGCAGAGTAGTTGTTGATGAAAAATATCCACAAGTACTATGTCTCTCTCCTACATATGAACTTGCAATTCAAACTGGTGAAGTGGCAGCACACATGGCAAGGTTTTGTCCAGAGATTGAGATGAAATTTGCAGTAAGGGGTGAGGAAGTACCAAATTCTAAATTAACTGAACACATTATTATTGGTACTCCAGGGAAGGTCCTAGATTGGGCTCTGAAGTTCAGGGTATTTGATTTACAAAAAATTAATGTTTTTGTGCTTGATGAAGCAGATGTTATGATTGCTACACAAGGCCATCAAGATCAATGCATCAAAATCCTCAAGAACTTGAGTTCTACTTGTCAAATGATGTTCTTCTCTGCCACTTATGACCAAGAAGTCATGGATTTTGCTGAGCACATTGTTAAAAATCCCATCACCATAAGGTTGAAGAGAGGAGAAGAAATTCCAGACAGTATCAAACAATATTATGTGAGATGCAGGACTCCAGAAGAAAAATACAATGCTGTCACTAACATATTATATGGTACAGTAGGAATAGGCAGAGCTATTATTTTCTGTCATACCAGAAAAACAGCTGCTTGGTTGTCTGAGAAAATGTCCAAGGATGGACATGCAGTAGCAGTTTTATCGGGAGAGTTGACTGTAGAACAGAGAATAAATGTTTTAGATAGATTCAGGCAGTGCCAAGAAAAAGTACTGATCACCACTAATGTGTTATCAAGAGGAATAGATGTAGGACAGGTGACCATTGTTGTGAACTATGACTTACCTATTGATCTTGACAGAAAAGCAGACTGTGAAACTTACTTGCATAGAATAGGTTACACTGGAAGATTTGGCATGCAGGGTATTGCTATCAATCTAGTGGATTCTGAAGAAGCAATGGCTGTTTGTAAAGCTATTGAAAGCCACTTTGATAAGAAAATTAGATATTTGAATGCTGAAAATTTAAATGAAATGTGGATTTGAACCATAATAATCCAAAAGAATGTAATAATTTAAATGTTGAAGTATAATAATAATATAGGTATCATGTTGATTATCTAACCAGTATCATTAATTATTATCCTTATTATCACTGATAAGATAGTCAACTCCCAATCATATATCAGAATATTAAATTTAGTACCTGGTACCTACTACATTTTCTTATCATCATATCATCTAGGAAGTATATTTAGTTCCTACTTCTTTGCCATCACATAATATGAGGTTCAGTGTTTATTGACAAGAAATATCATGTACCTACTATTAACATAATTTTATTATTTTTTTATACCTTATCACATTTTCTAATCACTAATATAATTACCAACACTAAGATAGATATGGAAATATATGAATCATTGTTTGCTAAACACAGAAAAAACATCTAGGGAGCTGTAGTCACTAGATATTTAGCAGACAATGATATGGATATATTATTCTGACCTTATTCATATGTGCATATATTAAAATAAACACTAATTGCCTTAGCAAAACTCAAAAGAACCACAGCTTTTATTTCTAGAGGACTCACATTTGAGTCAACTTCTGATTTGATTACATTTAGTTAAGATCGAAAAAATGTAGTGTTTTAATGTATTACATTTGATACAATAAAGTTAACAAATAATAATTTTTACCATACTTTCTATAGATCATCAGAGCCATAGACATTTTCATCAGAATAGGCTATGTACAGAAAGAAATCTTCTTCATGGTGTTCCTAAAAAAATATCAAAAGATAACAAAAGTATGTCAGAGGGTCAGGAGTCAAGTCACAAATTGAGAAATATTTTTTCATACTTAAACAAACTCAAAGATGACTTATCAATATCTTATAGATCTGTGAAAAAGTGTAGACTTTCAGAGATAGGAACACTCCTGGATTATCAATGAAATTTCAAAGTTCTTCCTTATTTGTTACAGCCTGATAAATATGATAATGATTGTTTACCTGATAAAGAGATCCCATGGTTGCAGATGTGGGTGGAATAACATTATTTACAAAGAAAAACAGAGCATCTTCTGGCCTCAGATGGATTCTCTTCCTGATCAAAAAGTAAAATTGGCCAACTGTCAGGTCTGAAGGAACCAAATATTTCTTTTTGTCAACATCTCCGATTCTAGCCTTAGGGGCTTTCTCAACAATGACCTAGTGGAAAATATAATAATTAGTTTTTGTATAGTTGATTTTTGCATAGTTTCCCAAATATTATATTATTAGAAAATAATTGGATGACCTTCATTCGCCATTTTAATATTGATGACGAACATAACAAAGCCATTCATCCTGGTAACAACTGAAGGAATTGAAAGCCCAAAATAGGTAGAGGTCTTATTTCAAAGCATTATTGGCGTATTGTGTAGAGTACCAGTCTGAAGATACAGCTATAGTTATCAGAATAAGCATCCGATAGAAATATCATTCTCCTTTATGACAATCATATCACAATATTGTATTTTACTTACAGGTACTCTATCAGGATATTTTCTTCTAATTTTCTCTCCTTCAGACTTCCTTTTTTCGAACGGATGCTCTTCCTTGTATTGGAACTTCATTGTTAATTACTGATCACAAAAATTTAAAGCACAGTATAATAGGAATACGAATATTTTCACTCTAAACGCGTCAATATTTTTTGTTGTGAAACAAAAACTAAAAACAATCGATCAGGATTACGAGTGAAGTCAAGGTACCTGATATAATATTTATCAAGGTAAGATTTTTCGTTTTTTGGCAAAAATTATTTTACTTCAAAATGGTACAATGACTGAAAACTGTGCCGGAATGTTGATAAAGAATGAAATTTAAGCAAAATATTCAATAAAGAAAGTCAAAAATAGATGGTCTATTGATTCAATACGCGGATTTCATTTTAGGCACAGAACACAATTATAAACGAGAAGTGACTCATGTCCAAGGTCTACTCATGTCAAGTCATTGAAAGCCGTATTGACATATGGCAGACTTAAGATGGCAAGAAAAACGAAGAAAATAAAGAAGACCAGAGAACAGAGCTTATAACCTTAATCTCTTAACCTTAGAATTTTTATTTACGAAAATAAAAAGTCCACTTTGTTGAAACTAGTAGTAACATACATAAATCATAGAAAAAAACATTTCGAAATGTCTCAGAAAGTAGATTGGGCAAAGTATGTTTCAGAAACCGAGAAGAATCTGACCGGCCTAGTAAGTTGAGAACATTATACAAGTATTATCCTTCATTAATATCAACCCATTTGTAGATTGCAACAGTGGACATAACAGGTACTGATGAATCAAAGAGACAGAACTCACAGCAGACTGATGGCGAAGTTCCCGAACAATTTAGCCCAGCAGAGGCAAGTCTTCTAGCAAAAATAATTCGAAAAGGTTTAATAGAGAACAAAAACAATATTGAAGTACAAAGGATGGATCCAAAGTCACCACTGTATTCAATCAAGTCCTTTGAAGCCTTGAATCTGAACCCCAACTTACTCAAAGGGGTTTTTGAGATGGGCTTCAATGCACCTTCAAAAATTCAAGAAACAGCTCTACCCACCCTTCTAGCTGACCCTCCCCAGAATTTGATTGCTCAGTCACAGTCAGGAACAGGTAAAACAGCTGCATTTGTTCTAGCTATGTTAAGCAGAGTAGTTGTTGATAAAAAATATCCACAAGTACTATGTCTCTCTCCTACCTATGAACTTGCAATTCAAACTGGTGAAGTGGCAGCACACATGGCAAAGTTTTGTCCAGAGATTGAGATGAAATTTGCAGTAAGGGGTGAGGAAGTGCCAAGAAATTCTAAATTAACTGAGCACATTATTATTGGTACTCCAGGGAAGGTCCTAGATTGGGCTCTGAAGTTCAGGGTATTTGATTTACAAAAAATCAATGTATTTGTGCTTGATGAAGCAGATGTTATGATTGCTACACAAGGCCATCAAGATCAATGCATCAAAATCCACAAGAACTTGAGTTCTACTTGTCAAATGATGTTCTTCTCTGCCACTTATGACCAAGAAGTAATGGATTTTGCTGAGCACATTGTTAAAAATCCCATCACCATAAGGTTGAAGAGAGAAGAAGAAAGTCTAGATAATATCAAACAATATTATGTGAGATGCAGGACCCCAGAAGAAAAATACAATGCTGTCACTAACATATATGGTACAGTAGGAATAGGCCAAGCTATTATTTTCTGTCATACCAGAAAAACAGCTGCTTGGTTGTCTGAGAAAATGTCCAAGGATGGACATGCAGTAGCAGTTTTATCAGGAGATTTGACTGTAGAACAGAGAATAAATGTTTTAGATAGATTCAGGCAGGGCCAAGAAAAAGTACTGATCACCACTAATGTGTTATCAAGAGGAATAGATGTAGAACAGGTGACCATTGTTGTGAACTATGATTTACCTATTGATCTTGACAGAAAAGCAGACTGTGAAACTTACTTGCATAGAATAGGTCGTACTGGAAGATTTGGCAAGCAGGGTATTGCTATCAATCTAGTGGATTCTGAAGAAGCAATGGCTGTTTGTAAAGCTATTGAAAGCCACTTTGATAAGAAAATTAGTTATTTGAATGCTGAAGATTCAGATGAAATTGAAAAAATTGGGAATTAGTGTTGATTAAAATGAGAAATTCATTTTTAATGTTTTGTTTTCTATATTTATATATATAAAATAAATGCATTATAGGGTTAGGAGAAACTCACTGATGAGAGTATGTTTGAGGAGAATATTTTTATTTAATTAGAATACATTTTTTATTTTGATAAATGAAGTTTTACTTAGGTACACTTATTGATATAAATAAGGGAAAAAAATTGAATATCCAGAAATGTAAGTAGGTATTTTTACTCACATGAATATAGTATTTTCTAAAAATATGAAAAAAAATCTGCTGACCAATTTTTTGTTATTATATTTCCTATTTTCTCAGAAATGGTCAGATAGATTTTGCCGAATATTTTGTCAGAACATTACACTTATACAGAGTGATATTTAATTATGTGGCCAAACTTCAGTTGATTTTTTGGGTGGATCCAAGCCAAAAAGTTCATCTGAACATGGGTCCGGATATACACCGTTTTCAAGATACAGGGTGTCGAAGATTCGAAAAAAATTGCTTTTCCGTATATATCGCAAAAATTTTTGATCCAATTTTGTTAAAATATTGTGTTATTTGTGGTAGTAAGGTGTACTAATTATGAAAAACTTTTTTTTTCAAGTTAGACACTACATGTCTTGAAAATTATGCATTTTCCTGGTCATATGATCTTAGAATCACTAATAGTTGCCCCTTGAAGTCAGGCCACATACTTGAATAACCCCCGTATAAAAAAAAATGTTTTTTCTAATTTTCATAATTACCTCAATGAAAAACAAAAACGAAGAATAACTTGTGATATTGAAAGAAAGATTATTTTTTTGCAATAATTCTGAATAATCAAAACAGCATATTGACTGGATTTTTTCAAAGTATATGCTATTGGGTATTTATATTTCCTCCTCAGAATGTTCATCAATGTTTCACTACTAGGGCTGGGAAAAAATATCGATATATCGATAAATATTCAATTAATATTAGTAGCTGTATAAATCAATAGATTAGGTATAGGTTTTTGTGCATTCCATTTTAGAGAGACTGACGAAGGAATTAAATAAATTCCGAAAGCTTTCTCAAAAGTAAAAAGAGTTTTCTTTTGAGTCCCACATCAGCTGCATCCCCACAAAAACCTATACCTAATCTATCGATAAATATATCGATATATCGAATAACGATATTTAAGTTTTGAAATATCGATATATCGATACCTATCGATATATCGATAAATATCTATAAGTATCGATATATCGATAAATATCGATAAATATCGATAAGTATCGATATATCGATAAATATCGATATATCGATAAATATCGATATATCGATAAATATCGATAAATATCGATGAATATCGATGAATATCAATAAATATCGATAAATATCGATATATCGATAAATATCGATATATCGATAAATATCGATATATCGATAAATATCGATAAGTATCGATATATCGATAAATATCGATAAATATCGATAAATATCGATAAATATCGATAAATATCGATAAATATCGATAAATATCGATAAATATCGATATATCGATAAATATCGATATATCGATAAATATCGATATGCAGTGTGTCCAAGATAAGGTTGCTCAGTAATGTCTTAGAAGCAACTGTGAGAAGAGGATATCTTTATTTAGAGAATAATGGTCATCATTTTGAACAATTGTTATGAATGTTTCTGTTGGTATTGCCAAAATTAAGTTATTAAAGTAATTCGTGTAAGAATTCATAATTAATTTGAAGCGCTGCATTGAATAATATGGTGAAATATTTTTTTTCCACTTTTCGGTATTGAATAACTATATAGTCTCTCAATGTTTGACACAAGGGCTGGGAAAAAATATCGATATATCGATAAATATATCGATATATCGAATAACGATATTTAAGTTTTTAAATATCGATATATCGATAACTATCGATATATCGATAAATATCGATATATCGATAAATATCAATAAGTATCGATATATCGATAAGTATCGATATATCGATAAATATCGATATATCGATAAATATCGATAAGTATCGATATATCGATAAATATCGATAACTATCGATAACTATCGATAAATATCGATAAATATCGATATATCGATATATCGAACTTATCGATAAATTTCAACTTATCGATAACCGATAACTGAAATCCAATATCGCGCAGCCCTATTCACTACATTTTTCATAGCTTCAGATTATCCATGATATATTTACTGGGTGATCCTTGCAAATTGAAAAAACGTCGACCGAACTTTGGTGCAAAATAAAAAGGATGACTAACGTAAAACTATAATTTTTAAAGATACGATTCCGTGGCACAATCCATAAAGATTGACATTGTGGTTTAACCAACCTGTAGAAAGGAAATATTTCCCCGTCATAGAAAAAACCGAAACGTGACTGAATAGTGAATCATGACTGATTGGTCACAGGAGTAAAATAAAAAACAAATTATCAATGCCCCGAAATGCATGCCCTTTCTCCAACGTTCATTCCAACCAATGATATACCAATAAGTGTTGTAGAAGCTAGCAGGATCAGAATTAGAACCCACTTTCTTCTTAGTATCACTGTCTCAGTCTCAGTTTCCCCTTCAAAGTATCTATAACATCTTGTTTCCAGTCACCCTAGATGAGATTTTCGGCTAGACCATGTTCTATCGACCTCGATATCGACTCATACTCTAATATACCGTTTCTCACTCTCATCACCGAACATATATATGTTCGGTGCTCTCATGCATATAGTATTTTCTAAAAATATAAAAAAAACTACTGACCAATTTTGTAGTTCATCTATTTTCTCAATAAAGTTAGATAGAATTGCCTATTATACCTTATAAAAAAATATCTTGGATTTTTTAATCATCATTTTTGATAGTTTTTTCAATGAGGAAATACAAAGAGAGAAACGAAACACCTTATTGTGATATTGAAAAGAAGAATACAATCACGTCGACCGAACTTAAAATAAAAACTAAGACCAAACGTAAAACGGGAAAAAAGATTGAAATTTCATCTCTGCTGACTGGTTATAAAATGACACTCTTCATAAATAGTTATTTATTATACAAGGGAAAAAAGTAGTAGATTTTATCCCCAGGATTGTGTTGTCAAAAAACCGTGAGCTAAAATCTAATATTTTTATATAATAATACACTATTTTTTTCTGTGACAGAAGAAAGGACGAATCAATATTGAGACGATATTACATTATTTTGAAATCTGAAAATTATCGACGTGAAATTTTAAGTACACCTGCGTTGTAGGCATCTGATGTCACTTCTGTCAGTCTAATTCTGTGATTTGATTTCAAAAAATTGCGAATTTAGTGGTTATTTTTTAGTAATATACGTAACCTCGAAGTCGCATGGAAGATAAAAGGACTTGCAGTTCTTTCTCGGAGACGGTATAATTGACTCATTTTTCGGAACTATAGCACAACAAAAGCCATAACAGTGTATATGTGATATACAGGGTGTTTCGAAATTCGACCGACAACGCTTGACAGGTGATAGCCCTCGTGATTTCATAATCACTGAGATAGGGACATTCGGTCTTCAAGTTTTCAGTTCTCGAGATACAGGGCGTTAAAGTTGAGAAATTAAAATAGTTTTTTCGCAATAGCTCAAGAAAAATTGAATATAATGCATTCAAATTCGGTATATGGTTTCATCTTTCAATGGTTAATTTTTTGATCAGAGAGACATTCCGAGAATTTTATCCAGAGGTGCGCTACAGAGGGTTGTGATAACTTTTCCGCCCATATTTTCTACGCCACTGATGAAATTTCAATTATTTCCAATTTCTCGAATTGATTGTTCAATTATGTTGATAAAATGCATCACCTTCAACTGAGCAAAAATGAACAGTTATCGATATATTTGACAAAATAGAAGTTTGCATAGTAATTTTTCATCTTCCTCAGTAGTAGAAAATTACAAAAATGTTTGTTTTCTCTTCATACGTGGAGTAACGATTTCTGTTCAGCTATAGAATGAGATCTGAATAGTATCTAATCTATTCAACACCAGAAAAATATTTTTGCAATTTTCTAGTACTGAAAATGATGAAATATTACTATGCAATCTTCTATTTTGGGTCGAATATCTCGAAAACTGTTCATTTTAGCTCAGTTGAAAGTGATGCATTTTCTGAACAAAATTGAACAATCAATTCGAGGAATTGGAAATAATCGAAATTTAATCAGTGGCGTGGAAAATATGAGAGGAAAAGTTCCACAACCCCCTGTAGGGCACCACTGGATAAAATGTCCGGAATGGCTTCCTGGTCAAAAAATGACCCATTCAAAGATGTAACCATATACCGAAGTTCAATCCATTATGTCCAATTTTTCTTGAGATATCGCGAAAAAACTATTTCAATTTGTTAACTTTAACGCCCTGTATCTCGAGAACTGAACACTTGAAGATCGTATGTCCCTATCTCAGTGATTATGAAATCACGAGGGCTATCACCTGTCAAGCGTTGTCGGTCGAATTCTGAAACACCCTGTATATCCGGGAAAAAAGTACTCACTTTTTTTCCCACAGGAAAAAAGTAATTTATGAAAAGTGACATTCTATAACCTGCCAACAGAGATGAAATGCCAAACATTTTTCCCGTCACAGAAAAAAATAACAAATCGTGACTGAATCAGGACTGATACGTCAAAGGAGTGAAAAAAAACTCCCAAATTATCGTCTTCACCCTTCGAATAATGGCTGCCCCGAAATGCCCTTCATCCGGCGTACATTCCAACCAAGGATACCAAGTGTTGTTGAACCTAGCAGGATCGGAATCAGGATCCACTTTCTTATTGGTCTCGGGCACCAACTGCTCATAGTAGCCCCTCAGTTTCCCCTTCAAAGTATCTATAACATCTCGTTTCGTGTCATCCCCTATTAGATTTTCGGTCTCGCAAGGATCCGCCCTGATGTCGAACAGGCAATAATCGTCGCAAGTATACAGAGGGGTGGCCGCTCGGGGGGCGCACCAACCCCTGTCCAGGGCGCTCCTCATGCTCTGCACCCTGGTTCGGTCTAAGGGAGTGTTTTTCGCTAGTTTTCGTATGGCTGTGTTGGTGGGACTGTCTAGAACGGATTGGATGTCGTAGGGTGGGTTTTCTGGACCTCTGCCGCTGTCTCCGTAGTAGTCATTGTACAGACCGTTTCTGAAGGATCCTTTAACAGTACAGGGAGTTTCGGTTTCAACTTCATGAACCATGCAATAAACGAGTAAATTGAAATATATCTCTCCAGCATATTTATTGCTGAATTTATTTGTTATACGAGCCGATAGATGGCGGTACAACTACGTTCCCAATCAGCACCAGACGTCTTAAAGACGTACATTTTACGACTTACTTACGTCTTTACGTCCAGGGACGTATAAAGTACGTCTTTAAGATGTAAATCCATGTACATCTTAAAGACGTACACGAATTTACGTCTTTAAGACGTACATTTTAGGTCGTATCCACGTCGTTCCTCCCATGTCGTATAAAAGACGTCTTAAAGACGTACATTCCAGTACGTCAATTCGACTTATAGAACAATAATGTAAGTTATTCTCTGAAGAAAAACAAAATGTCATCTCTTCACGTTTTTTATTTTCAATTGTTCAGTTTTTTCTTTTTTTCAACAAAAAGTGATGTTTTTTAATTTTTTCGTCCGACATTTTGAAGCCTTCGTGTTAGATTCTCGAATTTTTACAAAAAAATCATATTCTCCGACCCCAAAAGTCCCATAGTAATCAATTTTGAATAAAATCGGACTATAATCACAAAACTCGTCCGCCATTTTGAAGCCGACATCTTGGATTTTTCATTTTCGACAAAAGGAATTATAATCTCTGATCCCGAAATCCTTCAGATGCCAATTTTGAATCAGATCAGACCATAATCAGAAAACCATATGCCACATTGGATTCACCATCTTGAATATTGAATTTTGATTCGAATCGGAACATAATCAATGAGAAAATCGTCCGCCATATTGGATCCGCCATTCTGTTTTTTCCATTCAATTATAATATCACAACGAATTGTCACCGGAATAATATTCACTTGCCAAATTTCAAATAAATCGGACGATTTAAAGTGAGTCAAATTTAACTTGCACGTTTTGATTACAAACAGACACAAAAAGGACATGTTAAACTAAGTGAAAGCTTGTTATGTGATATATAGAACAAACAGAGTAACAGAAGAAGTGAATATGGTATAATCATCGAAGTCAAGCAACAAAGAGCGCGGTTAGTACTTGAATGGGTGACCGCTTGTGTCTACCGTTTGATGAAGTCGTTTATTTCCCTTTTTTTTTTGCTTGTCTGCACTTGTTGCTAACTTCAGTGCACAGGTGAAAATCAACTGAAACTATGTGATTTTTCCGTAATTTGAAAGATCAATTTGAGGTCATGGGCCAAAAACACCTAAAAAAGACGTCTTAAAGACGTACATATTAGTAGAAAATGTACGTTTTAAAGACGTCTTAAAGACGTCTCTTGGGCGTAATATGTACGTCTTTAAGACGTACTTATGTCCCGACATGTACGTCTTAAAGACGCCTTTAAGACGTACTTTGGCTGATTGGGTTGCTAAGAGTTACTAACAACTGTTATCATCTTCCATTAGTTATTGGACCGCAATGACCTTATATTTTCCGATTCGGATTGTTACTTTATATCTGGAAATAGGTCGTCCATTTTCAGGATTTCAGATTGAAAATAATTTATACCGTGTCATCCATTACTGTCATCAAACAAAAAACATCGTAGAAGTTTCTTTAAGATGTTCCATATCAAGTACCCTGAATGTCTGGTACATCCCGTATCATCCCACAAACATTCTGATGGGATGTTTATAAGACATCGCAAATGCTGACAAGGGTGTTGCCAGCAACATCCCAAGAATGTCCCAAGGAAAATAGGAATTTTCCAGAGATGTTCCTATCATCCCATATGGATGTTTCTACGACGTCTTACAGATGTTATTGTGTTATTAGGGATGAGATTGGAACTTCCAAAAAAATCATTCGTATGGTAAGTTATATTTTTATGATGCATATTTTGGGTAGTCTTAGGTACTAGTGCAGACTCGATAATCCGAACTAATAAAAACCAAGGCGATTCGGATTACCAAAAAATTCGGATTACCGAAGCAGTTTTTTTTTTATTTTTTATTACGAAATGCAAAAAAAACATAAATACGAAAAAGTAACACTAAAATATGCATAAAAGTAAGAATATAATACTAGTTTCTAAAGTAATTTGTGATTTTTGTTTGCTTAACACATCTTTGATTATTTATAAAGGCCATTTCTTTTAATCTTTGAAGTACAATTATTTTCTTCCTTGCGTAATGTGAATCCTCAGATACTAACAAAAGAACAATTAGGGGAATCCCTGAACATTTCACTCACAATTTCTATAGGAAATAAATAGGCCTAAAGGTATAGGTTCGAATTATCGAGTACTATGAAATTCGGATTATAGAGTACTCAATGTATTAAAAATGCTTGTTCGGACTACTGAAGAATTCGGATTATTGAACGTTCGGATTATCGAGTCTGCACTGTACTGTGTTTTATATTGATGTTTGGCAGGTTTGAATCATAAATGTTCTTTGGAAAAAAAAGTTGACTTACCGTTTAATAATTTGTATCGTCCTTCATAGCCTAATATACCAGAGTAACCATTAACTTCATCGATATTGATCAGAAGCTCAGTTCTCTTTGTAGTTTCATTTTTGGAAATAACATTCCATTGATTTATACCATCGATTTTTCCTAATTTGGCAACATTTCCACCTGAAATAATCAAAGTAAAACACCTGAAATGTTGAACATTTTCCAACATTTCCATAATTTTTATATTTCAAAATCAAAATTGTATTTCAAAGTAGCCACCCGTAGAGTCACTGGATGGTATTAGTTTGATAAGAGTTCGGACACAGCTGAACTTTTGTCCTTTTCTATTTTCTATAATACAATGGTTTAAGTGAATAAAAGAATAAGACATATATCCTGCTCTTTGTCTTTTCAATTTCCCTAGTAGCGCCTGATTGTCACATACGATTTTAGAGGTTACATTTTCTGTCAAATCAATCATAGCAGTAGATGGACAATGGATATAGGGTACACTTCAATTAATAGTGATAAACTTCTAGCAAGCAACTGTTATATAAATGAAAAGAATGAATGTAACAACATTTTAATGTTAGAAAATATATACAAATATAAACTTATAGCTATAATTCCTTATTGTATGTGAAACTGTACTCCAGTGATAAGTATAAAACATGAAGTTATTAATACTTATTAAATTAATGGTGGGTATTCTCAATATACAGGAAGTAACATAAGTATGTTCAAGTGAAGTAGTCCTGAGAGAATAATTTCAAGAAATATAGTCTATATAAGCGTGTATCCGGAAATGCTTCATTTCGGAGATACAGGGTGTTGAAATACAGAGAACAAATCATTTTTCGATAATTATTTCATGGGAAAAAAGTAATTTATTTTGACGAGCCCTACCAAATACTTGATTTTGTAAAGTTCTCAGCAACTTCGCTTATAGCACCCTAGGAGCTAAGTAACATGGATCGATATAGAAAATATCTCCTAAACGATAAGCTCCAGCATAATTGAGGCCCTTATAATAATTCTCTTGATACATAAATATCTATTCATTTTCCACTGTTGAATTTTGAATTTGGTCGGCACCAAAAACGCCATTCAATAATATATCACGTTGTAGTTTACTTGCTTTTCTTAGTTTCGTTTTCAAATTTTCAATTTCATTATGTAATTTTGTGGTATTCTCCCCATTTTCCATGATTATTTTGTTCTTGAAATCGTCTGCTTTGTAAATTGATGGAACAGCAGATTCTCTCAAACAGATTCTGTTTGAATATGGGCCTAAAATATAGTTTCATTCTAATCAGATGCGTTATAAGAAGTGAATTTCAATGAGTACCTCAAAAATTTTGCTCGTCTTCAAATTGATTTTCCACCCAGGCCGTTTCATATCTTCCTTCCATGAGCGAATGCTTGATGTTTGATTTGGAAAATTGAATAAATGATATCCATATTTTTCAGAATCGGTATAATTTATTACACAGCAAGTGATTTCCATAGCTGCTTTTTTCTCGAAAGTATAATTATGAAATTTTATTTCAATTTTGACGTTAATAAAATTAATTGTCAAATTCGAACAATTTTGAATGAAAACGCGCGGGACGACTATGGTGCTCTTGTCACAATGCAGGGTGTGTAACTTAATAAATCTAAACATTCAAAAACCCTAACCGTTGTCATTTCTGTGTCCGAACTCTTATCAAACTAATACCATGCAGTGACTCTAGCCACCCGTACCTGCAGCATGGTAAAAAGTAGGCAACAAGTCGGTAATATGGATCAATTCATTGTTAATATATCCTTTTTTCTGTAACATTGAGCTGTATAATACTCCTGTACCTCTCACACCACCTTCATTGAGCGTAAATTTCAACTAAAAAAAAAACATTATACCAGAGAGTTTACCCAGCGAGCACAAACATCCCTGGGATGTTTTGGGATGTTTTGAAAATGTTGACATGAAGATGTCATTTTGAGACGTAATATGCACTGACCAAACAGGTCTTTGAAGTATATTGAAGTATTGTTTTTGTTCTTCTGTGGCATTTCTTTGTTTGCCTACTGAGAGGTATCCCTGGGATGTTTTGGGATGTTTTAGAAATGTAGGCATGAGGATGTATTTTTGAGGCGTAATATGCACTTCCCAAAGAGGTCTTAGAAGGATATTGAAAGTATTGTTTTTGTTCTTTTGTGCCCTTTCTTTGTTTGCCCCACCACAACGTCTCATGCTTACGTCACAATACGATGAATTCTGATTTGTTTTCGATTTTGTTCTTCTTGTTCGCGATTGGCATTCGCGTTTGCAGCGTGTCACGCATACATCACGCTGCTAACGAACAGAAAAGAATTTGTTGAAGTTTATTGTGTTAGAAGACTTATTTAGTTTGTGATAATGACCATCAGATGCAAGATGTGTTGTTCGGTGCCTCAGTGTAATCAATATATAAAAGTACGAATTCATCAACACACATATCAGCTTATCCGCAGTTGCAGAATTATGCATTGTGGAGAACATTTCAAAAATTGGGAAACCTATTTCCAATTATATGTCTGTGATAGTAAGCACTACTCAGAAACCAATTAAGAAGATAATTTCATTTCAAGAAAATATTTTTATGTTCAATCTATTTTTAATGCATTTTTTCATTCAAGGGAAATGGAATCCTAATGCAAAAGTTCATTTTGACAAAAGGCTTCAGAAAAGTACCTCGAAAATGTTTTTTTTACAGCGATTTAATGTGCGCAAGACGCGTTGAAAATGTTCTGTTGTGTCCATGAAAAGGCTTTAAAAAGAAGTAGGGAGAAGGTAGTTTTGTGACATATCAAGGACATCTCGATAATTGCCGACTGCGGCGGACATTGACTGTTCTATAATAGTTCTATTCATGTGTAAACAGAACATCGCAGTGGAGGTTCAATGTCTCGAAATCTCGTACTTTTAACATCTCTGAGATGTTTTTGTGCTCGCTGGGTCATTGATAAAGCCTTCAATTTTTTCTGTTGAACAGGATTATTTCGTTTTTAAGAAAATAGATAATGGAGCAAGAGAACACATTAAAAAAAAGTGTTATGATTACCCCTCTGAATGGCCAACCAGATCCAAAGTTTTGGAACATCCCTGTAGTTTGTGCTCCGTTATCAGAGAAAAATAATATGATTGTGTCATCCAACATACGCCTTTCTGAAAGTTTCGTCACAATTTCCCCCACTGAATTGTCCATTATGTTGACTATATCTGGAACAAAAAGCTATCGGTGATCCGAAAGAGTTTCAACTTTTTTAGGCACCCAATCGGAACATTTTCTGAGCGATTATTAGACTTGGAATTACTTTCATAATATCACGAGACCAAAGTGACCAATTTCATTCGGATTTCATTATCAGGAAATACCATTATAATAATAATAATAATTGACCATCCTTCACGTTTGTGAAGTATTGGAAAATATCTAATTTGAAGAATTAAAAATATATAACTATTGGTGAAATATTGATGAAATTCACATCTCTCTTTCAGAACTATCGACCATAAGCAATCAAACCACCAATGGGATATAAAATCATACATATTGTAGGGGTGCACTATTTGAAAAATTGATGTGAAGAAAGTTTGAATTTCGTGAAAATCATATAATATTTCTGACCGCCCTGTATAACTTTCGAAGAAGATGAGTATTTCATATGATAGAATATGCTACCGACTACAACCAGTCTTGAATGATTCCATAAATTCTTAGTAGTATGAATGATGGGTTTGTCTAAAAAAATGTCTGCATTTCATGAAACACTAGTATAACTTGACAACGCCTTGTCGGATTTTCAAAAATAAAAATCTGATGATTAGCCTAGAGGGATGAGAATTCAGATATGTTGAAATATATGGTGTGTTCCATTTGAAAAAATTGATGTTCGATTTTGTGAGCCTTTCTTGCGCCCCTCGTATGAAATTTAGTCATTCCTGAAGTTAACACTCATGATGCGATATGATGTGGAATTATGATATTTTGAAAATTCTTATTGGTTCAGGAGATATTCAACTGTCCCACTGGTCTAGGGACACACTGTATATATGTATGTACCTACAAACAAGTATTTTATACAGTGTGTCCCACTTACCATGCTCACCATGGGTATCTTTTTAACGGTGAGAGATAAGAAGTCGGTTGAATGACACCAAATGTGGAGATTGTCAAGGCCAACTATAAAGTGAAAAAATATTTTGATAAAATCTATTCGTTTTTGTTTTATACGCAAAAAACAGATTTTGGTCATTTTCATGTCTCCTCTGTAACTTCTTTATTTATGAAAATATCCAAATAGAAATTTCACATTCTCATGGCAGTTTTTCAAAGTGATTTCGAAAAAGATATGAAATTTATACCAACTCTTCTAGAATTTAAGATAGCAGCACCAACTTTAGTTTTTCAAATGTAGTTCATAGCTCACTATGACTTAGTTACGAATACCTTTTTTTTCTCTTACCGATGATATGTCGCAGTAATAGTTTTGTGTTGATAACAACGGAGTTATCTTCATTTATACAAAAACAAAAAATTATTTGGAAGCCGCCATCTTGAATTTATGAATTTTAACAAAAAAATCATGACCTCCGACCTCAAAAACCCCCACTCACCAATTTTGAATGGAATCGGACCAAATCTTGTCCGTCATCTTGGAACAGCCATTTTTTTTTAATTTCAACAAAAATTCCATATCTCCGATTAACTTGAAATTTGGTAGTTGTTCATAATTTCGGTGACAATACATTATGAAATTTTTGTTGAAATAAAAAAAATGGCTGTTCCAAGATGGCGGACAAGATTTGGTCCGATTCCATTCAAAATTGGTAAGTGAACTTAAGGTCGGAGATCATGATTTTCTTGTTGAAATTCATGAATTCAAGATAGCGGCTTCCAAATAATTTTTTGTTTTTGTATAAATGACGATAACTCCGTTGTTATCAGCACACAACTATTACTGCGACATATCATCTGTAAGAGAAAAAAAAGTTATTTGTAACTAAGTCATAGTGAGCTATGACCCACATTTGAAAAACTAAAGTTGGTGCTGATATCTCAAATTCTAGAAGAGTTGGTATAAATTTCATATTGTTTTCGAAATCACTTTGAAAAACTGCCATGAGAATGTGAAATTCCTATTTGAATATTTTCATAAATAAAGACGTTACGGAGGAGACATGAAAATGATCAAAATCTGTGTTTTGCGTATAAAACAAAAACGAATAGATTTTATCAAAATATTTGTTCACATTATAGTTGGCCTTGACAAACTCCACATTTGGTGTCATTTAACCGACCTCGTATCTCTCACAGTTAAGAAGATACCCATGTTGAGCATGGTAAGTGGGACACACTGTATATTCTGTCACATATTGAAATTACCTAATTTTAAGATTTAAAGAAATGCACCATAACCATTGTTAAAATATCTAATAGAAAACATCTACTACCTGCATATAACCTTCTCTCAGGGGTGGCAATGTACCGGTACTTCTCGTACGCAGCGGTGGTGTTGGGCACCCCCAATTCCACCCCGTCCTGGCCAGCGTGCCCCGCCAGATGGGCCAGCATCAGGAAGAGGGGCTCTTTCCTGTCGTGCCTGTCTATCACCTCGACGGCTTTCCTGGTGAACAACTCAGTGGCGTAGCGGCCCTTCAGAGGCCATTGGGGCTCAAAGCCGTTATGTAGGTCGAAGCCCGTGAAGTTCTGGATGGGAAAATGAATTGAAATAGAACAGCCTCACAGAGGGGATTATTTTTGCTTGTCGAATCAACAGATGCAAGTTCAAAGAAAAAAATCAAAAATTGAATATTTACATCGTGGCTATCAGGCCAATTTTACTGTATGCCTCGGTAGTCTGGGGCCACACAGCTAAATCTCATATCACCAGATTACAAACATTACGAAACAAAATCGCGAGAATGGTGACAGGATTTCCTTGGTATGTTCGGAATAACCAGATCGCCAGGGATCTGAAACTCCCTTCAATCGTGTCAGTTATTAGAGAACGATACATCAAGCAGACTTTCGAAATAGCTGAGGTGCATGAGAATCGGCTTATTCGAAATGCAGTTGATTATGACCCAGGTGATCAATCAAAATTCAAAATACCAAGATTGTCCATAAACCAGAGAAAATATCAACATCATGACTAAATTTACTCTTCCCAAGTTTTTTGATATTTATTCGTTCCGTTCGATCTTTTTCAATTCTCAGAATAACTTATTTGGGGCAGAAGGGCTGTTCGCATCAAACTACAATACCTACCGTTTTCATTTTGTTTCATGATAGATATCAGGATAAGAGGGGCTCTTTCCTGTCGTGCCTGTCTATCACCTCGACGGCTTTCCTGGTGAACAACTCAGTGGCGTAGCGGCCCTTCAGGGGCCATTGGGGCTCAAAGCCGTTATGTAGGTCGAAGCCCGTGTAGTTCTGGATGGGAAAATGAATTGAAATGGAACAGCCTCACAAGGGATCACTGGTACTGGTGGAGGACGTTTACACGTCAGCAACTAGTCCCCAATGCCTGATGGGACCTTTTTGCAAACCCCAAGGTGTTTTCAATGACTGATGTGGTTCGCTTAAGAGAGCTGGCTAACATCCTTTCCAGGCACCGCCCATATCAGCTCTCTTTCAGAGTTTTTCGACTGTGTTTTGTAGGCTAGTAATGTACTCACTACCATTTGCCGAGTGGCAGGCCTGCTAGCTATCCTCGTTAACCCCCGTTAGAGACCGAGGTCCACTAAGCAGCTGGCTCGCTCTCACGCTCGGCATCGCTAAAAGCTCCGCTTCGTAAATGCAAAATTCGCTTGTCAAACAAAGTCTCACTTTTGATCCTAATAATAAAACTATCTACTATTGTTTATTTTTGATGACCTCTAGTAGAACATTTTTAATTCCTTGGAGCTCAAGTTCAACATTAGCTCCTAGGAATTAAAAGTGTTGCCTAGCAACATACCTATATTTGTGTCAGTTCAAGAGCTAATTTTGGTATTAAAATGGACGACTTTCGTGTCGATTGCAGAAAAATAGTAGATTGTTTCATTAGGATCAAAAGTGACACTTAGTTTGACAAGCGAATTTTGCATTTGCGAGGCGGAGCGTTTAGCGAAGCCGAGCGAATGCAAAATTTGCCTAGCAACATACCTATTTTTGTGTCAATAATAGAAACGTCGATTTAAGAGCTGATTTTGGTATCAAAATGGACGACTTTTGTGTCGGTTGCAGAAAAATAGTAGATTGTTTTATTAGGATCAAAAGTGACACTTTGTTTGACAAGCGAATTTTGCATTTGCGGGGCGGGGCGTTTAGCGAAGCCGAGCGAATGCAAAATTTGCGAGTGGAACAAAGTCCCTTTTGATCCGAATGAAACATGCTATTTTTTCTGCAACCGAAAAAATTAACTCAAATAAACATGTGAAGTAACCACCAATGCCGTGCCATATGTATGCAATGCAACAAATATTGACAAATAATCCATGTGGTGAAATTTAATGAGAATATTCTACCTGCATTAACAGCAGGTTAGGTTTTCTAGGATGTTCGAATTTTAGTTTCAATATAAATACAACCACAGAGTGACATATTTGTGTATGGACCAGGTGCTCTAATGGCAAATACCGCGCCAGTGCCAGCTATAGGAACAAGATGTGGAAACTGTTAGGTTAGTGAGCATATCAACAATGATAATAGTGATTATTTATTCCTCTCCATACTACACTGTGTTTGACTTGATAATCAAATGGAGGTAAACAATATCGTTGTTTGAGACAAAAAACTATTGCTTGCCGTAATTAGCAAAAACAAGTTATCCATCCCGAGAATAACGAATGAAATACAGATCGAGCAAGTATTTGAATCTTGAGAGCTTCCCTGATCAAAACAAAAATACTTAACTGAGATGTTTGTAATTCAAATACTAAACTACCTATAATAAGGTGTATTTATATCTCCAGCATGGGTATGAAATGCCAAATCTGTTGAAATCGGAAACAAATCAGGTATGCGTCTCAACCCAAATAACCAACCGTCACAATGTTGTTTATTCTTGATGACGTCCAGTACATCCTTTTTAGTTCCTAGGAGCTAAAGTTCAACTTTAGCTCCTAGGAACTAAAATTCAACTTTAGCTCCTAGGAACTAACTATGTTGCATAGCAACATACCTATTTTTGTGTCAGTAATAGAAACGTCGATTTAAGAGCTGATTTTGGTATCAAAATGGACGACTTTTATGTCGGTTGCAGAAAAACATATTTATCTCGTCCTCACCATAGTAGTATTTATAGCGACGGATATGTCATAGCTGAAATAGCCCACGTAGCCGTTCCAGTAGCCGAAATGCGTGTCGAAGCCCCTCCTCGTAGGAGTGACCTCCTTGCAAGCGGCCCCCAAGTGCCACTTGCCCACCAGGTGGGTACGATAGCCGAGGCCCTTCAGTCGTTCGGGCATCGTGGGCATGTCCAGGGGCAGCGATCGGTTCTCCCCAGCATCCAGCGGGATTCCCTGGAGACCTGCAAAAGAGGAATAGGTGATTCTTGCGAATATTCAAGTAACTTTCGCCACCGAAGATCTACTGGAGATCTACTTGCCTACGTCACCCATTTATGGCAATCTTCAATAGAAAAACACGGGGAATCTCTAGCTGTCGCGTTGGACATATCGAAAGCATTCGACCGTGTTTGGCACGAAGGACTCCTCCACAAACTACCATCATACGGCTTACCACCTCAGCTATGCCATCTCTTATCGAGTTTTCATTCAGGCAGATCGCTTCACGTGGTGGTGGACGGTGTATCGTCTGATACCATTGGCATCAATTCCGGCGTTCCACAAGGATCAATTTTGGCACCAACATTATTCCTGCTTCATATCAATGATCTGTTGGGAGTAACAACTTGCTCCATCCACAGCTTTGCAGATGATAGTGCCCTCCATACTGCGTTCTCTTCCAGAATTCCCATTTCTTCCCAGGAAACTAAGAACTCACGGCGCAGGCAGGTCGATGCTGTCAATGAAGATCTTGCTGAAATCACAGCCTGGGGAACAAACAACCTAGTTGAATTCAACGCCACCAAAACTCAAGCCTGCATTTTCTCTAGAAAGGCGGAACTCAGTATGCCCGATATTGTAATGTCTGGCTCCACCATCCCCACCAAGCCCACTCTATGCTCGGTATTTCCATCAGCAACACTCTTTCATGGGATAATCATGTCAGATCCATCGCAAAAGCTGCTTCACAAAAACTGGGATTCTTGTTCCGTGTACAAAGCGCAGATACGGCCTGTTCTAGAATACTGTTCCCACATATGGGGTTCAGCACCAAAACATACGCTGATGCTCTTAGATTCCATCCAGAGAAGAGCCATTCGCCTGGTGGGTGACGCCACACTCACTCACTCTTTGACATCATTGGAACACCGTAGAAAGGTCGGCGACCTCTCACTTTTCTATCGATACTTCCACGGGAAATGTTCTTCGGAAATCTCTGCTATCATCCCTTCACTAGCAATACCAATCAGACGAACTAGACAAGCCCAGTCAGCACATCCTTTCGTTGTCAACCTCGAAAGATGTCGAACAGCACTTTATCAAGACTCCTTCATCCATAGAACGGCTAGGCTCTGGAATTCATTGCCTGTGGAAGTATTCCCAACAACATATAATCTCCAAAAGTTCAAAAAAAATTCCAATACCTAGGTACCTCCTGTCCCTATCCTCCCTAGGAACGCACGATGTTCTTTGAACATTATAGGGATTCCCTTTCGTGCGCTCCAAGCGATAAAAAAAAAACTGATGGAAAGTATTGAAAAGGAATATTCTCAGATAAATAATTGACATACAAAAATGGATATACAGTGTGACCCACTTCTAATGGAACCACCCCTGTATCTTACGTAATCGTTGGGTAAGGATCCTGAAATTTGCTGGAGCGAGAGATATACCAAAAATGCACTCTATATATATGACCAAGTGGGGTCATCTTCAGTGATATACACTGCTCGCCAACAGCCATGAAACCACCCCAATTTCCGTAAAATGATATTAGGAGTCAAAATAGATTGAAAATCACGTCGGATTCGGAATCAGGACGCCCAAGTTACTAACTATTCAAAGTTTTCCTAGAAGATTTTCAGTTCGGAAAAATGAAATTTTGTCGCATTTTTTATGGAAGCACCCCCGTATCTCACGTAATTATTGAGGTAGGGTTCTGAAATTTGCCGGAGGAAGAGAAAGTCCAAAGATAAAGTCAATTACGTGAGATACGGGGGTGCTTCCATAAAAAATGCGACAAAATTTCATTTTTCCGAACTGATAATTTTCCATAAAAAATTTGAATAGTTAGTAAATTGGGCGTCCTGATTCCAAATTTGAAGTGATTTTCGACCTATTTTGACTCCTAATATCATTTTCCGGAAATTGGGGTAGTTTCATGGCTGTTGGCGAGCAGTGTATATCACTGAAGATGACCCCACTTGGTCATAGAGTGCATTTTTGGTATATCTCTCGCTCCAGCAAATTTCAGGATCCTCACCCAACGATTACGTAAGATACAGGGGTAGTTCCATTAGAAGTGGGTCACACTGTTATATTTATATGAAGCAATACATTGAGAATTCGCATTCTCTATGTGATGAGCATGAACTACTTTCCTGGCTATATGCCACGACGAACATTGAATTATATCTATTGAACACACACGATAAGAGTTTGAAAATAAAATATAAAAACTTCTGAACAAAAATATGTATATGCACACATCATTCTGAATATTCAACAGAAAACAACTACTTTCCTGGCTATTTGCCACTTCGAACATTGAATTATATCTGATGAACATTCAAAAGGAGAACATTAAAAATAAAAAAATTAAAAAAAAAATCCTCCGAAATTGAGAATTGACATTCTTCATCAAATCGGATGGATAATATGATGTACAATGATATAGAAATATAACTTACCAATATATTCAGCATTGAAATGAAAATTGGAATGTATAGGAGAAGTATACTGGGATAAACTCTGATCTTGATGAGCTTGAGAACTTCCAAAAATAATCATTCATATCAGTGATATGGGAAATATTATCTCTCACACACTGGTTATATGACTTTATTGCAATGAAACCATTTCGGATTTCTGAATCCTCATCAGTAACCATGATGTCGACTTATTCTTACAGCCATTCTTCATGATATACACAATTTACATCTCTCTATACAAAAAAGGACGTATAAATCTATCACTACAATATTTTAGAGCGAGATAAGAAGTAATGTCTAGACTCCAGAATTCAAATCAAATAAACAAATTAAATTAATTAAATATTACCTGATCTGATGGGATAATTTCCTGTCAAAAGAGCAGCTCTAGATGGCGTACAGGTTTGTTGAGTGTAGAATTTATCCAAAACCACCCCATTGAATCCCAAAGCGTCGATATTGGGGGTTCGAATTTGACTAGAGCCATGTATTCCAAAATCATTCCAACCCTAAAACTCAATAATTACTCGCTATCATCGCCAAAATGTTAATTTATTATCAGTGTTCTCAACTAACAATCTGAATTTTCAAAAATACAATAACATTCATAACAACAGACTATCTATTATTCATTGATATGAATAAATAAAAATACAATTCGTTTATAATACATTAGGAACAGTCAGACAGACAGAATATCTATTATTCATTGATATAAATAAATAAAAATACAATTTGTTTATAATACATTACTAAAATTGGTTTGAATAACAGGAAAATGAAAGCTAAATACAGGCTGTTTCGTCTTTGGAGTTCAAAAAATGACACTGATCTGTTGTGCATCCAAGATTGGAAATTATATAGTTTGCTTTAGTTCAGTCTTAATTAGTTTCTGAGATTTTAGGATGGGGAAAAGTAAAGCAAACATATTTGAAAAAATTGGAAGCTATCCAAAAATGGATTGTGAAAATTATTTATGGAGAACATTATTCATTTCCAACTCAATTGGTATACAATGAATCCCAAGAGACATATGCACCAGGTTTATATTTATTCTTCATAAACTTACATGTTCAATAATAGAAATGATATTGAATTAACAAATTATACATTGGAATTAAAATCTAGTAAAACAATTGGACAAAGAGATTACAAATATTTTCCTACAACTGTCAAAAACTGCACTTTTTTTAGTATATTTACTGTGCCTATAGTGTGCAATTTCTTAATATCAAAATACTGTTTCATTATTCTACGGAAAAGCGGGAAACAAAGTTCATTTTTTTCACAGTTGTTGCTAGGCGATGGAATGAATGCTTGCGTGAAAGAAGACCATACACTGCGTTGTTAGAAGGCTGTTTTGTTCGACGAACAAGTCTGTTCTAACAAAAATGGAGCAAAATCCAAATGTGTGGCTGCACAATAGTCGTTTTTGCTAGCTACACACCACCCATTTCGGTTTTGCTTCATTTTTGTCCGAACATACTTGTTCGACGAACAAAACAGCCCACCAACAACTTGTAGTCCATGAGCTCCTTTACAGGATTCAGCAAGGCAGCAAGCGAACAAATCAAGGCAGCTGACTTCGTATTTCGTACGGAGTGCCAGTGAAATAGAGAATAATATGCTCGCATTGATATACATAAATAAAAATACAATTTGTAAATAATAAAAATTGCACATTAGAGACGTATTTGGAGTTCTGAAAATGACATTGATCTGAAAATTTGTTTACAGGGGTTATGCATATGAAATATGTATTGAGCATTCAAGTTTGGAAATGATAGTATTGTTGAAAATATTTTTGAAATGGAAACCTTTAATAACGCAAGAAATTTGATCCCGAAAGTTTTTGTCTTGTGATAATGGATTTCGAGATATCGAAGAATTACGCACTAAATGGACAGACTGTATATTATAATTCCTTCGATATTAATCAATCATTCATTATTGAGATGAACCTTGAAATAATCTTACCACATCATCGGCTAGTATAATAACGATATTTGGTTTCTTCCTCAATGTTCCAGCACAATTCAAAATCGCAATTTGCAGAAAAACAAACAGTACCAAATCCTTCATGGCTAAATCAGATTTAATGTTTATGCTGTTTTACCAAAAAAATCGACCATTCAACTTCACGACTATATTAATAATAAAGCCTTCACGATTTTTTATCTGCTACTTAAAATGTCAGCTTTTGTTTTACATTGTCTTATCATTTGAGACAATTTTAAATTTGTTATTCATATCCACCTCACGGTATAGCTACTTATTGATAGCCTGTTTATACCTAATACTTGCTAAAACAAAGAAATGGCCCCCCAGGTTCAAATTTTATTTCCGCAAGGAGGTCAATAGAGAATCTGTGTCAAGGGTATCAAAATTGCCATTCTAGTCTCACTGCAGAAGCCGCAAAATTATCACAATCGCTCTTATTTTGCCAAAATTTATAGTACTTTTGACTTATAAAAAGCATGCCACTGTTATTTCAAGGAGCTCAATAGTAATTAGTACCAATGTTCATAATTAAAATAAATACGTTCACTTTTATCTACTGTTTATACCATATAAACATCAAGTTCAACATTCTGTACTAATCCACACAGTGGTGACTCGTTTAATTGGCATCAATTTTCATTCCAGCAATTTGTAGTTTTCTTGAAAATTACACACCAAACAAATTCTTTCAATTTGGAGCCTGTATTTCTTGGAAATTTTTTCCTCCTCCTTGGGGGCCAGAGCTTTACACTGGAAATTTTTTGACGTTTGCATACAACTGCAGATTATTTTGAGTTCATTCGATAAGTCAATAAATAAAAATGATTTATCAACAGTTTACCATATAATATTATATGAAGGTATTCTTGCAATATAATATTTCAGTGTGAAATTTTCTTACCGAATACCACTTCAACTTCAATTAATATCCGGGAATTTCCGGAAATAATTGAAGATCTCGTGATATTATAATTGAAAATTCCACACTAGTAATTTTTATACAGTAAAATTGGGTTTTTATGACAAATTACCATAGCAACGTATGTATTTTAGTTGAAATTTTCTTCTCATGGGTACCCACCAGCGTTTGAAATCGGAAATTTTTTTATGACGTTTTAATGACAGAATAATATTTTGACGTCCTAAAATAGTTATTTATGCAACAAGTGCAAAAAGTTAATGTTTATTGCACTCGACGTGAAATTGTCCGAAGTTAATATAAAATGGATGAATATAATATGTTACATTTTAAACTAGTATTTTCATGCAAATTTAATAGGTAGAAATCAGGAATCTATTATTGGTGCCGAAACTGCGACCAAAATAAATTTATTCATGAACCTGTATGCAAATCAAATGAACAAATGAATTCTAAAATTGTTTAATTTCAAAACACAATCTGGTGTGAAATTTTCTTACCGAATACCACACGAGGTCAAATTACTTACCGGGATTTTTTTCTCGCTAATGAATATTTTGAGAATTATCGTTTGTCTTCGACTCGGCAGTTTCGAAGTTGTGAAGCAAAAACAATTAAACAATTTGAGAATTGAAACCTCAGAACCGTCTATCGCCCAAACTCAGCAACTTTGCTCTGAGGTAAGATTGCTTGGTTTGTATCGAATTGTTTTGGTCTGAGGAATATGTGGTAAGTTTTTGTAAAGACCTTTTAGGACACCCTGTATATTTTTAAATTCAGTTTGACTGGCTTCATCGAATTATGGAAAAACATATGATCACTTCATATGAAAACAAAAATGTTTTTCTGATCCACCCTGTATTTTGTTGATATAGAGAAAAAGTGAGCACATATTCAAAAAAATGCAAGTGGGACAACCTGTATACTGAGTGGCATAGTCTGGGAAAAAACGTACCTATATTTTCCGGACTAGACTGGAAAAATAATACTTTCTCAAAGAATCTACCTCACTTCCAAGACGGTTTCCAAACTATTACATTTATTTATACAGTGTGTCCCGCTCTTCATGATGAATACACCCTGATACCTCAGTTATTATTGGTGCGATTCTCTTGAAATTTTTTCAGTGATTGTATGTTACAATAAAGAACAGTTTGATTCACCATTGGCGTGCGATGTTGAGGGGTACAAAAAAGGCCTCTGTTTGGGAAAAGGATATTAGGACTCATTTTAAATAAATTTTTTTATAAGATTCATTAACAGCATCCCCAAAAACCCCCCAATTCATATTTTCAAGATCCCAAGAGCTAAAATAAAATATTTCAAAATCCCGATTATCATGACAACACACTCTTAAATCTCAGTTATCAACAATGCGATTTTCTTGAAATTTTGATGGTGATTTTATGTTACAAAAATAACATACAATCACCATCATAATTTCGAGAAAGTCGCATCATTAAGCGGGATTTTGAATTTTTCTTGAGATTTTGAAAATATGAATTGGGGTGTTTTTGGGGATGCTAATTAGGAATCTGATAAAAACAGTTATGAATGAAACTGTTCACTCTGCTAAATACTTCATTGTTCTAAAATACAACCACCACTAAAATTTCAAGAGATCATCATAATAACTGGCGACACACTGTATAATCATTCAGTAACAGAAACATGTTATAGAAATAAATAATTTCATGAATATAATTATTTGCAAAGTCATGTACCTATACAGACTATAGGGTGCGTCTCCTAAACCTACAATATACCTCCTTCCTTAACTTGTTTTTGGAGATGGTAAAATATACATTTTCATAGATAAAAATTTATTTGAACATCAAAAGAAACGTTTCAAGTCATCTTCGAGTATTCTTATCTATAATAAAACATATGTTTTATATCTGTGGGACTACACAAACACGTGATGTTGAATCAAGGTTACTACCTTCACAGCAAGTGAATTTGAATAAGACAAAAAAGAATCATATTATATAGTGTTGACGGTGTTTTGTTGAGGTTATGGAAGTGCTCTCGTGAATTTGAATGAGAAAGAAAAAATGTTTAGTGTCTAGTGTGATCGAATTACGGGTCCAGTGTTTTAGAAATAAAACGGTGATGATTGTTTTCTAGGAAAAAGGTACTTGATCCGATAGTCTTGAGTATTGAACCTATAGGTAAAAGATCACAGAATTCTATTTCATGATAAGATATGTATAAATATACACTTTATTTGTACTCATTTATTTAAGCTCTTCCTAGTGCCTATTGGAATCTAGTACTAAAAAGAAACAGTGTTTAAAATTAGCGTTATTTTTATGAACAGTGTATTTTTTAACAATAGTTTCTATACACATAATTATGTCAGGAATCGCTTCGTTTTCGAGATACAGGGTATTCAAAGTTCAATATCTAATATTTAGTGCACATTTTTCACGAAATTTGAAGAAGCTCCAGAAAGCAGAAGATCGATTTTCATAGCCCTATACATGAAAAACATGAAAACTTGCGAAATATATGTATTTCTGGAATTACTGCGGATGAACTGTGTAATATAGTTTCAATTTACACATTAATTGAAAAATTTAAATTGGGTAAAACGCCTCAAATATTAAGCGTGTCTCACTTTAAACAGCCTCCCCCTATATATTGGTACCAAATTTCGACAGTTATTAAAGTCATCAGCTATCATGATGATCAGTTTTTTACGAAAACATATTAGGAATATTTTGGCAGGAAAATTAACATTTCTTTTTATTGTTCCCCATGGTTTTTCAAACCTGCAATATGCAAAAAATAACCTCATTCCGAATTATCAGGATTGGCTAATTTTTTTCCTTTTCTGCATCGAAAAAATAGTGAATTCAAATTAATTGTAAACTTTGGAACATCCAATAGCTCCGTTATGTATGTAAAAACAATATATATTTCTTATAGTTGAATTCACAGTTTCCGAGTAAATGATTAATTTCCATGAAAAACGATATTATGAGGTCAGTTTTCCTGTAAAAAATGCTTAATTTGATTTCAAAAACAATGTACCCCCATTTTATTTTCCAAAAAAACAGCACTTTCCGGACTTGTTACGTAAATTACCATTTTAACACTCAGTGAATCGATTTTGTTTCCATATCTTTGTAGTCAATTTCTTAATTATCAGCTGCTGTGTTTACGTCTTTGTAGGTATAAACAAATTAAACCAGTATTATAAAAGGAAATATATGCCTATAATTATTTTAATTCCTCATACGATAACATTACGATATCATCAACAATTCTATAGAAGTTCACGGGATGTGCGATTATTAGGCTATCATCGGAATATAGAGGGTAGCCCAACAAAAACTAACAACATTTCACTCAATAATAGTCGTAAAGCAATACAATATTTAACAATTCAATTGAATTAATGACAAACCCATTTTTAAGGTCATTACTGACAAAAAAATCAACATGTCAAAATGCAAGCATCTGATTTGCTAAAATCAACAGAGGAGAACAGAGGTATACAATTCTCAAGTGAATATACGGGTGGGCACTTTTCGTCGTGCCACCCAGTATAAGATAATTCCATATTCCCAATAATGATAATGAACTCAGTCGAGATATATCGTCTTCCAAAACCAGTTTTCATAGGTACCAGTACCACCTAGATTATTTTCAGGTTTGTTTTTACTTTGTGTTGATGGTCTGGTCACAGTTTAAGGTCATTCTGTAAGTATATGTAAAAACTTCACAAACGATAAGATTTCCACAAAATTCTTAAACACCCAACATGTTTCGCTAACACAGTATCTTCGTCAGGTGACCTTGGCTTGCTTAACTTAACTTAAAATGCATCTTATGTTCATGAATGCGCTGATTAAACGTACGAGCTGTCTGACCGATATATACCTTAGGACAAGATCCACAGTTGAGTTTGTATACCCCTGATTTTTCGAATTTGGAAGTTTCGTCTTTATTATATTGATAAATCTTCCTTCTGTAAGCCTTACACTGTGATCTGGTGAAGTCTAAGCGAAACATAGTTAGTTGATAAGAAGTTCCATATCATTTCAACAAACCACTTAATTATGTTTTAATTATATTCGACGACTCATTCCCTAGATAAAACAGAGGTTTTGCTATTTTTGTTTTCAATCGCTACACATTTAAAATGCTAACAAACATCTAAAAAACTAATTTCACTGTCTTTTATAGCATTTAATGTACAGGGTGTCCTACCTAAATGTGTCACCCCCTCGTATAATTCTTAATATATTTTTACCATTCAAAAACGTTCCTGGAATAATTTCTCGCGATTTCTCAGCATCTGTGCTCACTTTTTCTTCATATTAACAAATACAGGGTGGCTAAATAAAAAAAAGTGTTTTGAAATGACATGATTCATAATGATACATGGATCCGATGATATACAGGGTGTTTCAGTTTTTTGTAGCAGGACTTCAACAGTTTGAAGAAGACATTTTTTCGAGTTGAAAATCTCATACAAACATATATGCGTGGGAGCTTTGTTTCCGATACACAGGGTGTCAAAGTTTCAGATTTTTTTTTGTTTTTGAATTTTCTCCTACAATTTACGGAATAATTGATTGAAATTTGGTACACCTAATACACTTCAAACATTTAATATTTCAGGATATTGAGCATTCTTGAATACCTACAGCGTGATTGACTTTCAGGGGTCGTACCCAATTTAACCCTATAGAACTTTTTTGCGTGCCGTCTCTTCTCTCAATGGGACATAGATTCAGATTTTCCTTTGAATTTGGAAACTTTTTGCCCCAATGTAAATTTTTCGAAAACTGTAAGGATCTCGAGATAAATGCCAAAAATAAATTACTTGTAATAAAACCGTTGTTTCTCGAACACACTTATTTGAAAAGTTTTCGAATGCCCAAAATATGTTGAGAATTACGAGGATGAAGGAGGGGGGGGGGGGTGACACATTCAAGTGGGACACCCTGTACCACCCTTGTATCTTCATATTCGTTTAACGATTTCAAATGCATGTCAAAGGAAAACTGTAGAACAAATACTTATGTAATGTTCATCTGGGGGTTCAAAAAACCAAAATTCAAAAATGTTTTTTAACATTATTTGGGGCCTAAAACCCTTATGAACCATGTTATCAATGTTATAGTTTCTTTTCTTCTCCTACCTAGCAAGGTATGTCACCCATTTTCCAATAGTGATGAAACTTCTTTTATTTAAGTTTTTTTATTTTAGCCTGATTATGACTCCTAGGAGTCGAAACATGTAGCACGTATTATTTTATTAAAATTTACTTGGAGCGAGACTTTGAGTTTGTTTTCTTAATTGAATACTCATGTTTCAATTATCACAATGATATCACTTCAAATATCATATTATATGGCTTTTTCATTTTCGAATAAAAAATACAGGGTGTTTCATAACTGCGGTACGGAACTTGGGTGTTAGTTAGATACACCGGTCGACATTTGCAGTCGGTTCTTGGATTTTTATAACAAGATTCTACCTGCCATAATCAAACATGCAAAATCTATTGTTTCTACAAACACTGGCACAATTAGGGGAACGGGCAAAATTTACACTAAGTTTGACATCAATTTTCTTTCGAACCGATCGCTCTATTCAAATTTTGTTCTTCACGAAATGTATCTTCATTCTTCACGAATACATCTGAGAAATAATCACTTTCAAATGATGAGTCTTTCCATCATATACAGGGGTGTAAAGAAAGTACGGATTTTTCGGTATTTTTTTAGACATTCTGTGGACTGAACCACTGATAATTGAAACGATTTCTCAACACCAAATTGGAGCCCAATCTATTCCGAATATTTTCGTTTTTTATTCATTTTGATATCTCAATTATTCAAGAAAATACAGAGTTTCAAAGGAAAGGTGGACATTGGTATCAATTTTACACCTCAAAACTCAAATTGGATCTGAAAATGTGTCGTTTCTTGACTAACCTAACCCAACCATGACTAAACCTCTGCCATAGAAGACAGAAGCAGTAAAATCAAATTGTTCATTTCGTTCACCTCGGCGATATAGGCTTTCCCTGCCATCTATTGAATTGGTGCAGATGCGGCTCTCATATGTTGAAAGAACATTGGCCCACTGGTCATTTTCAATTAATGCTACAGACCTCGCCACATCAGTAGGAGTCAAATCTCTCACGTTGAATTTTCATCAATCAAATTTATGAATTGTGAATCGCTTGACTTCGACAATAATTAATGACATTAACAAAATAGCCCACGTTGATTAACAAAAATAGCATTGCACCAAAAGAACATTGGAGCAACTTTTATCACCCTGCATATTCATGAGAGTATTCGTATATGTGTCTTTAAACAGTAAACCGATAGGTAAAACTGTGAACAATTCTCATCTTGAAGTAAAAATCCTCACAGAAACAAGTTGAAAAACGACACGTTCTCCCCAGTTCGAGTTTCGAGGTGGTAAAATTAATATCAATATCCACCTCTTCTTTGAAACTCTATATTTTCTTGGATAATTGGGATATCAAGATGAATAAAAAACGAAAATATTCGGGATAGATTGGGCTATAATTTGGTGTTGGAAAATCGTTTCAATTATCAGTGGTTCACTCCACAGGATGTCTCAAAGAATACCGAAAAATCCGTACTTTCTTTACACCCCTGTATATGATATAAAGACGAATCGTTTGGAGGTGGTTATTTCTCAGATGTATTCGTGAAGAATGAAGCTACAATTCGTGAAAAACAAATCTGAATCGAGTAATCGGTTCGAGAGAAAATTGATGTCAAACTTAGTGTAAATTTTACCCGTTCCCCTAATTGTGCCAGTGTGTGTATATTTACATAAACACGATTAATATAGGTATCCAATTGGTGATAAGGCGCGGTCTAACACACTGCCGGGGCCTTCTCATCACCCTGTATAAAAATGGGAGGACTGAAAGCCAGATGGAACATTTTAGCTGGCATTTTCATGGGGATATCAGCTCTCGTAGTGTTCCTTATCATCGGGATAAAGGCATTACGTACGAGTACCGATGGAAACAGAACTTTAGAGTTCGTTCATGTGGTGAGTAGGTACAGCGTGATTCGCCATAAATGTCCCCCCTCCCCTCCCTCTAGCTCAGTTATTTTTGAACCGATTGCAAAAATTTAAACATCTAAAATGATTTTCAATAAAGTTTTTTTCCACTACATCAGAAAATACAAGGTGCTCGGAACAAACGATCTACAGGGTACTTTTTAATTTTTTTTAATGAAACACCCTATTTTTCATTGTATTTTTAAATTCTCCCTGAAGAGCTGATTCCATCAAGGTATCACACTTGGCGATAATGATTACAGAGATATAGGGTGTTCAAAATCGAGATTTTTCAACTTTAGGATTTTACTGTGACGAAACTATTCATTATCGGTCAAAACGGCTTTCATGTCCGTATCTCAACTTTTGATTCACTATCTACTGACATTTAATAATTGGAACAGATACATGGTGATCAGAATTTTGAATCTTGAATCACATTGTATATGTTCCAATTGAATGTCAGTAGATAGTAAATCAAAAGTTGAGATAGGGACATCGAAGCCGTTTTGACCAATAATGAATAGTTTCGACACAAAAAAATCCTAAAGTTGAAAAATCTCGATTTTGAACACCCTATATCTTTGTAATCATTCCCGCTAGACCCCAAGTGTATGATGCATTGATGAAATCAGCTGTTCAGGGAGAACATGAAAATACAATGAAATACAGGGTGTTCCATTTGAAAAAATCAAGAAGTACTCTGTAGATCGTTTGGTCCGAGCACCCTGTATTTTCTGATGCAACGGGGGAACAATTTCTGAAAAATCATTTTGAATGATTTTTCAAATTTTCAAATAGGTTCAAAAATAAGTGAGCTAGAGGGGGGGACATTTATGGTGAATCACCCTGTACTATTTGAAAAATCAACAGGACGTCCAAGATTAATTTTCATTCTTTCGATTTTAGATCCGTATCATGAGAAAAAAGAATTCGAATAGAACTAATCGGATCATTCGAATGTTTGAAAATTTCCAAAACAAATTTGGAAATCCTATTGAAAAGGAATATTCGCAGATATATTTATGAAAACAAAAAAACGGATATATAAAAAAAGAAATACATTGAGATATCGCATTCTCCATTTGATGAAAATATTAATTCTTTCTCGGTTTATTCAACAGAAAACAACTACTTTCCTGGCTATATGCCACGACGAACAATGAATTACATCTATTGAACACACACGATAAGAATTTTAAAGCAAAATCCTCTGAAGTAGAGAATTTTCATTCTTCTTTATATAAAGATATGCTCATAATATCATTCTGAACATTCAACAGAAAACAACTTCTTTCCTGGCTATTTGCCACGTCGAACATTGAATTATATCTGTTGAATGTCCAAAAAAAGAGTGTGAAAAATCAAAATCCTCTGAAATTGAGAATTGATTATGATATGAAAATATGTTCGGTATTGTGAGATGAAAATTGACATGTAAAGGAGAAGTATACTTGTATGAACTCTGATCTTGATGAGCTTGGAACTTCCAAAGAAATTATTCGTATCAGTGATATTTGAATTATATCTCTCACAAACAGGTTATATGACTTAACTCGAGTAAAATTCATTTCGGATATCATATCCTCATCAGTAACCTGAAGTCCAGTTATTCTTTCAGCCATTCTTCATGATATACACAATTTTCATCTTCCTATAATATAACTAACAGTACTAACACTATAACGATCTGACATCTGAGAATTATTATGATTTGTTGACATACTCCTGTCATTTTGGCATTTGTTTTTGGATGTATGATAAATTGACATTCATCATACAGTATTTTCAATATTCGTCGTGGCAAATAGCCAGGAAAGTAGTTGTTTTCTGTTGAATAAACCGAGAAAGAATTAATATTTTCATCAAATGGAGAATGCGATATCTCAATGTATTTCTTTTGATGTACAGGGTGAGTCATTAGTGTGGCAAAGGGAGATAACGGCTTTACTGTTTGAGCTAGATAGACAAAAATTTCAGAGATGTTCTAGGATCATGAGCAGCACATTTCCAAATTATTTCGCTTTATAAAGGGCGACTCAGAAATGCGTGGCGTATCAAAGTTATACTTTTTCATGAGGGACACCCTGTATTTCATTGCATTTTCGCATTCTCCTTTGTGAGCTGATTTCATCAATGCATCACACTTGGGGTCTAGCGAGAATGATTACAGAGATATAGGGTGTTCAAAATCGAGATTTTTCAACTTTAGGATTCTTTATAGCGTCGAAACTATTCATTATTGGTCAAAACGGCTTTCATGTCCCTATTCCAACTTTTGATTTACTATCTACTGACATTTAATTGAAACGAATACAGGGTGGTTCAAGATTCAGCATTCTGATCACCCTTGTATCTGTTCCAATTAAATGTCAGTAGATAGTAAATCAAGAGTTAGGATAGGGACATGGAAGCCGTTTTTGACCAATAATGAATAGTTTCGACGCAAAAAAATCCAAAAATCTTGATTTTGAATACCCTTTATTTCTGTAATCATTCTTGCTAGACCCCAAGTGTGATGCATTGATGAAATCAGCTCACAAAGGAGAATGCGAAAATGCAATGAAATACAGGGTGTCCCATAGGATGATACGCCACGCATTTCTGAGTCACCTTGTATAAAGCGGAATAATTTGGAAATGTGCTGCTCATGATCCTAGATCATCCATGAAATTTTTGTTCATCTATCTCAAACAGTAAAGCCGTTATCTCACTTTGCCACACTTATGATACTCACCCTGTATATCAATTTTTTTGTGTCCATAAATCTATCTGAGAATTTTCTTTTTCAATACTTTCACTCAATCAAGGGGTTCAAACTTGAACAATGGAAACTTGTTATTTTTATAGACAGATTCGTGATTAGGTTTTCTCAATTCAAAATTTCTTTCTACGTCCTGTATGATGAATGTAAATTTATCATAAATCCAAAAAATCGAAATCTCAATTTGCAAAAATACAAATTAAGTCCTTTCGGTGTTAGAATATTCTGAATTCTATGAAGTGGCCATAAAAAACAATTGATATCACCAATTCACTTGTTTCCACAGGTAATGAGACATGGTGCAAGAACTCCAGCCAGTACCTATCCAAACGACCCTTATATCAACAATACTTTCTACCCTGTAGGATGGGGACAAATTACAAATGTAAGTTTTTTTTATTTTACTAAATTTATGCGATTTTATCAAAAGCAGGACAACAACTCATCACTTGAACATTTTTATATTTCACTCTGTAAATATTGACATAATCCGAACCATCTGAATAATATTTGATGATATGAAGGGACGTTGATGATATGAGACCAAAACTTAGGGACTAATTTTTTTTTTTGAATAGAATCATTATTCAACTACCTTTCAATTCCATATTTTTCAGATTTTTTCGGTCGATTTTAAGGTCCTTAAATCATCAATAATATGAGGAGGTAATTTTCAAACGGCTAGAAATTTACCGCAAATATCAAACGACATCACGGGTTTGGAAGTAGGGGTAGGCAAAAGCACAGTTGCCATAAGTAGAAATACGATTGGTAACTACAGAAATGTTATTCATTTAATAATTCATAGATTCTCGATTATGAATTGGTAATATTTCTAATTAACTATAAAAAATCCATTGTCTTATTGATGAATTCGTACTTTTATATATTGATTACACTGAGGCACCGAACAACACATCTTGCATCTGATGGTCATTATTACAAACTAAATAAGTCTTCTAACACAATAAACTTCACCAAATTCCTTTCTGTTCGTTAGCAGCGTGATGTAAGCGTGACACGCTGCAAACGCGAATGCCAATTGCGAACAAGAAGAACAAAATCGAAAACAAATCAGAATTCATCGTATTGTGACGTAAGCATGAGACGTTTTGGTGGGGCAAACAAAGAAAGGGCACAAAAGAACAAAAACAATACTTTCAATATCCTTCTAAGACCTCTTTGGGAAGTGCATATTACGCCTCAAAAATACATCCTCATGCCTACATTTCTAAAACATCCCAAAACATCCCAGGGATACCTCTTAGTAGGCAAACAAAGAAATGCCACAGAAGAACAAAAACAATACTTCAATATCCTTCAAAGACCTCTTTGGTCAGTGCATATTACGTCTCAAAATAACATCTTCATGCCAACATTTTCAAAACATCCCAAAACATCCCAGGGATGTTTGTGCTCGCTGGGAAGAAATATTTCAACAAGCTGCTTGCTCGAAAAAGTCACAAATGAATTACTATAATGTCATGACTTCCTCCTATCAGGCCAAATGAAATAATTTATTCGGATGTAGTTCTGTCGTTCCCAATCCTTTTCCTTTTTTTCAGGCTGGAAAACTCCAGCTTTACAACGTAGGAAAATACCTTCGCAGAAGGTACGGAAAATTCCTAGGGCCCAACTACCACCCCGACGAGTACCTCACACAAACGACAGGCGTGGACAGGACCAAGGTCAGCATGCAGGTGGTCAACGCGGGGCTGTGGCCTCCTCGGGGTGCTCAGCAGTGGGGCCCACTCGACTGGCAGCCTGTGCCCATCACGGCCGAACGGTTGGAGGATGATTCAGTGAGTGTTTCTGTAGTTATAATAATAATAATAATTTATCATTCGGAAATGCTAAACATTTTAAACTGTCTGGGATTTAAAGACACAAGCATCAAACTAATGATCGAGTAGCTATTTTTCGGAAAGGGAACAATGCGTTGAGGTAGATGGTAGTCTAAGTAGGTTGAGAAAGGTCACGACGTGTGGCGTACCGCAAGGAACTGTTCTGGGTCCCTTACTTTTCACCATCTACAATAATCTACATCAATAGTATCTTCGATATTTCAACTAGTGGGAGTGCAGTTGGTTTTGCAGACGATATGGCGGTGTTCTACAAAGGGGAGAGCTGGACTGGACTCAAGGAAGTTGCGGAAAAAGATCTTAAGAAATTTTCTGAATTTTTTGCTTCTGAAAAACTGTCTATAAACTGGGATAAAACAGTCTTCATGCCCTTTACTTCTAATAAATCAACCTTGCCTTACTTCAATAAACTGAATATTGGCAATCAGGGAATTAATTCAACTTCCTCGACCAAATTTCTCGGAGTGGTCCTAGATTCACATTTGAAGTGGGACCAACATATAAATTTCTTAAACAAAAAACTTCGTTTCCTAATATTCAAATTCCGAACCTACAAGAAACTACTCAATGTGAATAGACTACTTATGCTATATAAAGCTTTAGTTGAATCACATTTAAGCTATGGCATTATTGCTTGGGGAGGAGTATTGGATAGTCACCTGGACATCTTGGAGAAAACTCAAAAATGGATTGTCAAAATTATTTTCAACAAACCTCGGTCATATTCCACTGATCTTCTATTTCAAGAAAGTAAAATCCTCGATGCTAGACAACTTTTTTATAAACAACTAGCACTAAACTGGTTCAAAAATAGAAGTAACGATCAAGGAAAAAGGCACAACTTCAATACTCGTTGTGGAAACCAAGCAGTTGCGCCCAGAAAACAAAAAGTTGCGCGAAGAAAATACAATGATACCCACGAGCAAGGAAACTTTTGTGGGGATTCGTTTATTTCTTGTGCAATCATTTTTAACTTTTATGATTTTAATTACTGAAGCTGTAAATTACCTGTGATGTACCTGAATAAACTTTATTATTATTATTATTATTATTATTATTATTATTATTATTATTATTAATTCCGAAAGCCTCGTGGGTATTTAATATTGAGATGTTTAGGTTGGGTCAGGTTCGCCCCAGATGGCGGCCAAGAAGCCATCTGGAGACAACCCTGGACAGATATGAGAGCTCAAAGCTCTAAACCGGTCTGTGGGTAGTCAAGCGTTCCTGAATGATTTAGGCACAGTTCAACATTTAGGAATGAATCACTTGCAGCTGTAATTCAATGTTCTGCGTGGAAAGTAGTTGTTGTTCTCTCGTTATATACCATTTTCGTTTATTTTATGAACTATTGTGGTAATGACTGAGTGTCTCCTTCTTTGTGAATAATGAAAATAATAATAAAATAACTATCATGAAAATTGAGGAAAAAAAAACAAAATGCACTGCTGCCAATAAATAGCACAAAACGTCTAACCTTTTTCGGACTTTTCGAGTGGAGTCGTTACAAATTTGTCTGTTATCATAGTCGCACAAAAGTTTCATGAATCGTGTTTTTGTTTCAGTTACTTTTAGTGAGAAGGCCATGTCCTCAATACCACATTGAGAAGGAACGTATCATGAAGTCTACTGAAATTCAAAATATGTTCAAACCATACGAAACTCTGTTCAAGGACCTCACAGATATTACCGGACAAAAAACCACAGATTTCGAAGGTGTTCAGGATATTTACACCACCTTATTGGCAGAGGTAAGAAAGCAATATGTATGTCTACTCTACTACCTCTACCCAGCGAGCACAAACATCCCTGGGATGTTTTGAAAATGTTGGCATGCAGATGCTATTTTGAGACGTAATATGCACTGACCAAAGTTCAAGGATATTGAAGTATTGTTTTCGTTCTTCTGTGGCATTTCTTTGTTTGCCTACTGAGAGGTATCCCTGGGATGTTTTAGAAATGTAGGCATGAGGATGTTTTTTTGAGGCGTAATATGCACTTCCCAAAGAGGTCTTAGAAGGATATTGAAAGTATTGTTTTTGTTCTTTTGTGTCCTTTCTTTGTTCGCCCCACCACAACGTCTCATGCTTACGTCACAATACGATGAGTTCTGATTTGTTTTCGATTTCGTTCTTCTTGTTCGCAATTGGCATTCGCGTTTGCAGCGTGTCACGCTTACATCACGCTGCTAACGAACATAAAGGAATTTGGTGAAGTTTATTGTGTAAGAAGACTTATTCAGTTTGTAATAATGACCATCAGATGCAAGAAGTGTTGTTCGGTGCCTCAGTGTAATCAATATATAAAAGTACGAATTTGTCAATATACAGCTTCTCCGATTAAGAAGGTAATTTCATATCAAGAAAATATTTTTATGTTCGATCCATTTTTAATGCATTTTTTCATTCAATGGAAATGGAATCCTAATGCAAAAGTTCATTTTGACAAAAGGCTTCAGAAAAGTACCTCAAAAATGATTTTTTTACAGCGATTTAATGTGAGCAAGACGCATTGAAAATGTTTTGTTGTATCCATGAAAAGGCTTCAAAAAGAACTAGGGAGAATAAGGTAGTTTTGTGACATGTCAAGGACATCTCGATAATTTCCGCCTGCGGCGGCATTATTGGCTGTTCTATAATAGTTCTATTCATGTGTGAACAGAACATCGCAGTGGAGGTTTAATGTCTCGAAATCTCGTACTTTTAACATCTCTGAGATGTTTTTGTGCTCGCTGGGTAGTCTCATATCACTCACCAAGAATATAGCAGCCATCGACTTTTGGTGGAAAATTATCTTGGGATGAAGGTCGTCTATATTTCCATACACATGAAGGTGCTACTTTCACTGATTCACTGCAATAATCAACTGTTTTTTGATATAAGTTAAAATATGACTCACCGCAATTGACGAAATCAACTGAAAAAAAAAATCGCAACATACTTTTTATCAGCAGGTTCAAAATTTCAGGGCAAAACAAATGGTTTATTTTTTATTTTTAGGAACAATTTAATCTGACCTTACCTGATTGGACCAAATCCTACTATCCTGACAAAATGAATTATCCAACTGTTAAAAGTTTTGTACTAAATGCCTATAACGATAAAATGAACAGATTGATTGGAGGTAAGTATCTCCTATTCAGATCATAGCTCACCTTCAACCAAGAAGTATTGAAATATATATCAGTGTTGATATACAAGGTGATTCTAAAATAGGTGGTCAAACATTGAAAGTATATAGAGTGAGTGAAATAATTATGAAAACCTTAGTAAATTTTTTTTCTGAAGTGCCTACCAAGAAAGATACAGCCGCTCAAAGGGGGGCCTCGGAGAATGATTTTGTATTATTATCTCCAACACCTTGTATGATGAATATGTAAAATTTTGTTTATCCACTAACTATCCAGTGCCGGTTCGAATGGAGTTAAAATCACCTCAGAATTAAATACTGGGGTGTGTCAAAATAGGGAGGTAGGGGGTAAAAATAACCCCAACTTTTTTGTTCATCGCAATTTCAGTTTTTTTAAATGAAATTATGAAATCTCAGGGCTATCAACATAGAAAAGGAGCTGGCTCAAGTTTCGTTTAGCTGAAATCAGTTATGAAAAAACTGTTGCTATGGCAATGATCGTCATAGTAACGAGTAAACAAAAACCCGATTCTCGTGGTGAGGAAATGCGTGGTTGCCAAGTTGTATCGGGTTTAGTATAGCTGAAATCAGTTATGGAAAAACTGTTGCCATGGCAATGATCGTCATGGTAACGAGTAAATAAAAACCCGATTCCCGTGGTGAGGAAATGCGTGGTTGCCAAGTTGTATAGGGTTCAGTTTGACTGAAATCAGTTTTAGAAAAACTATTGCCATGATGGCAACGATCGTCATGGTAACGAGTGAACGAAAATCCGATTTCCGTGGTGAGGAAATGCGTGGTTGCCAAGTTGTTTCGGAGAATTATTGCTTCATTCATAAATTTTTTAAACACTTCAATGTAACCATCCTTCGCGTTTTGAGCTATTCGACAAAATCAAAAAGAAACAGAGCCATTTTGGAATATTCATTACGAGGTATCGCGCAGGATATAGGAAGAGAGACTACAGGTACTGATTGTCTAATACAGATGGAAACATCTCGTTAGCCCCACCCACATCTCCATTTGCCTTCATTTCGATTCACCCATACCTTTCTTCAGGCGCACATTCTGATTCAGCAACAGTCTTCGAACATACACGAACGATGCCTTGCTACCAAATCTTAACGATGTTGGAAAATATATGTTTTTCAAGAAGAAGGTTGATTCAAGTCGAGTCAGGTTAGATTGTTTGGAAAAAGTAGTGTTCTTTTTTATGCAGTCTTCAAACACACACGAACGATGCCTTGCTCCCAAATCTGATCGATGTTGAAAAATATATTTTTTTCTAAGAAGGTTCATTTAAGCCGAGTTAGGTTAGATTGTTTAGAAAAAGTAGTATCCTTCCTTATGCGCTATTTGTTCCTCACTATTTTGTCGCTCTCTATTTGTTCAATAACAAAGCCTATTTTTTCCTGACGTTATTTCCATATATGATCGTCAGAGAAGTAGTAATTTTGGAAATTAATCAACGACGAACTGTCTTCAAGAAATTGATAAGAAGGGTATTCATTCGAATCAAGTTATTATTTGAATACTAGCAAGAACTTTTGTGGAACAAAATTTGAGGCTGATTTCAGCTATACTAAACCCGATACAACTTGGCAACCACGCATTTCCTCACCACGGGAATCGGATTTTTGTTTACTCGTTACCATGACGATCGTTGCCATGGCAACAGTTTTTCCATAACTGATTTCAGCTATACTAAACCCGATACAGTACTTGGCAACCATGCATTTCCTCACCACGGGATTTTGTTTTCTATTTACCTGTAACCATGACAACGGTTGCCATAGCAACAAATTTTCCATAACTGATTTCAGCTAAACGAAACTTGAACCAAGGAGCTCTTGTTGAATCTCGATAAACTGAACCATTAGCGAATACAATTTATTTTTCCAAGATTTCATTTAAATTGCAATTTGCAATTATCTAGTTCAAATCTTGCAACTGAATTTTTACCTACTTCTAATCGTCTGATCAACTTGGAATCTGGCAGATGACAGTTGACAACGCGTTATGGACTTTTTGAAAAAAATATGGCGACTCCAATGTGGCTGACCAGATTTTTTATTATGGTTCGATTCGATTGAAAATTGGTTTGTAAGGGTTTTTGGGGTTGGAAATTTTGAATTCGTTGTCGGAATTCATGAATTAAAAATAGACGACGAGTTTCGTGATCATGGTCTGATCCTATTGAAAATACTAAAATAAAAAATATTGTTAAAAACAAGCTTTTTTCAAATTTTATTCGCTAATAGTTCATTTTATCACGATGCAACAAGAGCACCTTTTCTATGTGAATAGCCCTGAGATTTCATAATTGCATGTCATAAATCTGAAATTGCGATGAACAAAAAAGTTGGGGTTATTTTTACCCCCTACCTCCCTATTTTGACACTTCCCTGTATTTAATTTTGAGGTGATTTCAACTCCATTCGAACCGGCACTGAATAGTAAGTGGATGGACAACATTTCAGATTTTCATTATACAAGGTGTTGGAGATAATAATACAGAATCATTCTCCGAGGCCTCCCTTTGAGGGGTTGTATCTTTCTTGGGGGTCACTTCAGAAAAAAATGTTACAGAGGTTTTCTTAACTATTTCACCCACTCTATATGCTCCCAAAGTTTGACCACCTATTTTAGAATCACCTTGTATAGTTTATGCAAAGTCAGTTGAACAGAACATCAAACGAATGTCGGGCCGCGCTGCCGCACTCGTTGAACTTTCAATAGGACCGACGGCTTGCGGTGTTTTTCCTACTGACTTTGCATAAACTCTACCACAATGTCCAGGATTGTTCCCAATTAAGAATTTCAATCTATATAAATTCAATTTTCAATTTCAAGGTGTTCTTCTGAAGAAACTCATCCAAGACTGGACGTCCAAAGCAGCAGGAACCATCAAACCTAGTGCTAGGAAAGCCATTTTGTATGGCGGCCATGATGCTACTATTGTGAATCTCCTGAGTACTCTAAAAGTTTGGGACGAGCAGTTTCCGGACTATGCTATCACCATTTTGTTCGAATTGTACAAAGACAATGCTTCCAATGAATATGGAATTGAGGTCAGTTCAAATAACAATTCTTCTCGAATTTAGTTCTTGGTGGTCCTCAAGGAAGCATTCCAGATCCTGTTCTATTCATCATGTATATTATGTCAATGGATTAGTGCAATAAAAATTCCTTCTGATATGTTAATGGTACATAAAGAAATTCTTGATCAGAAGCTATTTTCATTGCAGCAGTAATTAATGATCTCGATTTTCATCTATACTTGATGTATACAAAAATATCTAATACTATTTTTTGTAGATCTTTTTAAGGAATTCTACGGATGTTCCTCCAGTTAAACTGACAATCCCAGGCTGTGATAGTTTTTGTCCATTGATCAAACTCCAAAAGCTCACCAAAAACGTGATTCCACAAAATTGGGAAGAAGAATGTAAGACGGAGGATGAAGACTTCAAAGTACCTGATTTGGGAGGACCATGAGTGCAATTTTTTCACTCATCTCAAATAAAGCAGCGACTTTTTCATTGTGTTTTTCTTCATCAGCATTCTCATACTAAATGTTTGCAAAATAATGTGATCATCAAAACACTAAATACCACAATGTCACTTTATTGATTCAAATTTTTCGAGACATGTCTTCACATTCTATACGTTATTACTCGATTATCATTGGCTTTACAACATTCATTATCACAGTCAAAGTCAGTAAGCTGTTTACTCTGCACATTTTTACAAATTTCCCACTACACGATGGTAAATCTCACACTTTTTGTAAAATTAAAATATTACTATCGCACTCATCCGAAATCATTGATATCAAATCAAGTAAAAATCAATTCAATAGCAATTGATGAAAACTGATACCAACGTCAAGGTTTGTAAAAGATTACTCACTTTTAGGTTGGCATCCCTTAGTTGGCAACAAAAGATGGTTACCGTGTATTCAAATTAAGTAGCACAAATTACATCAGTAAATTCGAAACTACGACACATAATTTGTCTAAAGTTGTAACCAATATGAGAACCATACAGTACCTAATATATTCCACATATTTCACACTTTAGGAAAGTATTAATATTTATTTACACAGGATGAAAAATACATTTGGAACAGTTTGCTGTAGTTATATTTTTTCGACTCTACCTACCGCTATGATTTGTGCTACCTCATTCAAATCCACCCTGTAACACACATAAAAATGATGCTCTAAGAAATCCAACCGATTCGATCAATTCGCAATACACACCACACCGTCTAACCAAAATATTCCAAAGAATATTATGTATTATATCGAAGATCCACTGGATAGAAAATTCCCTCACAAATAGAATGGAATCTTATAAAATTTGTCATAGCCAACTGAGCCTGTCATAGCCTTTATCACGATAGATGGCGATTCGATATATCGTCGACGAAACCGCAAAACCAAGTAACTGCAAAAACCAAAAATTTCAGGAGACACTAAAAACTTTATAATTTCGGGTTAACCGATCAGATTCAATAAAAAATAGTAACAAACCACCTGATTATTATCATCCTTACGTTTGTACATTGATTATTGAAAAAAGTCATTGTTTACGTTTGTCAGCGTAAGATACTTGGTTTAAACATCTGCTTCTGTGCGAAAGCAACAACAATCATCCAGAAAAGTAATTCGCAAAAACACGTAACTTCATTTTTTCGGACTTTCCGCTCAACAAATACTTGAGATAAATTCTCACATCCTGTGTTGAAATATCAATTGAAGTTAAGAATAAAATGTTTTATATATCTGTTCTATAAAAAGTCACTCACCAATTAGCAGAGATTGATCTCTGTGAAAAAAACTTGAGCACAAAATATCAGAGGCGTGAATCATGTTGCCTACGTTAGATACTTTTTTGTTTGTGTTGTGTTTATGGATTTCAAAATATTTACAATTTTTTACCAGTTGTGAGGTTTTGCATACGCATCCCCACCAATATGATAGACCGATTTCGCCAGAATCCCATTTTCGAATTTCTGTCAGTTACTTGGTTTTGCCAGTTCACCGACGATATGTCAGTTATCACAAAGCAGTTGTCAACGTTGTCTGTGCAGCTGCAGTGATAGCAGTGTTTCATTTCATTCATAATCACTACGTGATTTTCAGAGGAATTACTTATAAATTAATGGGATTATGTTATTCAAATAAGGGTACACGTACAGTATGGATTGACAATCAATATGTTGACGGAAAAATAAAAGTGATTCAATGAAATTAGATCATACTAAGCCCGTGCGAAATGTTAACACATATCAATATTTACACCTCATTGACTTCGTAATACAATAGGTGCGTTCGGTTATAACATATCTGTTAGCTCGATTCCATCTGTTAGCTCGGAAAGCGTTCGATAAATCAGATCTACTTCCTCTGTCTAATCTGCTCTGTGTTCGTTAATTGTCAGAGCGAGCTGAAAGATGTAATCTGTTTGCTCCACCTTGAGGAGCAGATTATTCAGATTTGATCGGTTATTCGGTTGTCAGTTGTCAACAAATCAATGTCAACAACATGTTATTGAAATTATATCTCTTTTATGTCGAAAAATTAAAGACTCGATCAACTGGAAACGAAACACTGAAACTGAATTTTGTAGAATCCTCCTTGCCCAGAATCGCCAGAATTACCGACGAATTTGCTGTAGGTAGCATATCAATTATATATCTGTAATATATGCGATCACAACTGCCCTGGATCCACATTTAATGACCGATCATATGAGACAGAATATCATTCCTTCCCTAGTAATTTTCAAAATATAAACAACAAACATTCAAAAAAACTCTGTTGCCCTGACGTGTTTTCAAAAGTAATGAGGTTAAGTGAGTTGTTTCTGTTTTCTGTTACTTCTGACAGCTGGCGCTCGCAATCCACTACCTCGTTGAGCGTTCGTTAAATATCTTTAGCTCTATCTGCTAGGTGATCACGTGACACCAAATCTGCATCTGCTCGCTCGGCTCAGATTTTGTTAAACCGAACGCACCTAATGTAAAGGGTATGGTCAATTCATGAATACATTTTTAAATCGCCGCCAGATCCATCAAATGTCAATTCAGTTCATCTCCCAAAACACACAGTAACGTCGGCTATTATTCAAACAGATTCCATTCTATTCATGAGGCAAGTTTCCTATGACTCACTGGAATTTAACATCGAACAAGCAAACTACACTCAAACACTGACAAAAAAGAAAGCTAATCAGACAATAACCCAAAGACCTAATAATATTATACTCTACTAGATCCAACATAAGATTGAGACACAACGAGACAACCACCATTTGAAGATGTCGAAATTTCGAATCGAAACAACGGACCTAGAGAAAGATGAAACGTAGCAACCACTCAAAACAAAGACCAGGAGTGAGAGAGAGAGAGAGAGAGAGGAGGCGACAAGTAGCAATTAGCTGATATAGTGAAAATCCCACACTTATCTTTTAGCGAATTTCATTGGAAATACGTTTTTCGCACAGAGTGTATATTTATCTTTGTTGAAGATATGCAAATTATGAGGATAGATAAACACTAAGAACCAGTGGCATAAACCTCTGTTAACATAACGAAGAAACAACTACTCTTCTAACTCATCAGCAAGGGCATAATTATGTTGCCATGGATATAACCATAAACGAATTGCAACCGACCCGAGTACAGAAACGCCACCGATTCTATTCTATGGAAATATAACTCACTGTTTATAACATATGCAGCCATATTAATGGTTCTTTCTCTCTCCTATGTCGACGTCAAGGCGGTAATGTGATTGTGCAACTGTTTTTATCCTTTGGTCCGCACGAAAGAGACGCTTTAGACCTTTGCAACAATCTCAAACACCGAATGACAGGGTTCGCCACATGGAAAAAATCCTCCAATGACCGGCATCCGACTAGAACTGGTAGAGTTCTCCGCACTGTGTGTATATTCATCTTTGTTCAGCACATGCTAGTAATAAGGATAGATAAACTATGACGGCAGGAACACCACCGATAAGTATTCAGCCATGACAATGATCCTATTACTTATGTTGGCTTCATGACGGTGAGGCAGGAGATCACCTAGTAGTTTACATATTGTTATATTTTCGCAACAACAACCGAAAAAACTAATGTAAGGCTTCGCCACACGCAAAAAAAAAGAAGAATCAGTCCGAGACGACCGACTAGTAAATAAACCTTCAGCTGGTGCTTCTCGTCGAATCAATGCTCATTTTAGTCATGGAAAAATACACTCCAACAAACGGCAGCAGACCAGAACTGTTAGAGTTTTTCGCACTGAGTGTATACATTCTCTACCCGTCTAAAATATTTCCATCGATACAGTGTTGCCACTTCTATCACAAACAACTAGCAACTTTGTTATTTCAAGTGTAACACCCTGTATTTTATTGCATTTTTAGATTCTTCCTAAAGAGATGATTTCATCGATGTATCACAGAGATATAGGAGATTCATAATCGAGATTTTTCAATTTTAGGATTTTTTTGTGTCGAAACTATTCATTATCGATCAAAACGGCTTACATGTCCCTATCTTAACTTTCGATTTACTATCTACTGACATTTAATTGGAACAGATACAGGGTGATCAGAATTCTGAATCTTGGATCACCCTGTATTTTTTTCAATTAAATTCCAGTAGATACTGAATCAAAAGTTAAGATAGGGACATGCAAGCCGTTTTGATCGATAATGAATAGTTTCGATACAAAAATAATCCTAAAATTGAAAAATCTCGATTTTGAACACCCTATATCTCTGTGATAATTCCTGCTAGACCCCAAGTGTGATGCATTGATGAAATCAGCCCTTGAGGAAGAATCTAAAAATGCAATGAAATACAGGGTGTTCCATTTGAAATATCAATGTTACTAGTTGTTTCTGATAGAAGCGGCAACACTGTATCGATGAAAATATTTCAGACGAATAGAGAATGTTCAATGTTCTGTCTTTTCGGACTCCAGATACTTCTAATAGGCTATCCACCGTGGATCACCCTGTATTTATCTTTGTTCAGCGCATGCAAGTGAAAAAGATAAACAGGAGCAACATGACAGAAAAACTCCACCAATTCAATCCCTAATCAATCTTTCTCAAAAGACCGGAAAAAAGAAGAAGAAACACTCTGAGGCGACCGACTAGTGAACCTTCAGCTGGTGCTTCTCGCCAAATCAATGATCCTTTCTCTTATGTTGGCCTCAAGACGGTAAGGCAAGTGCGCATCTAGTAGCTTACATATTATTAGATCTTTGCAACAACCCAAATAAAAAAAAACTAATGACAGGCTTCGCCACACGCAAAAAAGAAGAAGAAACACTCCCAGACTAGTAAACCTTCAGCTGGTGCTTCTCGTCGAATCAATGCTCCTTTCCGTCATAAAAAAATACACTCCAATAAACGGCAACAGACTAGAACTGTTAGAGTTTCTAAGCACTGAGTGTGTATTTATCTTTTTTATCTTTGTTCAGCGCATGCAAGTGGAAAGGATAGATAAACAAGAGCAACATGACAGAAAAACTCCACCAAATCAATCTCTCTCTTTAGACCGGACAAAAGAAGAAGAAACACTATGAGGCGACCGACTAGTGAACCTTCAGCTGGTGCTTCTCGCCAAATCAATGATCCTTTCTCTTATGTTGACGGTAAGGCAAGGGTGCATCTAGTAGCTTACATATTATTAGATCTTTGCAACAACCCAAATAAAAAAAAAACTAATGACAGGCTTCGCCACACGCAAAAAAAGAAGAAGAAACACTCCCAGACTAGTAAACCTTCAGCTGGTGCTTCTCGTCGAATCAATGCTCCTTTCCGTTATAAAAAAATACACTCCAATAAACGGCAACAAACTAGAACTGTTAGAGTTTCTAAGCACTGAGTGTGTATTTATCTTTTTTATCTTTGTTCAGCGCATTCAAGTGAAAAGGATAGATAAACAAGAGCAACATGACAGAAAAACTCCACCAAATCAATCTCTCTCTTTAGACCGGACAAAAGAAGAAGAAACACTATGAGGCGACCGACTAGTGAACCTTCAGCTGGTGCTTCTCGCCAAATCAATGATCCTTTCTCTTATGTTGACGGTAAGGCAAGGGTGCATCTAGTAGCTTACATATTATTAGATCTTTGCAACAACCCAAATAAAAAAAAAACTAATGACAGGCTTCGCCACACGCAAAAAAAGAAGAAGAAACACTCGAGAGACTAGTAAACCTTCAGCTGGTGCTTCTCGTCGAACCCAGCAGAATGGCCGGCGTTGCGCACAATGAAAGTCGATCCGTCATAGTGCATGCGTCGCTCGCCCCTTCTGACGAACAGATGGCGGGTTTGCCCCATCGACCCCGTGCAATGGATGTAGGGGGAGGACACTGACGCGGAGCCGTTCGTGGGGGAGGTTCTTAGCGAGAACTTGTTGCTGTTTCTGCCGACCCTAGAAGGGGGAAAGGAACGATTTCGTGAGAGGAAGATGGTTTGAGGGTTAGCTCGTTGGTCCAGGTCCATGGGGGTCAGTTCCGGGGCCGATGGCTTCTTAGATCAGATTAGAATTTCTTAATGTAGTCGATACTTTTGTAATAACTTTTTTTGTTTACTTAGAGTATAGGTCGCGTGCACATTTGACATTTCATACCTAGATTTCCTAAATGTACTTGACACTGCTGTTTTGACGTTTTTTGTACATTAGAGTACGGACACTAGACAAACAGTAACAATCAAACATAACCACAAACGATTTCGAAGCAAATCATATGTTTTGCCAGACAAGGACAAGAATATGTTTTTCGCTTAGATAAAGGATCCTTGCATTTTCCTTCCTCCACAAGTCCTGGAATCTTTCTCTGAATGATAAGGCTGAAGGACCTCAATCGAAGTCGATATCAAGTTGGTATGTACATATATACCAACGAAATACAAAGTAGGTATCAATGGACTTCAGCGCTAGACTCACTATAGATCGCCGTTCACATCGCATTCCTCACTCTCTTCCACTCGTTAACCTTGGGTTTTTGAATATTCCTGCTCTGAAATTTCGATTCTCAAGTCTCTTTCATTCAAAATATGTTCGAAATGAATTTCATTATCTGCAAGTTTTTTGTTTCTTGTTGGTTCTAAATTGGAATAAGGTTCTTTTCGATACTCGCTCAGTTTATAAATTGTGGGTTCGGCTCTTTCTCTCAATACGATCATAATCTTCAACATCAAATCTTATGTTCTGAAGTGTAACTGATGAAAAAGAAATTTGAATACCTCGCAAATTTTGTGGCCTGAACCTATATTCCATACCGGCCGCACCATATTCGGTTTCTATTTTTGTAGAATTACGTTATCCGATGGGAATTCGAATAGAGTGAATTGATTTCCCGTGTTCTCACAGTTAGATGTTACACAAACTTGCATTTTTCTCCAAATTCTCTCAATTTGTCAAACCTTTGAAATTTATGTTATGTACGTCCGTGTACTGTCAGTTCCCGCTTTTTTCATCAATTTATTTGTGGTTATGTCTGATTGTCAGTGCTTGTCATAGTGTCCGTACTCTAATATACGTATATAAAGAAAACAGCAGTGTCAAGTACATTTTGGAAGTCTAATTATACCGACCCTAGAGGTAAAACAACCGCCCTTTTTTCATTTGTTTGTTGCAATAGGAATTAATAGACTGAAAACGTCTTCACACACGATCATATTTCGTCAGTATGTCAAACCAGTCCTCCCGTTTGATTGCACGAGTCCAAGCTTCTTGCATTCTTTTAGAAACTTCACAAGTCTTTCTATTAGCTCCTATTGTAGAAAGAATTCTAAAGAAAAAAAAATAAAGATTTTTTTTGTTCATTGTACAACAGCACAGTGTGATCTGCTTGCTTCAATAAATAAACAGCCCAAAAAACATGATTCATACGCCAAAATGATCGTGAAAAACTATTTCACTCCATTAGGTGCGTTCGGTTATAACATATCTGTTAGCTCGATTCCATCTGTTAGCTCGGAAAGCGTTCGATAAATCAGATCTACTTCCTCTGTCTAATCTGCTCCGTGTTCGTTAATTGTCAGAGCGAGCTGAAAGATGTAATCTGTTTGCTCCGCCTTGAGGAGCAGATCATTCAGATTTGATCGGTTATCCGGTTGTCGGTTGTCAACAAATCAATGTCAACAACATGTTATTGAAATTATATCTCTTTTATGTCGAAAAATTGAAGACTCGATCAACTGGAAACACGAAACTGAATTTTGTAGAATCCTCCTTGCCCAGAATCGCCAGAATGACCGACGAATTTGCTGTAGGTAGCATATTAATTATATATCTGTAATATATGCGATCACTGCCCTGGATCCACAGTTAATGACCGATCATATGAGACAGAATCATTCCTTCCCTAGTAATATTCAAAATATAAACAACAAACATTCAAAAGAACTTTGTAGCCCTGAGGGTTTTCAAAAGTAATAAGGTTAAATTATGTGAATTGTTTCTGTTTTCAGTTACTTCTGACAGCTGGCGCTCGCAATCTACTACCTCGTTGAGCGTTCGTTAAATATCTTTAGCTCTATCTGCTCACGTGACACCAAATCTGCATCTGTTCGCTCGGCTCCGATTTTGGTAAACCGAACGCACCTATTGTAAACAAATAAGAAAAGTGAGGTTGTGTTTCAATGTTTTAGCTCCAGGGTCGGTCATCTGACAGATCTTGCACCCATACTTTTGGAACAATTCGGCTACGCAAGTTCAGAATTCGGAGATCTAAAAGTGATATTTCTGTGAGATCAAGTTACCTTACTAATCCGTCCGCAGTTTGAGAAATCCTGACGTTGTTGATGATCCAATTAGTGGTGCCGTCTTCGGTCATCCAGCAGTTGGTTGCTTGCAAAATTGCCATTGCTTCGTTAACTAGATGGGTGGTAGCAGTGGTACTCGGATTGTCTATGTAGGAATACGGGGAATCCCTAAAAAAACATATTCAGATTATTTTCAAAAGATGAAATGGAAAAAATCATTTGGGCTTATTTAAGATGTCTTCCTTCAAATTGAGGTGCTGCTCAATTTGTCAAATATAGGAAACGGTATTTATGTATTTTTTATTTATTTATCGAACATATCTTCCAGTCAGAACAAGTTCTGGTATGAGGAAGAACATAATTATAACATAATAAAGTAATAAATATTTATGAACGACTACACAAACATGAGTAGAAGAGAACATGAATAACAATAAAACAAAACAATCAATGAACAAAGAAAATAATTCTAGTCAAGGACATAAGTTACTGATAAATTTTTAACATTCCTCTCAGAATTTTTTCCTTCCTTAAATGTACCTATATTTCTGCAGTTTTTAATGAATGAAATGAGTTATATTGTCTAGTTTGATGACTATGAATTTCAAAATTTCTCGTCAAAAGAATATTAGATTTAAATTTTTTATTTATATTATATGAAATTTTCAGAGTCTCTAATCTGTACAAATAACAAATATAAAGTATACCAAGTGACAACAAAATCATTAGACAGGGCGTCATTCAGTTGTTCTTCATGATAAGACTTTTGACAGTTCCTTTAGTTCCATAGTTCCTTAAATAGCATGAAAAAACAATGGAATATTTCACTCAAATTGAACTAGGTCGAGAATTAGAATTTTCTTCAAAATTTAAAACAGGGTTGGCAAGAATGGGCTTATATCACAAAACACATTTTTATTTTATAATTCGATAGAACTCACCAAAACTAGCTCACCACCGCAAACCGTTTCATGCTGTGAGCTCCCTACGTTTTATAAAAAATTATTGAATTCCCCGATTTTTCGGACCTCTGGAAACGAGGCGATGATGTGAGGTCAAAACCCTAATACTGAAACAAGACTATTCCAGACAGAGATGAATGATACATGATTTCTGACAGAGTGAATTAGCGCGAGATCACAGTTGAAAGAATTAATATATCAGTTGCCTCAGTCTCCGTCGGGCGTTTGGTATTTTCTTTTAACTATGGCGAGATGAGGTTTCTACATCATAAGAGGGTCCGTTTTCAGAAGGTACTATTATTTATGTCCAATAATAAAGCATTCCAGTTAATTTTTCGATCGAATTATGTCGTCAATCATTATTTATGTATAAATAAAAGGATCATTATAAACATGGTTTGAGTTATAAGTGCTACTAAGGTGTACACGCCCATTAATTTATATGAATTAAGCCCGTGATTCAATTCATGAATTAAGTCAAATGACTTTTTTTATGTCATGAATTAATTCAAATTTTCTCCAATGGGAACAAATCGCATTATTATCTTCAATTTGTACTAGTTTAAAATGAAGAATCCAAATGCATTATGGCAACCTGACCATCATAAACATATGAGCGGCCACAGGCGGAAAACTGACTTTTCTAAGAACCGCTTAATGATTTTATCGCATAATTGATAACATGCCAGCTTTTTTTAGTCTAAGTAATCATGACATTTCAATGGCAAATTTTCAACAAAAAAATGCTGTCTAAAATGACACAATGAGGATTCTGAATAATTTATAAGTTGCATATATGCATTTCTTTAAATTTTTCAATCAATAGTTTCAGTTCTATTTCGCAAAAATTGCCTTTTTTGTTATGTTTGGCTAGATTTGCTTAATCTTCTTCGATATGGTGGACTGTATTACTTGTGATATTAAATGAATGATGAATGCTTAGATAAATGCTTAAATGTGTACTTTTATCAGAACGAAAATGCAATTAGTTGTCAACAATTTTTATATGTGACTGTCAAGTCTGATACATAACAACGTACATAGCAACGAACAAAAATAATGATATACAGCTACTATTCAAATATGGTTCTCGGACGAGCGAATAGTATTCAACCACATACAGGGTATTAATTCAATATACAGAATACCCACAATTGTCCAATGTTGTTTTTGGATTTTTGAAGAAAATGAAGTCAGCTTATTTGTTACAATTTTATATTTTCTTTTCGTAAATAAAATTTCGTTTTTCTAAAGTGAATTAATTTAAAAAAGTCAGAATTAATTCAAAAAGTCGGACTTTTATGACTATTTTATGAAACTCTGATATGAAGAGCAATTATTGAATGACGCCTTGTCCAATGATTTCGTTGTTACCCGGTATAATTTAGAAATTTGCTTCATTTTATGAAAAAAAAAAACACAGTTGTGCTGTAGTAGAAAATGTTGAATCTACAAGAAAAACTTACTCGTAGAATATATTCATGGTAAAATCGTGCGTCAAATCATTGAAGGAATCAGTAGTAGTGCGTGTTCCTGCGGAATCGACCAAATATACAAGGGCGCACTGAATGCTGGTGAAACTAACTCCTTTGTACCACATCTTCGCAAACCTAAAAAATAAACTAATGGTACACAAACAAGAAAGTTATTGATTGAACTAGATCTGAGGACTAAAGGTGGATTTATGCAGCAACATTTAACAATTATCAAGTAACATTTATCATTTAACAAGTAGCAATCAAAAGTTCAACTTCCTGTTTTCAATGAGGGTGTTTATGCAGACATTTAACAATTATCAATTAACAAGTAACAAGTAAGAAGTTGGCCAACTTTTAACTTTCTTACTTTAATTGAACCAGGTTTTCTTCTAGTGCGCAACTGGTACGCAGATGACCGCGGATTGGTTTAATCGACTGATAGAGAAAGCATGAGATTGGTCAGATCTTGAGCCTGACAGATTGTCATCAGATGATGGAAATTAACCTAAAATAAAATATGTTGTTTCTGTACTTTTGTAGTGAGATAGTGGACAGTGTTTTATTTAAAATTTGAGCCACTTCTGTAAATTCAAAATTGTAAACAATTGTAAACAACAAATTTGAAAGGTTATGTTTATGATTTTATTTCGAGCATGTGCGCTTGCGTACTTTTTATTCATAAATTGTTAATTTGGTATGCATAAATGTCAATATTCCCATCACTCGTTAATTGATAATTGTTAATTGATAAATGTTACTTGATAATTGTTAAATGTTGCTGCATAAATCCACCTTAAGAAATTCATTCCCGGCTTATCTGATGAGAAATAAAACGTGTTGGTTATAGCTGTGTAATAAGTTTTAATTGAAAATTGTGTTCAAGGTCAATTTTTACTCAAGCAAAATAAAGAATGAAGAACAATAATTAAAAAATTGTAGTCGCTGCGCTTTTTTTTTGAGACATTCTGTATAAATAAAACTTAAATCATTGAATAGATCGAATGAAACCCTACAATTCAAATATCCATTTTTTATGTTAAACACGGGAGCAGATTCGTTCCCGAAACGTCCAAAGCTAAGTGAAAATTTGATGTTTTTCTATATACCTTCATTTCTCTTCTCCAAAAATTTTTCAATACAGATTGTCACTGACAAGCTAGTGAATTTTTCTTTTAGGCTCTCTGATAGGAAAATTCTTTGAACGCAGTGACATTTTGGGGCAAATTATCTGATTTGTACTTACTACATGTATATTGAGATAATATTCAAATTTTCATTTTATAGAAACGAGGAGAAAATCCCAAAAAATCTGGAATTATCAATAAATAATCCGTAGCAGATATTGTTAGTAATTTCCGGATTTTTAATGTTTATTGAGAAACTAGCTTCCAGTCAGAAATAAAATTCTGGTATGAGGAATTTGATTACAAAAAACAATAATAAAATAACATGAGGTGGCAACAACTAGAGTTCTGAAATGTACTTGACACTGCTGTTTTGACGTTTTTTGTATATTAGAGTACGGACACTAGACAATCAGTGACAATCAAACATAACCACAAACGATTTTGAAGCAATCATATGTTTTGCCAGACAAGGACAAGAATATGTTATCTGCTTAGATAAAGGATCCCCGCATCTTCCTTCCTTTACAAGTCCTGAGAAGAGTACATCCATAAATTTTATCTTTCTCTGTCTTTGATTTTTGAATGAGAGTGCATAGCGTCTCCTCGAGTGGGTAAAGGGGTATGATAAATTGATTAGAAAAATTATTTCTTGTCGAAATATTGAATGATAAGGCTGAAGGACCTCAATGGAGGTCGATATCAAGTTGGTATGTACTTATATACCAACGAAATTCATATACTATTCCTGTGAAATAAGTTTCCTATATGTTGGTATATATATATACATACGTTCAGTTGAATATTTTTTTATCACAAAAGGAACAATTTCAATTATACAGGGGTGGTAGGTAATAAGTAATTAATAAATAAACAAATAATATGGCAACAATAACAGCTGATTTCAGAGTAAATAATAAAGGTTCTCCAAGACATACGGAAGTAGGTATAAATGGACTTCAGCGCTCGACTCAATACCTAACATAAATGGTGCACTCGTTAATAAGCTTTCTTGTTCTGTCCTCTGATAATATCTAGCTCGCATTTTGGTACCTAAGGAGTGGTTCAAGATCCACTAGGAACTTTGAAGAAGCGATAAATGAACAATATATTCAACTCTTTGATATAGATACATCTAGTACATCAGAGTTCCACAAAGTGACTATATGTTTCCACAAAATTATTATAGGAGTTCGTATACGAAGATGATCTAAAGAATTCTTGGTTGAACAGGAATGTGAAATCTGTTTGAGTCAGTCAATTCAGGAAGTTGCTGCTGTTTCATTATCAGATGATCGACCATGATCTCCATGGTGACTATTGTGATCTCTGCTCCATCATTCCATCACAAGCAATAACCAGAGAAATGAATTTCATTACCTGCAAGCTTTTTGTTTCTTCTTGGTTCTAAACTGGAATAAGGATCTTTTCGATACTCGCTGAGTTTAGAAATTGTGGGTTCGGCACTTTCTCTCAATACGATCCTATTCTTCAACATCAAATCTTCGTTTCTGAAGTGTACCTGATGAAAATGCGTTGAAAGATGTTCTATATCCTACCAAGGAATTTGAATACGTCGCAAATTTTGTGGCCTGAACCTATATTCCATGCCGGCCGCATCAAATTCTGTTTCCATTTTTGTAGAATTACGTTATCCGATGGAATTTCGAATAGAGTGAATTGATTTCCCGTGTTCTCACAGTTGGAAACTGCACAAACTTGCATGTTTCTTATAATTCTCTCAATTTGTCAAACCTTTGAAATTTATGTCATGTACGTCCGGGTACTGTCAGTTTCCGCTTTTTCCATGAATAGGTCGCGTGCACGAAGACCGACCCTGGAGGCAAAATATTGAAACACAACCTCATTCTTCTGTGAATTATTGAAACACAACCTCACTTTTTTATTTGGTTACAGAGAAATCAAAAGGTTGAAATAGTTTTTCACAATATTTTGGCATACGAAACGTGTTTCTTGCGTTATTCATTAATTCAAGCATGCCTTCGCATTGTGCTGTTGTACAATGCACAAAAAATGCAGCAAGAGACTAGGGAATATGATTTTTCAGGTAAATAGTAATCTCACATAGTTAGCATTATGAAATGTTGTCATTCCTTATTAAAATTCCTTCTGCCTTCTGCCACTTCTGCAATACAAGCTAATACTGCTAATAGATTGGAAATGTCTACAACACACACGATCGTCAGCATGTCAGACCAGTCCTCCCGATTGATTGCATGAATCCAATCTTCTTGCATTATTCTAGAAATTTCAGGTATATTTCTATTAGCTGATCCTATTGCAAAAGGAATTCCGATGAGAAATCAGAGAAATAACCATATTTCAAAAATGAAAACTATGTGAGTGACTATAGTAGGTACTTACTTTTGAATCATAATGTACCATCCGGATTTCTTCATCTTCCGCTGCAGTTTTTGTGCATTTTACAACAGCACAATGTGATGGCATGAGCGAATTGATGAATAGCGGAAAAATACGATTCATATGCCAAAATAATTGTGGAAAACTATTTCGATCACTTGCAAACAAATATGTTTTGCCTCCAGGGTCGGTCATCTGACAGTTCTTGCACGCGACCTATTTATTTGTGGTTATGTCTGATTGTCAGTGCTTGTCATAGTGTCCGTACTATATATACTATATACAAAAAACGTCAAAACAGCGAAGTGTCAAGTATATTAAGGAACTCTAGCAAAAACAACACCAAAAAATCTGAAAAATCTAAAAATGCTAAATCGATCAAGTCATAAAAATAGCAACAGGGACTGATCATTAGATAGCAAAGTATCAATTTTATCCATTTCCTAATGAAATCATGTGTTTTTTCAATTCAATTTTAAATTTTGAAATTATAATTTTTATATTATGTGGTAATTTATTGAATTCAGCTAGAGCAGCGTGAGTAAATTCAATTTCAGCAGTTTGAAGATGTGTCAACAAGGAAAAATCCGGAATTTTATTTCCTCACTTGTCATTTCCTTGACTATCATTGGCCATAATCTCCACTCTCGATCCGTACTGGTACATCCTGCCGTTGGGATGGATGAGGCCCGAAGAACTGCCGCTGGCGCTCAAAGCCAAAACGATGCCGTTCTTGGTATTGGATATGCGAATCGAACGGTCTAGCGACAGGTCCACTCTGATGAAGTCGCGCAGGCGCATCGTTATTATTCCGTGCGGGCTTATCGTGGTGCCCCCTGTATATCCGTCGTCGGCATATATGTCCTGGAAATTAGCGACAGCCTGTGATTAGAGCGGTTTAGAGTCACTGGATGTTATTAGTTTGATAAGAGTTCGGACACAGAAATGACAACGGTTAGGGTTTTTGGATGTTTAGATTTATTAAGTTTCACACCACCACCATAGTCGTCCCGCTCTTTTTCATTCAAAATTGTTTGAATTTGACAATACATTTTATAAACGTCAGAATTGAAATAAAATTTCATAATTATACATTCGAGATGAAAGCAGCTATGGATATTACTTGCTGTGTAATAAATTGTGCCAATTCTGAAGAAAAATGGACATCATTTATTCAATTTTCCGAAACAAATATCAACCATTCGCTTATGGAAGGAAGATATGAAACGGCCTGATGGGTGCAAAATCAATTTGAAGACGAGCGAAATTTGTGAGGTACTCATTAAAATTAACTTTTTATAGCAGCATCTGATTAGAATGAAACTATATTTTAGGCCCATCTTCAAACAGAAGATTTCAAAATCTGTTTGTGAGAATCTGCTGTTCCATCAATATACAAAGCAGGCGATTTCGAGAACAAAATTCCATTATTATCATCACACAAAATACAAAACAAAATGATCATGGAAAAGAGGAAATGATCGCAAAATTACATAATGAAATTGAGAATTTGAAAAAAAAAACTAAGAAAAGCAAGTAAACTACAGAGTGATATATTATTGAATGGAGTTTTTGGTGCCGACCAAATTTAAAATTCAACAGTGGAAAGTGAATAGTTATTTATATATCAAGGGAATTTTTATAAGGGCCTTAATTACGCTGGAGGTTAATGTTTTGGAGATATTTTCTATATCGATCCATGTTACTTATTAGTTTCTAGGGCGCTAAGTGGAGTTGCTGTATTTGGTAGGTCTCGTCAAAATAAACTACTCTTTTCCTATCAAATGTTTATCGAAAAATGATTTGTTCTCTGTATATGGTATAAGGAAATATAGTTAACAATAATACCTAAAACTATACAATTATGATAAACTAATAAATAATATAATATTTGAAAACATTAAGTATTAAATTTTGACAAATCATTTCATATTGGTGAGCAAAAATCAATCTGAATATGAATCAAAAGTTGAGAAAAAAAATCATCTATTTCATTCAGAAATGATAAATTTTTTAAGTTGGTATTTGTATTTTATTGTATTTCTGCAATTTTTTATATTATCTGGTAATTTGTTATATTGTATATATATCTTTTTTGGCCTATAAAATAATGAGCCATATCAACTGTAAATCTATACAAACCTTAAGACTTGCTGAATCTAGTGTCATTATATAAACTCAAAATTTGTTGTTTTATTCCTTTTGTCAGGAAGGAATTGAAAATCAAATCAAATTTGAATTTTAATGAAGTTAATATGATTCACGCCCATGAAACAAGGCAATTTAATTTATTGATATAAAATAATTATAAGACAAATTTTGTTAAACAATCAATATTCCATAATGGAATAATTTTATATAAGTACTTACCTAATGAGTTGAAAAATATAGAAGCAGAAAAATTTAAAATCAATTTGAAGAAATATCTGCTCAGTAAACTTTAATTCCATATCTACTAATCAGTCACAATTGGATTATTTGAAATGGATTATAATATTTTCATTCTATATTTAATTATATTTTTTTTATGAAAAACAATGATTGTGCAATTATCATTGTTTCGATTTATTATGTTATATGTATGTTTTGTTGTATATATCCCTATTAAAAACAATATTGTTTCTTGGGGTAATAAAGATAATCAATCAATCAATTCATGAGCCTGAGACTGACTGTCCCTGTATATATCTTAGACAAGAGTCCGGACACAGCTATACTTCTGTCCTTTTCTGTTTTCAAAAAATGCATTGATGATTGAATAAAGGAATAAGACATATCTATCGAGCTCTGTCTTTTCAATTCCCCTAGTATCAATGATTGTCAAAAACAATTTTGAGGGTTAGATTATTTATCAAACCGTTCATAACCGTAGGTAGAAGTGAGAAATAGGGCTCTTTAACTAGAATAACTATGAGATAGCTATTGCAAATTTTCGTCATCAGATATTTCTTCACTTCATTTGATATAAGAAAGATAATTCAAGTGTTCTATGTGGTAGAGAGAGAAGAAAATATAGTTGTTTTCTGTTCGGATATAAAAAAATAGAAGATATATAATTGTTTCAATATAATTTTCTCCGATTGTCACGATTTAACACCTGCCTTATAAACATTGATTCTTATATTTATCTAACATTAGGGACAATGATATGTCAAAGATCCAATTGATAAACTATTATATACACCTAATAACTATAGGTACTTAGGTACCTATATCGTCTAGGATTCCTCCGATGGTGAATTAAAAACGCCGTGGACTGATGACATAGCACATTGCAATTTCTCTAAATCTTCTAGTTTTGATTTCAAACTTTCAATTTCTATCCGCATCATCTCATCATCATTTTCTTTCTCTGTGATCGTATCATTCAGTTATTCCCAATACGATGACGACGGAACTCTTTTTTTGAACGTCTCTATTTTATAAATTGACGGCACAGCAGACTCTTTCAATTTGAAATCCATCAGCTTGAAAGAATCTCTATCAAAATGGGCCTAAAATTAATCTTTTTTGTACTGTTTTTACAAGTAAATTCGAATGTTTACCTCACATATTGCGGATTTCTTGAAATTAATTTTCCATTCTGGACGTTTCATTGCATTATTCCATGACATTATCTTTAAAGGATCATTCGGAAAATTGAATAACTCGAATCTCTTTTCTAATGAATTATCACAATAATGTACGCAGCAGGACATAGAAATGATTTAAAATGCTAAATTTTGGCGGTCATAAAATTTCGAAGTGACAGTGACAGAAATTCGAAATAATTAAAAAAAGCAGGCGGGACGACTATGGTGTTTCGTCACATTGTCCAGGTTGGCAAACGAAATGGAACAAATAGTAGAAGATCCGAACCTAAATCGACCTTCACCGAGCTGATAATAGAACGAAATATATTTTATCATGAATTTAGTATATTAGAAAACATATTTAAAATGGGTTCGCTAAAAAAATCCTGGGCAGACTATTTTTAATTATTTTTCGAAAAATGATTTTCAATTAAATGTTGCAACATCAGGATAATAAAAAAATGTTGTCCTGACTGAAAGTATAAAACGTATAGAATGTGCAGCCGTTGAGTTGTCTACTATTTACCTGGGCGAACTACTGGGTTGTCAGGTAAACACAGGTATATCGATGCCAGTTACTTTCACTGGATTGGATAATTAAAAAAAAAATTATATCATCATAAGCGCTATTTAATTGCGAACACGTTGATATAGGGTTGTCTGCGAAAATTCTGGTCCTATTAGGGGTTTGCGAATTTTAAAGATTTTAATTTCAACGCGCGTGGAAGTGTGTGACAGAGAGATCCGAGGTAAGTATAGTGTGTAATAATAAAGGACCCAACATCGCAGTCGCTTGTGATGGGACCCTGAATAGTAGAAAGTGCGCATGCTCGGTGTGTAAACTATGGAGGGTAGAGGTACCTCTACTACCCTTCATAATATAGTAACCAGTGCGTGTTATTTTGGAGCAACTGATATTTCAGAGGCTAAAAAAAAATTTATTAATTACATAATAATTAAATATATTTAATATAATACTAATATATAAAAACAATATAATATCAATATATTGCGGTATAACCATAATAATATATCTATAATGAAATCATACCATAGTTTTCAGGATTTGACTTCGCACACTTCGCACACTTTCTACTATTCAGGGTCCCATCACAAGCGACTGCGATGTTGGGTCCTTTATTATTACACAGTATACTTACCTCGGATCTCTCTGTCACACACTTCCACGCGCGTTGAAATTAAAATATTTAAAATTCGCAAACCCCTAATAGGACCGGAATTTTCGCAGACAACCCTACATCAACGTGTTCGCAATTAAACAGCGCTTATGATGATATACATTTTTTTAAATTATCCAATCCAGTGAAAGTAACTGGCATCGATATACCTGTGTTACCTGACAACCCAGTAGTTCGCCCAGGTAAATAGTAGACAACCCAACGGCTGCACATTCTATACGTTTTATACTTTCAGTCAGGACAAAATGTTGTTATTATCCTGATGTTGCAACATTAAATTAAAAATCATTTTTCGAAAAATAATTGAAAATAGTCCGCCCAGGATTTTTTTAGCGAACCCATTTTTAATATGTTTTCTAATATACTAAATTCATGATAAAATATATTTTGTTCTATTATCAGCTCGGTGAAGGTCGATTTAGGTTCGGATCTTAGACTAAAAATATCAAAAACCCCAACGGCTGTCAGTTTTGTGTCCGGACTCTTGTCTAAGGTATATACAGGGACTCTAAGAATGACCCGACTCCAATTTGAGAATTTAGCTTTTTTGCACTTACATTGAAATCTTCCGAGAAGTAGTTCTTGACGGTTATCGGTTTGGGCACGTATGGGGGCCTCGAAGACTGTCCCTCGTACCGCATGATATCTCTGGGTGGCATTTCGTCGCTGGCATGCGAACTCGTAAATACACTCCTACTCCTAGGACGGGGTCCATCCTTGCGTCCGTTTTCGTACACTTTAGGTATCCTGGTTACACTATCTGAAAACATCACTTAGGAAAATTTAAAATTTTGATCTTAAAAATACTGGAGAACACAGGGTACCTAATTCATAATTCGAACTGGCATCAATGTTCATTTTAGTTCATTTTTTCCAACAATAATCGATCCTCAACAAGATTTTAACATTATTTTTTAAATATGATGGTATACTTTTTATTGCCCTGTAGAATATAGTATATTATTGTTTAACCAGCACGGAATGATAGTGATTTCCTACGAGAATGAAGTTTGCAGCATCCGAGTAGGAAATTAGCATTCCGTGCAAGTACACTATAATTTTTCTACGGCTATAATAAACTGGTCAACATTGAAAACGTCGTGCTCCAAAACATAGCCTGAATTCAAAGTAGAATAACTCACGAATTTCCTCACCAATTTGAAATCGGTTTCCACCGATGATTAGCCTAATCTCTTGACAGTTTGTTGTGGCAATATGAAACTTCTGTGATTTCAGATAACATTGCTACAGGGTGATAATTGAATGGGTGTAAAATTGCATCGTGGTCGTCACCTTACCGTTTGAACAGATAATTTTTTTATTTTTTTTTTCTCACCTGTATCCTCTTGATTGATGCTTTCTCTCGAAATGTTTTCAGAAATTTCGAATTCAGAGCTTTGATAATCGTGTTATGAATATTCATTCAGAATGATGCATTTTTTCGACGATTAATTGAATGAAATTGAAAGTTGGAATTCTTCTCCGAAGAATCAACGTTGTATGTATAGTCGTCGGATATGTGATCGTGTTCGAACACAGAGAATTCTGAAAAAGTCTAAACAAAGTGATACAAGAAATACTGAATGATGGAAAGGAGAATAACGTAGTCTCCAGTAGATGAAACATAATTTTCTCTGTGTTACTAGTGGAATAATGGAGTGTTACTTCGTCATGAGGATGTCCGGTGTCTGACCTCGAAATGGTTTTGTAATTTCTTGGATCGAAGGTGATATAATGAAATTACGCATTTTCAGTCGAAATGATGCATTTTCGTCAAGATAAATTATAAAATTCAAAAAATTACGATCATACATTTCACGAATTTCGACAATGTCCGACACTATATTTCTTTTTCGGAACATAGCGATTTTCATCACGTTTAAACATATCCTTCTTCATCACGGGACAATCTGGACATATTTTTTATCGCACCTTATTGTATTATATCCATCGTCAAGAATGAATATGAATTTCATACTTCTGGAACTACAATCGTAATTTTTTGAATATCATAATTTATCTTAACGAAAATGCATCATTTTGATTAAAAATGCGTACTTACATTTCATGACCTTCGATCCAAGAAAGTACAAAACCATTTCGAGGTCAGACACCAGACATCCTCATGAAGAAATAACACTCCATTATTCCACTAGTAACAAAGAGAAAATTATGTTTCATCTACTGAAGACTACGTTGTTCTCCATTCCATCATTCAGTATTTTTTGTATCACTATGTCGTTAGACTTTTCCTGTGTTCGAACACGATCACATATCCGACTGGCAAGGTGATCGACCGTTGGGGGCGCTGTTTCAAAACAAGATGGCGGCAAAGAGTGTGTAGTTTGTTTACAAAATTTCTTGAGATTTGCATACATTTTCTTCTTGATATTTCATCGTGTTATTTGTGTTTATTGTTGAACTTTTTACTGAAATCATAATATTTTTTGTTGGATCATACTGTTTCATCGTGATGTGAGGAAAATAACTGTTACCTACTGACTGAATCGTGGACCAAATAGTCTGAGCTTTCTTCAAACCAGTGCATTTCTGTGGGACAGCTTTATGGGATATCAAAAATCACAAGCATATCCACTAGCATCAGAAGCTGATATATTCACCATCATACCTCTATAACTCCACTCTTCAAGCAAAAGGATCCTACAGACCACAAATGGTGATACCAGGAGTGAAGTTTTTCAACAGTGAACAGCCTTCTGTGAACATATTGAAAACCATCCCTAAACAATGTGTTAACCTATTCGACTATTTTGTGCTAAATATTATAGCCATCAGAATCACAACTAGCTCTAATGAGTCTAAACCAAGAAATAATTTAACACCAAAGACATCCTGACATTACTGTGGATTTAATGGTAGATACAACTATCAATGGCCTATCTTCAACAATATTACTTCCAAGCTTTGAGGATTGTTTACAGTGCAACTCCCATACCTCATATATTATGGTGCTCCAATTGCAATAACAGCAAATTGTCATGATCCTATGTGCCATGTTTGTGAATTGTATCCATATAACACACTTTTCATAATGTTAATATTCCTAATATACTTAGAGTTGAGGTAGGTGGCATCCTAGACTGAGTTTTCTTCTTGGAATTCATTTAATATCTTGTAAAGCTAGTTTTTTTCACCATATAGATGGAATTCCACCACATAAAACATTGATAAAATGACCTAGGATTTCAATCTGTATAGTTCATTATGTTTTGTATATTTTGGAACTGAAATAATAATAATTTTTGAAAATGAAAGTACATTGACATAATGTGTTTTACTGTACTTATGCCACTCCAAAGAAGTCAAGAAAGAAGTACCTACAAATAGAAGGATCTTCCAGTATACTCCTTCCCTCAGTGCTCATGTATACTGTTTTTCCCTGAATTATTATACAAGATACCTTCATAAAAATTTACAATTATAAATGAATTTGAAATCCAGGACTTTCATATATATGTAGAAATAAATTAACAATGAGCAAAAGTAAGTATCTACCTGGTAGGTACCTATTTTAAAAGGAATCAGTAAAGATTATAAAGTGAAACTTTGAAATTGCATAAAAAAAGAATGTGTTGATTGAGGTAGTTGTGGAATTGAAATATGAATTTTGAAAACCTACAATAAAACATAACAAAAAGAAAAGAGTAGAACTTTTACTTATGAATAAATACAGTTTAATAATAACATACAAGCAGTAAAATTATGAATACATTATTCCAAGATACAATTTGAAATGTCATGGATATGTTCAAGTACCCAAATAATCAGTGATATCTCCTTAAAAACTTGAATTCAACTTCAAGGAATCTGGGTTTTGGTTTCAATGTGTGTAACTATTTGCATTCAATTGCAAGATACCCTGGATGGTAACTCCTCCCCTGCTGAAAAATTGAAGAAATGTTAGTACCTACTATAAACAAACCATATCTATTAGCTATATTACACAATCTAAATATTCAAATAGAAATAGATTGTGTCACTTCAATGTATGTTCAATGATTCAATTCAAGCTATGAAGTAAGCTACCTACAATGACCTGCTTGTACCAGGGTTATTATATATCTATAAAATATGCTACTGTTTTTGCTCATATGAATGTAATTGGGAGCTGTATTTTGTATTTTAACTCAATCATTTTGGAAGTACATGCAATCTGCATTGGCTATTTTACTACAAAGATAATACTACAAAATAGGAATCTATGGAGGCCTAGGCAGGATATGTCATGAACAAGATTTTATATGAGTCAAGCATTACAAATAAAACCATGAACTACCCACCTGCACATGTTCATAATGTCTTTTTTCTTGCCCAGCTTTGTGTATTGCAGTTCGAAGGTAAAGGCATTGAATTTGCTTCTTTATGAAAATATTTGAAAGAAAAACAACCATAAGTATTTTTCCAAGTCCTGGAGACATTTCCCCATAAACAAAATAGGTATGAACTGTTGATCACTTCAATCATGTTTTCTCTCAGATAGGCACTGCAAATAAGAGTTATTCATCAGAGATAAATATATCCATGAATCACAAATTTACCTTATTTTTTATCATTATTGGACCAATGAAGTGAAGAAAGATAGGAAGTTTTTGTTGGAGCTGCATACATCCACTTTTCAAACTCAACGTTTATCCATTTTTTCCATTCAACTGAACATTATAGGTCCTACCTTTTCCATTGGAACCTTCTACTAGTTCAACCAGCAACCAAACACAGTTGATTTCGCGTATTATCCACAAAACTTAAACACCAGAGATTTGTTGATACTAATTTATAATATAGAATTGATTAGGCAATTGATATAAAGTTCATGTCTTGTACTCAAGAGAAGCAAGAAGAGAAAATTAACGTAATTTGTTGAATGGTATTCATAAAATATGAAACCCACTGAACACAATAACAAACATGACCTTGAATTACGTCCTAAACTGGTTCAAATTTGCCCACCAGGTGCCGTATCGGAATCGTCACCTTGCCAATACATACAACGTTGATTCTTCGGAGAAGAATTCCAACTTTCAATTTCATTCAATTAATCGTCGAAAAAATGCATCATTCTGAATGAATATTCATAACACGATTATCAAAGCTCTGAATTTGAAAATTCCGAAAACGTTTCGAGAAAGCATTAATCAAGAGGATACAGGTGAGAAAAAAAATTTAAAAAAATTATCTGCTCAAACGGTAAGGTGACCACCACGATGCAATTTTACACCCATTCAATTATCACCTTGTAGCAATGTTATCTGAAATTACAGAAGTTTCATATTGCCACAACAAACTGTCAAGAGAATGGGCTAATCATCGGTGAAAACCGATTTCAAATTGGTGAGGAAATTCGTGAGTGTCAAGTAATGCTCATCTATTAGACTGGCACTGATACCAGTTTTTCATGTTTACCAAACCAATAATTTCGTTTCTTCATTTTTTAAAATCGGATAAAAAAAACTTCGAATTTGCTTTTTATGAGACCTGATGTATACAAACTGATGGGTTATATTACCTAATTCATTGTCTCATTTTGGGGCCAACAGATCATATTATAAATAAGTGTCCCAACTTATTATTTCTTCAGATACACATTCAACGAAGATGAAAATATTAATTAGTTTGTTTTTTGATCATATCCCTCATAGTAGGAGAGCCGCGATTTGTACATACGAAGCGGTGTTGGATAGAGAATCGAAAGGCCCTCAGGCCTCAAAACAAGGTACCACGTGACCCCTCTTCATATTTGAAAAAAAAAAAGTTGATGGTGCCCACTTGACACTAGGTCACGTGACCAAAACCATTTTCATACCAAAGAGGTACCTTTTCACCTGAATTTTACTCGACCTCGCTAGCTTGTTCCGTTCAAAGGTTAAAAGGAGGGGGGGGAGGATTTTTTTCGTCCTCACTGTATACTGTATACAACATTGGACTATCAATTGTATAAGCTTCATTATAGGAAAATTCAGTCTGTTCAGTGACTGACGAATTCTCAAATTTTTTTCATACAATAAGAAAATTCCTATCGCCATAAAATATGTCCTTTGAACAAAATTTTATCCTCCTAACAGCATCTTCTAGTTCAGTCAGACATGCATTTAAATTAGGTTTTTGACTTGAAATCAGCCTAAGAATGTCCCATTAAAATGAGGTACCTATACTATATTTAATCAATTTATCAACTGAGAATGATCTAAAAGTAATTGCTTTCAACCTACAGACAGTAATGAACTCATTGATTCAAAAAGGATAATGAATTAAGTATGCACTAAATAATTTATAGGTGGGCAGAAGAAAAATATCTTCAACTTTAATGTCTTGACTTGAATTTTTGTTCTTCTTCAAAGGAGATCAAAGCTGACAGACTTTATGAATTCTTCTTCTTCTTCACTATATGAGTACTGTTATGTTGAAATATCTCAATATGTTTTGTCATGTTTTGTTCACTATTTGTAATTTCAATTATACCAACATTCGATAATTAACAGTCTGATCATTCATGTCATTCCTACTAGAAAATTAATTATACTTTACATATATTTATTTGTATTAGTGGAATATGTCAATTGAACTATCATTTACGACCTCCAAATTTTCTTGTACTACCATTAATAATAAGAGTATAGGGGTGAGCCCACAGAACTCAAATAAAAATCACCTATAGTCAACTTGAAAACATTATTATACATAATAATTATAATAGTAGGTAATTGAACAAATAATTTCTATCAAATATGTTGAGTGCAATTCATGTTTAGAAGAATGACGAAGGAACAACACAATCTTAGTTAATATTGTTTTCCTAGTATTGCTTCAAAAATGTGACTGCAATTTCCTAAATATATATAAAATACTGTAACTTGGAGTAGTTTTCAGTAAAACGTGAATTTCTATCAGTAGAAATAGCATATTTTTAATTCCCTAGGACGTTTTGAATGAATAAAATACCATGACTGAATAACCTTATTGAGAATTATTTTGATCTGAAAATATGACATTGATGGAAAAAATTGTCAAATCACCTTTTGAAAATGCACACAACCAATATTTAAATCAATTTAAATTTACAAATCAGGCACTTACCTTTACGGCGAAACACTTTGTCACGAGTTTTATCCATGTTACGATTTTTTTTATGAAAGAAAATACTAAATTTAAAGGTTGTTTATAATAAACAAATTCACTCTCATGGCAACCTTAGATCAGATCAGAGCTCAGATCAGAAGAAGGATAGACTGAGACTAAATTGCTAGCTCAAACAATAAAAATCAAGTAAATAACAACCTACTTAAAAAAAAACTCCCATCATTGTTCAATCTATGTTTCAGTTGCAAGAATGGTTGGTGAGCATTGGTTTATTTTCTTCAACTGAAAACTGTTCAAAAATTTTCAGATTTTTTTTTAATGTCTATATAATCTATATAATTTACTTCAATTTTTCAGAAATATATCTGTATTTCAAATCAGGAGGTAGATTCATGAATTCATTCCAAATGACCTGAAATAAAGAATACTTGATCTTCAATTTTCACTCCAAATTATCAAAATACTCACAAATACAGGTTTGTACCCTATTTTCTCCAACTGTCTTCTCTTCATCAACATATTGCCTAACAGATTACTGGAATCCCTAACTGTATTATTCCATCCTACAACTACAATAGCAAACCATTCCAAGCTACTATCTTCACAAGGAAACATCACATCTCCAAGAACATAATTCTCAAAGCCATTTGGTTCTACAAATTTTCCAGTCTCTTTGTTTTTACAAACAATTATATCTGAAATGATTATTATGATGATATTAGGCAAAAGAAGACCACCAACAAAATGTTACCTGATCTTGAAAAATGTGGCAGTACATGACCAACATAAAATAAGTTACTATCTTTCACAATGAGCTTCACAGTGTCTATGGTGTCCAATACCAGTTTATCTGATCTAGTGATTTTCTTCCACTGGTCATAAGAGGGGGTGTACTCAGCCAACCATTTGGCCCCCTTGTATTTGAGTCTGGGGGGCAACCTGTTTCCATTGTACTCAGGGCATTCTATAGTTATGGAGCAATCTAGTGAGAGCAGCTCCCTGGGCAACATTTTGCTACTCTTCCCATAAGTCTGTTCTATGTGATCCACATCCAGAATCCTATCCATGAGTTCATAAGAATAAATGTTGCATAGACTCAAGTAGTTCAGAGCACAGACTAGGCATCTTGGGTAGGCTGAAAGTTCAGCTAGCCTAGATTGTTTGTGCAGCTCCAGATAGGAAGCTTGAAAAATGTCTGGGTTGGTTTTTGGATCATAATTGAACATGGATAGTACATTCAGAATCCTTTCAATGTCCTTCAACCTAATTTTATCTTCATTTGTGATATCTAGTATGAGTTTTTCACATGATTTTTGTAATGAGTTTTTGTGAATAACTTGGAGACCTGTGTTCATTAACATTATATGAAGACAACACAAATTAGACAATCTTTCAACTTCAAATGATAACCTATCTAACATCTCATGGATTTCCTTCACTAATTTGGTAGGTTTTGAATATCTTACAACCTGAAAACTAACAATTGGCATTTTTTTTTCAAACAGACATAAATACAAACTTTTAAGATAGCTGTGAGAGCAATTTCATGTATGTCTTTGCTGTCCTCTGTAACTTTCTGGACCATAGCTTCAATTATCCCCAATATTTTTATTCTGGTTTTAGTTTTAAAATAACCCATTGAAACAATAGCCATTTCATCAACATTCATATTCCTTATCTGTTTTTCTATAGCATATTCATACTCAAAATCAACTGCTCTTCTTCTACAAACATTGAAATAGAAGAGCACATTTACCAATTGATCTTTACTCAAATTCTCTGCCTTCTTACTCAGCCTGTCTATCAATATAAAGATGAAATCACAAAGTTTGCCTAGAAAAATGTATTCAATGATATTCCATTATCATGATCAAACTGTCTTTCTCACCTAAATTCATTTTATACCAGATATTGGCAACAATGAAACATTTGTCTATATCCCAGTTCACCATTTTCCAGCAACAGATATCATCTAGACAACTCCAAATGTCATGAAAATTATGAGCATCAAAGTTTTCACACAGGGGGTATTCAGATATACAGCCTAGAAGACTAATAAGATTCTCATCAGAGAGTTTTTCACAATTGTCCATCAAACCATCCACCAACTTGTTGAAGCGCATATCGGAAAGAGGAATATTATTGACAATGCAGTACTTTCTCACATTTTCAAACGCATTCATGATGTCTTCTGCTGCACATTCTCTCCAATTTCGGTCAAGAAGATTGTTAAATGCTTGTAGAGTGAAAACTTCTTCACTTACCTTATATTGCAATTTATTCAAGTTATGTTTTGTTATAACATTAAATGCAAAGGAATTTTCATGGGTTGCGAATAATTTGCTAGTTTTCATATCACTTGAAGTCCTGCTTGTAGTATGGAAATCATTTGAAACTTTTAGGTTAGCCCGCGGTGATTTCACTTCAGCTAGGAACTTTCTTGGTGCACAATATGATGGATAAAGTTGATCGTAGTTTTTGAATAAACTCATGTTTTTGTGTTTCATATTAGTCACAAGTTGTTTGAACATGTTTTCAAACAATTAGATATTTGTAAATGAAAAAACAACAAATAAAATGAAGTTACATTGGAGATGGAGGCATTGGAGTCATTGGAGCTACTGGTACAGTGTCAAATGTCTTTTGTGTACATAATGATTAGATTCGTCTGAACTACATAAATGTCATCTTCTTCTTGAAACCGACTCACCCATAGTCCATAGCTATAGTTGAAATGTTGGGATTCATATTGACCAAACTTTACTAACATTATTCATTGATTTTATAATGCGATGGTTCAAGTTTCAGGAACTCACAAAAACATGCTTCAAAACGATTATATTAAATAAGAACTGAAATAATGAATTTATAAAACTTAATTGAGTTTTTTTCTACCTTGAACTAAATGCCTTGAACGAGAGAAAGTTCTCTCCTCTTCCATCTTTATCTTCAATGATACCAACCTGACCGCAATAAATATTTCCTTATCTAGCCTCTAGTCTGCGCCACTGCACAAACAAAAAACAAATGTGAACCAATGAAAACAAAGTAAACATGCTGTTTTGACAGCTTTCAAGAACCCCGATAGGTGGCGTACGCTTATTTTGTATCGTGAATAATATTATTTCCTTCTGAACTGACATATTTTACTTGGACTGAACTGAATCAGCTAACATGCATTCTAACTAATCAAATTCTTTTTCTAGTGAGATATTCAGTTAGTTCAGATTATAATGATTTGATGTCTATATGTCATAATTGTCATTGACTGATAGCCTTTCAAATTTTTGAAATGAAATCACAGATATCATGTACTTATTTTGACATCATTTCTTAATATCATTAATTTGACTCTGTTGAATTAAAAATTAATTCAGTGGACTAACTAGGTGTTAGACAAAGAAAGATTTATCGGACCTCTCTATATTTGCGACCACATTGACATTGGTAGCACTGAAGAGAAAAATGAAAAAGGAGAGAACTTTCCTCTCTCTTGTTCAAGGTAGAAAATAGCTCAAAGAATCATAAAAATAACCAAAACTCTCTGAAAACAACTAGGTAATATTACAATTGCAAACACTTAATCATTCCACTTCTTAAATTCCATGCCATCTGGAGGTTTTACATCCACCTTCTGTTTGGATATTTCATTCCAATTTGTACTCAGTACTGTACCACCACTTTCCATCTGTAACAGAAAAAGGAATTATAAAATACAAATCAGCACCTAAATATCATTTGGAATATCTGAAAAACTTACATAACTCTTGTTCATTGCCATTTTAACCTCATCACTACCCTTCCCATAAATTTCTTGAAATAATTTATTAACTGCTTCCTCTCCTTCAGGTTTCTCTTGAGCTTCCTGCTGTATTATCTCTTTTTCAATTAGAGACCAATCTTTGCCTTTTTTTGAAGTGGGATAAGATGGAGGTTTATCAAATTGAGGACCAGGTACTAAAATTGACAGAATAGTATAACATACATCTGCTTGAATGGTCAAACAGGTGTTTTACCAGTTTGTATAGCTTCTATATTCTCCTCTTTTGGGGGAGCCTCAAGTGTTTTCCATGTGATCCCATCAACTTTCAAGAGGTTCACTTCTATCTAGCAATGAGAAAAAAATATTAGGTAGTTATTTTCAGAGATATTTTCATCAGTCAACAGAACAGAACTTACTTTGGCTGCTGATAACCTGTAGTCAGATTTGTCACTTTGTATTTTATGTAGCAGATTGATGGTAAGTTCAAAGAATTCATAACTTGGATGGGAAATAGACACTGTCACTTTGTCATCCTCAATTTTCACTTTGAAATACTCTGCTTTTATACTTTTCACCAATACACCAATACATACCATCCTATCTGTTTGGTACCAGTTATGGCTGACACTCAGGGTGCCCTAAAATTATACAATACTATGTATTATTATGCTTAAAATATTACAATTCTTTAAATCTGGATGTATATCGAAGAACCTTTGGTAGGATAATACACTATGCACTGTTTCACCACTAACCAAACCGATTTCTTCTGCTTCCACATGTATTTTGTTAACTATGTTAGCATCTTCAGGAGCAGAGAAACTGTTGCAATCTTCCCCTGAAGATGCTAACATAGTTAGCCAAACACGCGTGGAGGCTTAACAAATCGGTATGGTCTGTGGTAAAACAGTGCCTAGTATATCTGGATAGTGGATATATTAAAAAATATATATTATACCTTCTTGATTGGCCTCCCAAGACTTTCATCAATGCTTTCAGGAGTGGACATAATTCAGGTCTTTTTTCTTTTTTTCCTTGAATGTTTGCTATTTTTATCCAGAAATTCCAGATCCAGAATCCAAATAATAAATAATAATATTGACAAGATCAGCAGACAACTAAAAAAATGTCAATAGTGTCAATTGAGGTGTCAATAATCTGTCAATGAAGCTTCCATTGGTGGAGGGGTAAATATTCATATACACCATAGACAAACCAAAAATAAATATACACTCAGTAGAGAAACATTCCACCTTCCTGTCCTAGTACTAGATTTGGTACTAATCGAAGATCATCACCAAAGAACTTTTTGATGAAATCTAGAACTAAATAAGTTTTATGATCATCTGGTTCAAGGATTATAAACTCTATACTCTCCTTGCATCTGGTTCACATTGTTCGCCAAGTGGATGAAAATCAATTGTTCCAGTATATTTTTTTCATGAGTTTGATACATTTCTTCCATTTTATATAAATATTTACATCACTTTGATCAATTGAATTCAATTTTTCATTTGGATATTTCAATATGGTGAAATTATTCCACTCTTATCCGGTTTTTGGCGGCTTAAATTTGTGAATAAAAACTATGCAAGCACCTCGGGAGCGGAAAATTTGAAGAAATTAGAAATTCAGTACTAACTTCCTTGTTCTAGTACCTTTACGAACTGTGATCTACTACAATATATTTTCGGTCAAGAACAGCCCCAATTCACTCTCCAATCCCAATCTCCCCTCCCCTCCCATTCCCATAGAAAATTAGAAAAGGAAACTCATGACTCAGGTCAGGAGGGGAGAGGAACAGAAACCTGGCCAACCTGGGCAAAGAATATAGGTTGACTCTGGAGCACCACAGATTAACAAACCTTGGGAACCCTTGGGTTGGAGTTGCAATCAAAACCACCTGGGGATGACCACTGACCACGTTCAGTTCTCAGTTCAGTGAGTGGTGACTGGTGAGTGAGTCAACAAAGTATTGAAAGGTACCAGACCCCCACGGCCTACAGAGCAAAAAACCATATTCCAGTGTAGAAATGTATATGTACCTCCAATTTTATCTATAAGGTAAATTAAACACGTACGTGAGTAGTACTGTAGTACTACACAGTTTGATATTGAATGGTCAGTAAAAAAGTTCATTGGGTATAGGTACTTGACTTTTTGAATTCTGTTGTTCTGTATCTAATTCATTTTAGCATATAAATGTAAGTACCTCCTAACCACTTATTTCATTTCAATTATGATGAATTGGGATTTCCCTCAATTCCTAGTAAAATATTTGTACTCATGTAGGTTATAGGTTACAGAATATCTGGTCATAGTCAGTTATTATGACTCATTTTTATCAAACGCCCTGTTTTTTGTTATCTATATCAGGCCCTTCTGCAACTAACTGCACTTATCTATATCAATGAATTCTCATTAATTCTGTTTCTTCCAGGATTCAACCTTTCCAGAATCAGGTGAATTTTTGTTTCATTATATACATTCCAAAAATAATCCTATAGCCAAGAACAGCAAACTCTCACACACATATTTTATATTTTATCTGTGCATTTGCACTTCATGACTTTTAAGTAGATTACTAGTTATGTCTAATAGAATTTGAAGGTTAAATCCATTACAAAAATGTATTTTATTACTTTATTTACATCTGTTAACTTTATCAATCAATTTTAAGCTTCAGGTCAAACTAGACTGCAAAAATGAACGACTTAGACAGACAACTGGCAGAGTTAGCCCTCATGAACAAAACAGAATTGAAGCCCAGCCCTTCAACTGGTACTCTTGGGAAGAAAGTGGGGCCTGCAGTACCCCCAAAGCCCAAAAAGACCCAACCACAGGTAATACACTCCAATCAAACATTAGCTTTAGCATTTTGGAAAAAAAAAACTTTCATACTTGCAGATACCACAGTCCTATCCCTTGAAACAGACTGTAGAACCAAGTTATGCTTCCCGTTTGCAAACTAATCAGTTTTACTCTAATGTTCCTTCACCTAGTGCTCAATCACACTATTCCAACACTCCAACATTGCCAATGAATGCTAAGTATCATCCACAGCAACCATTAGAAAATAATTATGTCAATTTGGGCATTGATTGTGATCAAAGTAGCCAGTATTCCAATTTGCCTAGAAGTGTGTCGGCCATGAGTAATGTTTCCAATTTATCCAGGCAAGGTATGTGAAGAAAAACTTGTTGAAATACATCTATTTTTGGAAGTTGATAAATAACTGGTTCTTGATGTGTTATGATGTTATGCATTGGAATGCAATGAATTAGTGGGATTGCATTCATTATTTTGTAATAAAACATCAAGATAAATTTGTCATACATTTTCTGATTTGTTCTTCATAGGAATTTGGAACATTTATGTTGATATAATGATATTTTGCTAACAGTTTTATTTGGTGATGATTGTAATAACAAATAACATGCTTTGATATACTTAACAAGTTTTTTGTTGATATTGAAATATGCACATAATTAGAATAAACTTTGGTTTCATCACCAAAACCTGAATTTTTCTCAAGTTCATTATTCAGACATGAAACTATTAACTATTTCCTATTGAAAAGAAGCATAGGCTTTACATTCATTTTTGGCAATTGGTTTAGTAGTTTTTGCCAGTGGTGGTCTTTATGGTTTTAATCACTATTATTCAATTCAATATAATCATTCATTATTTTATTAAAAAGAACAGATAATTTCCACCTAATCATATATCTTCACTAATAATAATGGGCCTCTCCAGTCATTTCTAGAAAAAGAAGATCTCAAAATAAATGACTCTGGAATACCTTTAAATAATTTTTTTAAGTTTTTTTCCAACAATTCATCCCAGAATTCATCATTGAGATATCATATAGGCAATGCGCCATAATATAGAAATAGTACATATATGATAAAATGCATAATGGACTTGACAATGTTGCCAATTTGGACAGAAAGATATGTTGTCACATGTTCATTTCTCGATTTTTTTTATTATAGAAATTAATGCAGATGCTGTTAGATAACTCAACTAAAACTACTTACCTGAAAATTCGTGGTACTGAAAAATTGCATTGCATAATAATTAGTTAGATGGTTGATTTCTGTTTTAGGATTATTCAGAATCATATAATTTCATTTTGTATTGAATCACAGTGCAAATATTCATGACATTCACTCATTCAGGTTCAAATCCTTTCCAGTAAATTTCCAGTTTTGGTACTCAGTAGTACTTTAGTACTCACCTTTATATGTACCTTCCTACCATAGGGAAAGAAACAAATTCTGAATCAATCAATACAAAATTGCTTACTTGGTTTTATTTTAATTGATTTCAGTACAAGAATCACTGCCTTCTTGTCAATAATTTTGAGAAATGAGAAGTTATGCAGGGAATGAGGTATTTTTGACTTGGCAACATTGTGTTAGCCAGTTGCTTCATCTCTTTCTCTTTTTTAGATATAGTTGCCAGATTAGCAATTACATTTTCCGGGAATGAGCAGGTACTTGAGATATAGTATCACTGTTTAATTTGTTGATTATAACAATTACTCAATGAAATTGCAACATCATAATAAAAACCAAACTATACAGTGTGTCCCGCTTTTCATGAATACACCTTGATATCTCTTTAAATTTTAGTGGTGATTGTATGTGAGAACAATGAAGTATTTAGCAGAGGGAACAGTTTGATTCACCATGGGCGTGCAATGTTGATGGGTTCAAAAACGGCGATTATTCGGAAAAACGATATTAGATCATAATCAGCATCCCCAAAAACCCCTCAATTCATATTTTCAATTTTCGATTTCACACCAAATGGCCTAAAAATATATAGGGTGTTCTATTTGAAAAACTCGAGAAAAATCACTTCCAAAAGTTCTGAATTGAAAAATCATTTTTAGCCACCCTGTATAATTTGAGGGCTTGAAAATTCTACAGAAATATCACGCATCTTTCCATCAAATGATAGTATGATTATTTTCTCTTTAATTTCATAATTGTGACCACTGTGATTTTTTTGCGTATGCACCTGCAGATGACATTATTTTGACAAAAAAATTGATAACTTTGAAATGATTGAGATATAGTCAACAATATCATAGGAGTTGTTGGAGGTCACAGGGATGCCTCAAAAAATGTGCTAACATACAGGGCATTCCATTTTAAAAAAGTGATCCTGACCCTCTAGATTTTTTCCCGTGCCCCATGTATATGCGGCAATAATCTCTAGTTATGGACCTTGTTGTCTCATTCACATTCGTTTTCGAATCGAGTTTCTAGCTATCATAGAATAGTGAATTTGGCGCCCTGAATAGTGAATTTGGCGCCCTGATTCCGAATCCGAAGTGATTTTCAACGTATTTTGACTCCTAATATCATTTTCCGGAAATTGGCGAGCAGTGTACCTATAGCACTGAAGATGACCCCACTTGGTCATAGAATGCATTTTTGGTATATCTCTCGCTCCGCAATTGAGGGGAAATTGGCTGTCGATGAATTTTCTCGAATTTTGGATATATCGTAGAACTCGTGATGCTGATCATATGTCCCAATTATCAACGCTCTAAAATAAATAGTTTGGATTATACAGGGTGCTGAAGTTGACTTTTTCAAAATTTCGAATGGCCATTGTGAAGTTTCCTTTTTGAATACCGAAATCAAATCGCCTACGTTTTGTTTGTCCATGTGGCCGGTGAAAATCCACTATAGACATTTCAATGATATCTGCACGTACTCACGATATACAGAGTTGGTCCAAAAATAGCAAGTGTCCCAATTATTTCCGAAAAAGTGAGCGGTTGAAACCAATTCATATTTGGACATTTCGTAGTATACTAATATCAACATCGATTCATGATAATTGCATTTCTTGAATCAGACTACTTGTTATACAGAAGATGGTCAAGTTTCCATGAAACCGCACCCGTCATGATATTCATAACCATCGAATGAATGGAATCCCGTAAAACTTGAAAGTAGAAGTGGAGTTTTCTTGAAGTTGACGTACTTAGGATTTCTGTCTTGTTGCTCAATTGCTCTGGAAATCAACTCCCCAAAAAACGATATTTGTGATGCGCAACGAGCCCTACAGCTTGTGATGGAATACCCAATTCTGTGAGGAGACTTCATACGCCATTATTTGACAAACCCAAACGCTCCTTCGAAGATTTCTCTGTTTATGCAGAAAATTATTCCTTTCGAACATTCGATTAAAAATATCAGTATAATATCATCAAATCGTGGTTTCATTGATCATGACAGAGTTGATCTTGGTTAATTTTCAATTTGAAGATGGAGATTAAGCACCTCAAATATTCATCGTGAGTACGTGCAGATATCTCTATAGTGGATTTTCACCGGCCACATGGACAAACAAAACGTAGGCGATTTGATTTCGGTATTCAAAAACGAAACTTCACAATGGCCATTCGAAATTTTGAAATAGTCAACTTCAGCACCCTGTATAATCCAAACTATTGATTTTAGAGCGTTGATAATTGGGACATCTGATCAGCATCACGAGTTCTACGATATTATCCAAAATTCGAGAAAATTCACCGAAAGCCATTTCCCCCCCTATTGCGGTGCGGGGTCCTTTCAGGATACTTACCCAACGATTACGTAAGATACATTAGAAATGGGTCACACTGTATAAACACATGCATAGACTTGATAAATCATCATATTTAGTAACTGAGCTGGCGTGATTTTTCAGAGCCGTGCAGATTAAGCAAAAAATTCGTAATGTGATATCACTTCGACTCTCTTGTTGGTTAAAATATATTACATAATTTCCCACATAACAATAGTGATTCAACATGAAAAAATTGAGCAATGATTTTATTAAAGGAAATTATGGATCAGCTTCCTCTCAGGTTCCTAGTGAATATACCCCTAAGCAGTGCTCATCACCAAGGCAAAATATGGTACCAAAGGGGTATGTCAAGCCAGACCATGTGACATATAGCAATATTCAGGTATTGATACATTCTAAATTGGACCCCGCACTTTCCTTATGGAAAATGGCTTTTGGTTGAATGGGCTTATATCACAAGAAATTTTTATTTCATAATTCGATAGAACTCACCCAAACTAGCTCACCACTGCAAACCGTTTCTTGCTGTGAGCTCCCTACGTTTTATAAAAAATTATTGAAATCCCCGATTTTTCGGACCTCTGAAAACGAGGCGATGATGTGACGTCAAAACCCTGATACTGAAACAAGACTATTCCAGACAGAGATGAATGATACATGATTTCTGACAGAGTGAATTAGTGCGAGATCACAGTTGAAAGAATTAATATATCAGTTGCCTCAGTCTCCGTCGGGCGTTTGGTATTTTCTTTTAACTATGGCGAGATGAGGTTTCTACGTCATAAGAGGGTCCGTTTTCAGAAGGTACTGTCCAAAAATAAAACATTCCAGTTAATTTTTCGATCGAATTATGTCGTCAATCATTATTTATGTATAAAAGGGTCATTATAAACATGGTTTGAGTTGAAAGTTCCAATAAGTTGTACACGCCCATTCCCTGAATTTTTGGTATGATGTAGATTTTGACTTCCTAAGCAAAAGTATTCATGGGCACAAAGAAATCGGCTGACTAGTTTTCGAGATACAGGGTGTCAAAGATGAAAAATGAAGCTTTCTGTTCAGAATTTTTAACAACTCCGAGAATTGACAAAACGCCCATTTATTCATGGAATAACATGCCTGAATGATGGTACAATTGATCTGGATCTTGTATCCAATATAATTTTACGTTTTGGGCTCTACAACAGGGTGAACAAAGAAAAATCCAATTCGATTAATTTTAAACCAACCAGGGTACGTTCTTCCATGAAATTCAAGAAAATTAACCGATTCTTTTTCGAGATACAGGGCATTCATTGAAAATACCGCATTTTTTTCAAGAAACTTGGACCGTATCTTTTTACTCATCCTATATATATGAAATGAGTATGCGACGTTCTCAACATTAAAGAATGTTTGATACATATATGGTATGCTCTCCCCTTTCCGATACAAAAAGCTAGGGATTGACGTACCCTTATTTTCGAACCACCCTGTATATAAAAAAAAATTAGTAAACTCCGATCGAGACTTAGGAAGTTCGTCCAGGCTCAATTGAATCTTTAATTCTCATGAAAGAACTTACCCTGGTTGGTTTATAATTAATCGAATTGGATTTTTCTTTGTTCACCCTGTTGTAGAGCCCAAAACGTAAAATTATATTGGATACAAGATCCAGATCAATTGTACCATCATTCAGGCATGTTATTCCATGAATAAATGGGCGTTTCGTCAATTCTCGGAGTTGTTAAAAATTCTGAGCAGAAATCTTCACTTTTCATCTTTGACACCCTGTATCACTAGTCAGCAGATTTCTTTGTGCCCATGAACACTTTTGCTAAGGAATTCAAAATCTACATCATACCAAACATTCAGGAAATTCAACCGAAAGCCATTTTCCATGAGGAAAGCGCAGGGTTCTTTCTAGAAAATTGCTGTATTATTATTTTTATTATTTAATATTTCCATTTTCATTTGAGGTGGGACAACATAGGAATCAAGATGGGTTAATCTACAGTAATTTGATGCACCCCCCAAGAGAGGATGTTAACGTTTACGGCAATAGGCAGCCAAATAACAGTGCATATGCCAATGGGGGTGAGTTCACCAAAATTTATAAACCTCCATGGATTTGCAAAGAGATGGATTTTAGAATTTTATTTCTGAAATTCCTTTGTACAACTATCAATTTGAATGAAAAAAGAAAATTACTTGAATTTTTTTAATGACTACATCATTTTAGATGATTTACCTCCTCCTCCTCCCCCGCTTGATATGACTTCTGGTCTGGCAGATTATGCCCCCTGTACTGTCAACACTAATCTGCCTCCTCCTCCAGAAGATCTGTTGCCTCCCCCTTCCCCTGTTAGTTCCAGTTACAGTGAATTGAGGAGGGCAACCCAACCAGGGCAAGATTTTCATGGATACAGTATGGGATCCCAGGTAATGAAAAAATATAAATTGAAAGAAGTATATCAGTCATTTCTACATTTTACTTTGGAAGTTTTCATGGACATAGTTCCAATTTTTCTTGTTTATTTTATCCACATGAAATTTTTCAAATTTTTAAAACTGTTTATTGTGCTTGGGATTGAAGGTGATTATTTTTGGATATTTTTCAGATATTTTCACTAGGTCAACAGATTTTTGAATTTCTAACAATGAAAATGTTTATGCACCCTGTTCTGATTCTTTTGTTTCTATGTTCCATTTTTATAAGAGGTTGCCATATTTGGAGATATAGGAGAGATGTTTTCCATTATTTTCCTGTTGTTATCGATAGTTCAAAAGATATTTCAATTTTGTTCATCTCATTATGGTTTTAAAGAATGAAACATAGAGGGTTACTAGGCAAGCATCTAGGGGTCAAAAACTTTAAATGAATTATTTTTTTCTCAACATTTTGAAAAAAAAACAAATATATTGGAAAAAAATCAAACATATTTCAAAAAATCCAATATAGGTATTGGAAAAGAATCCAATATGTTGGAAAAAAACAATATGTTGAAAAAAATCCAATATGTTGGAAAAAAATCCAATATATTGGATCCTGAAATTTGCTGGAGCGAGAGATATACAAAAAATGCACTCTATGACCAAGTGGGGTCATCTTCAGTGATATACACTGCTCGCCAACAGCCATGGAACCACTCAAAATTCCGGAAAATGATGTTAGGAGTCAAAATAGGTCGAAAACCACTTCAGATTCGGAATCAGGTCGCCCAATTCATTAACTGTTCATATTTTTCCTGGAAAATTTTCACTTCTGAAAAATTAAATTTTGTCGCTATTTTCACGGAAGCACCCCCATATCTTACGTAATTGACTTCATCTTTGGACTTTCCCTTCTTCCTGTAAATTTCAGAACCCTACATCAATAATTACGTGAGATACTGGGGTGCTTCCATGAGAAGTGAGACAAAATTAAATTTTTTTGAACTGCAAATTTTCTGGGAAAACTATGAATAGTTAGTGAATTGGGCGTCCTGATTCCGAATCCGAAGTGATTTTCAACCTATTTAGACACTGTAGATACTGATGGAGTTACATCATAAACCAAGAGGACTTAACATCAAATTTGAAACAAATTTCAACTCTCCATTATCAGTTTCTACTTCGTGAATGCTTGTTTCATTGGTCATCTAATCTATTACAATGATACATCACAGCGCCTCAGAATACTACAGGATAATGCATATTACTATGCAATATTTCAAAGTTTTCTGAGGCTTCCATAATAGGGTGGAGAGTTTCAGATATTTTTTCTGATATCAGGAACATGTTACACCTACAATATACTTTGTTGAGCAGCTTATACCCTTCAAACGTCATTTCGTGTACCTTTATGAGGTTAATTCTGACATTCTCACCATCAGCGGAGTACAAAAAAGTAATGTTGTTCAATGATCAACATCACCTTCACTGCCGCTGGTGATGGCAGAAAATGTAAATCATTCCAATCATGTTTTGCTTTGCTTGTTTGCTAACTCACAAACAACACATTTCATTCTATTTCGAAGATTTGATGCTGTGATGAAATAAGTTATATTATTGCATCCAACTTGCAACATCTCTCTAGTTACTATAATGGGCGTGTATACCTTATTAGAACTTTTAACTCAAACCATGTTTATAATGATCCTTTTATACATAAATAATGATTGACGACATAATTCGATCGAAAAATTTACTGGAATGTTTTATATTTGGACATAAATAATAGTACCTTCTGAAAACGGACCCTCTTATGACGTAGAAACCTCATCTTGCCATAGTTAAAAGAAAATACCAAACGCCCGACGGAGACTGATCTCGCGCTACTTCACTCTGTCAGAAATCATGTATCATTCATCTCTGTCTGGAATAGTCTTGGTTCAGTATTAGGGTTTTGACGTCACATCATCGCCTCGTTTTCAGAGGTCCGAAAAATCGGAGATTTCAATAATTTTTTATAAAACGTAGGAAGCTCACAGCAAGAAACGGTTGGCGGTGGTGATCTAGTTTGGGTGAGTTCTATCGAATTATGAAATGAGAAATTGTTGTGATACAAGCCCATTTCATCAGAGATATGACGTCTTATGGGGCATCTAAAAAAATCTCCATCGTCCATTTCAATGTCTCATCGTGTTGATTCTCATGTCCCAATACATTGGATTTATTGTCCAATATATTGGATTTTTTTCCAACATATTGGATTTTTTCCCAACATTGGATGTTTTTTCAACATCGTTTTTTTTGTATTTTATGCCTAGACGCTTTCCTAGGTAGCGGAATGAGGCGAATTTGTTTCTATATTCATTCATTCATTTATTAATTTATTCACTTATTTTTTTGAATATTAATTACATAAATATATTTCATTTTGTACTTACCTCCTTGAGGTTAGTGACCTGAGTGTGGAAGAAATGGAAGATCTCATGTTGAAAATTGTGTTTAACAATATAAATACTTGAACTGAATACAAATAATCCATTCACATTATGATAAGAATATAAAATTAAAAGAAAGAAAAGAAATCTGTTTAAAAAACATCATCCACATTGTTTGTACTTTTTTCAAGTCTTACATTGTTGATTTTGTTTCTAGAATCATAACTATGATTCATTTCATTTGTTCTTACCTGATTCTTTTTAATAAAGATCATTGACGCCTTATAGAATAATTTCCTAAAATTCATCAGTAATATTTCAAATTGCCTCACTGTAAACATTTTCAATGTAAAGAGATGCTTACTATGATATAGTATTCTGTGTGGTATTGAGAAATAATTGGGCAAGAAATACGGATTGATGATTGCTTTCATAAAAAAAATAAGAAATACATATTGCTGAAGCTTTTGCTTTTTGATGTTTTTTGAACTTCCATTTCATGTTGAAAAGTTAATTTTAATTGTTTGTTTCAATTTAGTCAGCTTCATTGCCTACTTGCCCAGTTTTTTCTGAATGTCAAATTCATAATTTGATTCAATATGTAGACTTTTTCGCTTCTTGCTTGTCGCATAGTCTAACTATTTATATACTGCTTTTGTTTGTTCACTAATCAGTGCGAGGACTGCGATTCATTGTATGCATTTGGGGGAATGTCACAGGTAAATATTTCATCCTTTCTTTTTGTGCTTTAACAGCTTATTTATTGAATGATATACATAACATTAGAAACAATCTAATTTATACTAGAGTTCCTGAGTAAAAAAATTTGAACCAATTCGGCGGGCACTGACCGTTTATGAACGTACCTACATGACATTAAAATCATTTGAAAATTGAGTTTTTCAAAAATTAAAATGGCTAATTGTGTACTTGAAAACTGTGCAAGAATAGAAGAGATCATTTCATTTATTCCATTTCCTCAATGATAAACAACAGCTATAGAAATAGAAACAACATATAAAGCGGCCATTGTGGAAATTGAGTTCAGCTAGCAAAATTTGCGAAGTTCTCAATATTTGAATTTTTCGATTGAATTCGATGCATATTCGAAAGAATAATATCATTCCTAATTTCAATTTCAACATAATAGGTGCAGTTAAAAAGTGGAGATTTGATAGTGGAACATATAATTGAATTGAAAGAAAATGCGGACCCATCATTCTATCATCAAAAAGATTACCGAATACATTCTTTATCGAATTCTGAAAAATTTGTACAAGAAAAAATTCAAATAGGAAAACAAGATCAAATTAACTGTATTTTAGATCGCAAACAAGAAATCATCGAAGATTAAGAGAAGAAATATGCAAACATTCCAAATTCAATAATAGAGAATGATGAGAAATCAAAGAGAAGGATGAATAGTTGAAAAATACCTTGAAACAAAAAGACTCTGAAACGGGACTGCAAGTAACGAGAATCCACAGCTATTATAAGGAACTAATTTCAAATCATGAACTATCCTCATCAAAAATCTTTGTAAGACTGTGAGGAAACTGCAAATGCAAAAATGCAGGCAATTTTGAATCAAATCAAGACCCAAATTTATAGTTTCGGTATATATCTCAGCCAAAATCATACTCAACTTCAGTATTCTTTCAGAAGTAAATTTCAATCAAGAACTCAATATTATAAAACAGATTGCAGTCAACAACGCATACAACGTTAATCTGATAGACAGTATTCTTTCTAAAAAACTTCATAATAAAGCTATTCAAGAAGTTTATCCTATCATCAAAAATAATAATCAAAATTATAGAACTCAAACCTATTTCGGATCATCAACTGAAAAGTTAGCTTCATTTCTACATAAACAGGACTTGAGAGTAGCGTTTAGAACAAATAACACGTTGGGAAGGTTTTTCAAAAATAATAAAGAAAAAACTCCTAAATTCGAAAAATCAGGGGTATACAAACTCAACTGTGGATCTTGTTATAAGGTATATATCGGTCAGACAGGTCGTACGTTTAATCAGCGCATTCATGAACATGAGATGAATTTTTTGAAAAAGAAAACAAATTCAACATACGCCAACCATATATTAGGAGAAAACCATAGTTTTGATGATAATTTCGAAATTCTACATGTAGAAAATAAAGGAATGATACTCAATCATTTTGGATCATTATAAATCAACAAACTCAAAAATTTTGACATTTTACTTAACGATCTTAGACCTCAATAGTTCACCACTGTTGAATTCGTTTGATATTGATATCTATCTATATATCTATCATTGTCCAGTCCTCGTCCACCTACGAGTCCATCTACGAGCCGATCAATCCTCGCCCGCCCAGCCAGCTGTCCGCCCGCTCGAACTACTCGCTGTACGCGGGCAGCACGCTGACCGGCCCCAGCCAATCGGCGAGTCGCATAGGCATGGGCGGCACCCCGACCGCGGGCAGCCAATCGACCGGTCGCGTAGGTATGGGCGGCACAATGACCGCGGGCAGCCAATCGACCGGCCGCGTAGGCATGGGCGGCACGATGGCCGCGGGCAGCCAATCGGTGGGCCGTCTGGGGGACGACAAGGAGAGGGAGGTGGACAGTCTGACGGACATGTTGGTGCGGGGGATGGACGGGGGTGCGGGCGGGGCGGGGGAGGGGGACCAGGAGGACGTGTACGGGGTGTGCGTCAAGTGCGGGGAGAAGGTGAGTGGGTTTGTACAAGGTGATTGTTTATATTTTACTCAATAGCTATCTTAGTTAATATTGGCCTTACAGAAACGTTCTAATGGACATAAACTGGTATTTTTGTATGGAACACCGTGTATTTTATTTTTCTAAACGGTACAGCTCTTTCTCCTGATTTGAAATATACACTCACCGGCTAAAAAAACCGGCCACCAAAAAATTTAGTCAAGTTGTTCGCCTTGTAACTTCTTTAGTTCTTGTTGGATTTTGGTGAAATTTTGATCAAATCGTAGATTCATGTTCCGGAATGTTAACCTGAATATGAATTCCCAAAAAAGCTGATAGCTTGGTCATTATACAGGAAACAAGAGTTACTCATTTACCCATAACTTCTTAACGCCCTGTGGCTGAAGTGAGTGGTTGAACGCCTCTTCATTATGTCTTGGATTGAAGAGTATTCTTTTCCCATCACAATAGTTTTTGATTCACGTCGATATCTCATTTTTTAGAAAAGATACGAGGGTTTTAAGAAAGTATGGAGTTATTCAAGTTTTATTAACAATCATCAGAACGTACATGAACTTATCGATCGACAACTTAAAAAAAACATCTTAAAATCAATATGGCTTATTTCCACATTGTTTTCTTGGTATACTTTCCTTCGAGAATTGCTGTCGATTGACACTTCACTTCTACCGGCAGAAAAATGAATACATCTAGGAGATCTTCTTTTCATTTGTTTTTTGTAATTAAGGTTTTTTGTGTAGGTGTATCTACGTTTCTTCAATCACCACAATCACTGTCAATGTCAATTCTCTTATGCACGGTCATGAAGTTTCTCGTTTTATTTGTAAACGTCATTCTGTTGAACTCATAGTGGAAGGAGAATATGGTGTGCTCAACAGAAATCTCAAACTCGTCTTGTTCTGCGCATGACGTCAGCTGGGATATAACTGTCATTGATATTATTTGTTTTCGTGATTGATGTCTCGAACTTCAGATATTATATAAGTACTAAAATTGAATGAAATAATTTCGTAATGCCTACTTGTTTCGTTTCTGGTTATGGGAATTCCAACTAACATACAAAAGGCACAGATATTGAATTTTTCTGCTTTCCCAAGAATGGAGTCCTAATGAAACGATGGGAGCTTGCTGCTGACAGAATATAAAGTCAAATAATGGTACAAAACGGCAAAAATTGATACTCCTGTTGTCGATTTCGGAGCAGAAGCAAAGTCAACGTCGTTAACTGCTGAATTTTAATCTGTCAGAATCGACACAGTAGTGGATCATTCAGATGGGATTGGCAATGCATGATAATTCGTATGTAGTGGAAGAAGGAACAGTTCTCCGTGCTAATCATGTGATTTTGTGTGAGGCAAAAGTCTTCAACAAAAGGCACATTTTTGCACTTTGTCTACAAACTTCGGCGATGAAATCTTCCCCACATGAAGTAAAATTGAAGTTGGGGTCCAGATGAACTCCTGTTGAACAATGGATTTGTATTTGTTCATGCAAAGCAGGACAATCTGGGTATTGTAAACATGGTGTAGCTGTCCTTTTATATGTCAATTGATTTGCTCGTCATAATTAGTTTGAATTGTTTGAACTATCTCCAATTCTTCACCCGTTCTCTGTTCACTATACTAATAAAAATGTAATAATGTAAAAAAATTAACCAACTCAACCATCATCACTACCAACAGTGCCAACACTTTATGTCATTGACAAGTTTGACTACAGCTACAGCAAGCTGAATGCAATGTAGTCTATGCACTTTATCCATAGACAACAGTTTGTTTTCCCCCAGTTTGAAGTTCGTATTATGTAACCTAGATGTCGCCCACTTCGTGAATCTCGCGAATTGGTATCCCAGATGACGTCACATAATATGCGCGTAGGCACACCATCTTCTCCTTCCACTATGGTTGAACTAGAAACTTGATAATTTTGAAATTTGCTTATAGATCATTGGAGAAAATAGTGGTTGCACGGCAATGGACCAGCTTTATCATACGAAATGCTTCACCTGTCATCACTGTGCCATCAATTTACAAGGAAAGCCGTTTTATGCACTTGATGGAAATCCTTACTGTGAAGAAGATTACTTGGTAAATATTCTTCTTCAATTAACATTTTCTGTTTCATGATCTATGTTTGTCTAAATTCTACAGTATATTTCCTCAAATATTTTTGGTGATTTGTTTATAAAGATACCAGGAGATTTTTATAATACGTACACATATTGAACACATTAATAAAAATCATTCTATTGATTGGATATTACCTAGGTCTAGGTCATGAGATGAACCAGAAATTCCATCTTGAGAATTGAATGAAAAATCACAATAAAATGGAGTAGTGCACCACTTTAAGACAATTGAAATGGTTGAAATCTGCAAGGTTGTATCTTCCTCATATGAATTTAAATTTTTATTGAATAAAAATAAACTACCAACTGGTTTCTTTGTTTTTCATAGCTAACTCGATAATTTTGACTCAATTTGGATCAACCTTGAGTGATATCTTCACACATTCCACACATAAATTTAATTATATATGATATATATTTGCTACAGAAACACAGAATTTACAAGTGATGACTTTTGTTGTGCTATAGTTCCGAAAAATGAGTCAATAATACCGTCTCCGAGAAAGAACTGCAAGTCCTTTTATCTTCCATTCGACTTCGCCGTTACGTATATTACTAAACAACCACTAAATTCGCAATTTTTTTAAATCAAATCACAGAATTAGCCTGACAGAAGTGACATCAGCTATTTGATTACTTCAAAAGAATGATAAAGATGCCTACAACGCAGGTGTTTCTACTGTTCAAAACTTAAAATTTCACGTCGATAATTTTCAGATTTCAAAATAATGTAATATTTTCTCAATATTGATTCGTCCTTTCGTCTGTTACAGAAAAAAATACTGTATTATACACGGGAAAAATATTAGATTTTAGCTCACGGTTTTTTGTCTCCCTTCGCTACGCGTCGGGAGACAACACAACCTGGAGCTAAAATCTACTACTTTTTTCCCTTGTATAATAAATAACTATTTTTATCAATGTAACCATGCGGAATAGCTGCATCTTTAGGTGATTTTCAAACCAATATTTTTTTTCATTATAGAAAATATGGCGAAGTTACAACTTGAACGTTTCTTATAACACTTAAAAATAAGCTTTTCGAGAAATTTCAGGAGATTCTGTTGACATTTATTTTTCATTTTTAACTTGGTGTTTTTTTCAGAATACGCTGGAAAAGTGTTGCGTTTGCCAGAACCCGATTCTGGACAGGATTTTGAGAGCCACCGGCAAACCCTATCATCCTAAGTGTTTCTGTTGCGTAGTATGCGGTAAAAGTCTAGACGGTATACCGTTTACTGTCGATGCCACGAACAGGGTGCATTGTATCGAAGATTTCCACAAGTAAGCAAACATTTCCTCCTCAAAAATGATCTTATTAAACAGTGATACATTCTCAAGGTGAACTTTGGTTTCAAACAGGGGTGTTTTCATATTTTTTTAGGATTTTTGCACCTAGATGTTGGGTTTGTAAACAACCTATAATGCCTGAACCTGGCGAGGAAGAAACTGTAAGGGTGGTGGCACTGGACCATAGCTTCCACATTCAGTGTTACAAGTGTGAGGTATGTGGAAATCTTTCCTTTTTCTCTTTATATTTCAGTGAGCTAAGAATCCGCAGAAAATTCACCCTAAACTCGTGATGTGAATCTGAATAGGCTGCTAAAAATCTGCGGGAGTTGAAATAACTGATGATTTTATTATTCATTTTAAAATCACTAAGGCTGCATGAAACAAAGTGAATTTGTGGCGAAAATCACTGCAAGCAACAAACTTTCCCACCATTTGTTGGAAGAAAAGCTGTTGAATGAATAATTAATTTTCAGAATATAATTCAGCTTGCTAAATGTTTATTGAAAAAATGTGCTCGAAAGCACTAAGTCAACGGGCAAATGCAGGAAAATTATGGATTTATTCGCAAAAATCATTCAAAGAATTTTTCTAAATTCTTGATGTGGATTAGTAGAAAACATAATTTGGGCATATTTAGGCCGCTAGTTTCTGTTGAAAAATCTAGTGGAAAAATCGTCTCACACCATTTGGTGACTTAAAAAGCTGCTGATTATCCACTGATAACAAAATAAATGAAAACCTGAAAAAAACATTGAAATAGCAAATCACTAACGGCCTTAACAGTATCTGTCTCCACAGCACAGTTATGTGTATAAACGAGTAGTACTGCGATTATAAGCTATTGTGAATCTGGCTTGTCAATCTTGATTAATCTTCTTATTGACTTTGACAAACAGTTTCAACATTCAAACTATTTTTGTCAGTAACGCGCAAATGTGTAGTTGAGCTACTTTTTAATGAAATCTGGAACATCATAGGCAGATTACAACCATACAAACCTTGTACGACCTGTTTATGCACACAACTGTAAAAAAAAAAAAAAAAAAAAAAAAAAAAAAAAGTAGGTTGAGTAGGGATTTGAACCTGGAACCTTTCCATTTAAAGGCAATCACTTGACCATCGAAGTTGTTGCGAAAATACTACAAAACTTATTTCATAAACGGTCACCGAGGTGTCAACGTTATGCACATGCGGAAGTCCCAAAGCAAAGTGGAATTCGTGTCGCTAGCCGCTTTAGTTGGAACAACTGACGATGTAAAAGCGAGTCAAAGAATATACAGGGTCGCTGATATCTATGGAAACAGATGAATATCTCGGTAACCTGTTGTTAGATTGTTTTGAATTTATGTACAGTGTGATTTCAAAACGTGGCGGATTTGAAAATGTTTTAGCCAATGTTGCCACTTTTTCAAGTACTCTATTAGAATTTTCAGATTCTCCTTGAAGAGCTGATTCCATCGATCTATCACACTTGAGGTCTAGTGGGAATGATTACATTGTGTGTTACATACATTACATAGGGTGTTTAAAATCTAGATTTTTCAACTTCAGGATTTTTTTTCTGTCAAAACTATCCATTATCGATCAAAACCGCTCCAATGTTCCATCTTCACTTTCGATTTAAAATCTACTGACATTGGAACAGATACAGAGGGTGATCAGAATTCTGAATCGATCTGAATCTTGAACCACCCTGTATTTGTTTCAATTAAATGTCAGTAGAAAACATTGGAGCGCTATTGATCTATAATGAATAGTTTTGACACAAAAAAACCTGAAGTTGAAAAATCTAGATATTGAACACCCTATATCTCTGTAATCATTTCTGCTAGACCCCAAGTGTGCTAGATCGATGGAATCAGCTCTCCAAGGAAAATATAAAAATCCAATAAAATACTGGGTGTTCCATTCAAAATAAGGAAGTTAATGAAAAATCCGGAATAACTGAAAAAGTGGCAACATTGGCTATAACATTTTCAAATCCGCCACGTTTTGAAATCACGCAGTAGATAAATTCAAAAAAATCCAACAACAGGTTAACAAGATATTCACCCGTTTCCATACATCAGCGACTCTGTATATCTACGTAATCCGTTAGGAAACGCATCATTTTGTGTGACGAAGGGAAAACACAGAGTTACATATCAAATATCATCAATTTATTATTGTTATTATTGTTATTATTTTCCAGGATTGTGGTTTGGTGCTCTCTTCTGAAGCCGAAGGCCGTGGCTGTTATCCTCTTGACGGTCACGTGCTCTGCAAAAGCTGCAACGCTAAAAGAGTTCAAGCTCTGACGAGTCACATGACCACGGAGCTGTGAGATCATTCCATTTAGTAGTAGATTTTCAATTATACAACGACGATACCCAATCAGTCGGGATTCGAAACATTTTTACGTCTTATATAATTATTTGAAGGGTGGCTATTTATTGTTGGAGAATTGACTTTTACAGGAGGTTTAAAAATATTATTGTAACTATTTAGATATGTCTCGGAAAGTTTCTTGACGAATAATTTCCCTCATATATAAAATGTCTCACGAGAGCAATGCATTTATAGAAAAATTACAGCGGTAATTGCCCTGCAGAGCGAAGATTGCACTGCGAAAACATTCCGTCACTATAACAACACATTTGAAACCGTGTCGCTAGAAGCCAGTAAACATTACCAATAAATGTCAGATAGACTTTAATTATTGAGAAAAATGTCGTGTTTTAGTGAGTGCTCCATACAAAAAACAACATTTCTTTGAGAATGTTCTTATTCGTGAAATATTCCAATGAATTACATTCGTGCATAAAAATTACCACTTGACCAGATAATTTTGCATTCAAGTGTATTATTCCAGACTCTGGCTCTTTCGCCAAAATATGAAAATAAATATGCAATTTTTAGATAATACGCTTTCTTGCAAATTTATCGGTAATTTTCATGCACTTTTGCAATTATAACCGATAATTTATTTGTTGGTTCATTTGGATTCAGCCGTGCAAAAGAAATTCAAGATTTTGAATGTTATAAATGAGGTTGTTGAAATTTCCATCCAGAATTTCAAATGAGAAGGAATGAAACGATAGCACACTTGCAAATGTTGGAAAATTTACTTTGATCTAATGAATTATTTAAAATCCATCCTATGATGAGAAATTCGTGTGATAGGGATTATTCGTTTTGAGTCAATTTTTAAATTCGTTTTTATTTTATAAATCCATCAATTATTATTGAAGGCTTGACTAATTTATAATGTTCCATAGATTACCATACATAGATGTTTTATATTTTTTGGTTTAGTAGTGTTTTTAGGGTTGCTTTGCTTTTTTTATGAAATATATTGAAAACGCTCATTCATTGATGAATGTATATTCTTTATATATTTTATTATCATCGCTTTTTGTTACTTCTATAGATTTTTATAGTTTGTATAATTACTTTTATAGAAAAAATCTGGTCAAAATATGCAATGTGATTTGTTGGATTTAAGAAAATTTATTTGTGCCAATGAACAAAGGTAGTATGAAATAAAGTTTAAATGAAATAAATTGAAGATTTTTTCATGATTCACTCCCCCCACAAATTTAATAACCCTAACAGGTTAAATATTTATGATGGTGAATTATTCATGCAGGACTAGTCTTAACTCAAGAATAATGGGTGGTAATTGGTCATTTTTATATATTAGGATCCACCAATCACCTTCTCTAATTCTTAAGCTGAGACTGATAAGACTAAGAGTTAGGTCGTGCATTATGAATTCACCATTAAGATTGGGTGCCGATTAAAATTTCAGGAATCAATTTTTAATTCACCAATCACTCCTAATTCTTGAGTTAGGATCAAATAGGCCTTTTAGATGACAAATTACTATCTATTTACATCTCGCATCCAACGACAGTGGCGGCCATTTTCTCCGAAACACTTACACCACAGTACCACACTCCTCAGTAACGAATAAGTAACGTTTTTTGGAATTAAATTATTATGATACAATTAATACACACCAGGAATATGAAAACGAAAATACTATGTTGTTATTGTTGTTTCTCAATGACGAATGTCTATGGTGGTTGAAACTGTTGACATTTGACAGAACGCCAATAATACCCGCCATATTCGAAATGACCAATCAGCATTTTGTGTTGGAACTATAGCCAATGAGACACCTTCGCATTACCCAATACATTTTTGGATCTAAAAACGAGCGCATGCGTCTTAAAAATATGTCTGTCTAGATGAAAAGGCCTATTATTGGGGTAACGCATGAATTAACCAAAGTCACACAAGAAACAATTCAATTTGACTACCTATATACCATCATGTATACACCTATACTAAAGGTGGTTTCGGTTTCAAAAAAACATTCATTATCACTAGGTACCTACCTACATTATAAATTAAAAATGATAGAGCATTTAAAAACAATATGATGTTCATAAAGGTCTGTGTAGGTACATTTATATTACACTAAAAGCCACTAACAAGTTGGGCTAGTTATATCTTGTCTAGTTATAATGTAATGGTAATGTAATAATTATAATGAATGTTTTATGAAACCATCTTTAGGTCTTTGAAAATGTCCCTATTCACAAGAACAAAACATCTTTAAATGCTATTTAAGTTTTATCTTAGTACTTTCGCCAGTGTTGTGGTCTGGCAACACTAATAACCAGCTGATAACTCAATTATTCATGTATTATTTTATCTATTTTTTAATTATTTTTTTATGGTTCATATCATTATGATAGAACCTGTCTAAATACATTCACCAGGCAACTTAGTTGACTGTATACTAAATTCAAAAATACTAATAATACTTTGTCAATTATATAGTTGAAAACACAGATCACGTGAAAGAAGTATGCATAACTACTAATTGAACTTGAGTGGATCTTTCGCATATGAACATTCCAATATCTCTAGCACAGAATACCTAGGGTTTCATAATTTTTATATTTGTACGGCAGCTGGGCAGTTAGACAGTTCCAATCAAAATTAGAATTTTATTAGAACTAATATACACTGACGTGGTTCTGTCGGCGCTCTTCTATCCATCTTGGTAGGCGCCTAATAATCATATCTCAGTGTTGCCAGCTGCTTTTGCTTTCCCTCTATTTTAAACAGGATTAAGCAAAAGTCCGCGATAGTGGAAATAGGCCAATACCTATCTTTTTTTTTTTAAATACATGATCAATCTTCAACTCGAAAATAACTCTTGCTATTGTTCCCACATTCTCCGTTCTTCTGAAATTCACACCAACTTCTGTAAATCTTATTGTATATCGCTTATTGTGAAGGTTTTGACATTGTTCACTTTGAATTTCGAATGAAAATGGGACATAGATAAGAGTATGTACCTATATAGCATAGACCTATTAAAATAAGTATTTACTTTCAATAGGTCTATGACCTATATATAGGTACCTAATATATACGTATCACGTATCTGACGGAGAAATCGTACCTATCGTGTCTAAATAAGTATATTATCCACCAGATCTGGTGAAATTAACATCGCAAGGGGTCAGAAAACCAAGAACTACAAAAGAAGACGAATAAAGCTTCTTCAGAGCCAGGAAAAGTTTTTCGTCCATATATTTTCAAAATCTGCGAATAACTGGCATTGAAAATCTCTAACCGAATTTGGAATGATGAATAATAATAAGAGTTTCCATTCAAAATAGAAAAAGTTGATGAATGTGGAGAGGTATATAAAATGTGTCACAATGGCAAAATGTCATTCTTGAATTACAACCTAATATATAGGTCTTGAAATGAATAATATACAGTGAAGTGCACAAAATCAACTAGTGTTGCAACTTCTATATTATATAAATCATATTCGAGATCGGGTTCTGAAATTTGTTGAGTAGCAAGTAAGTATACCAAATTGCTCATTTATGGACAAAACAATTTTTGTTCTATCACTTCCGATTCAACTAGGAACAACCCGAACTTTTGATTTTTAATCATGCATCCTGTATATATGTTCATATTCGGAATCAGGAGCTCGTTTTACACACACTAGAAACTTCTTTTGATCAATGTCTAAATATAAAGGGTGTTCTATTTGAAAATCAAAAGTTGGGGTTCCTTATCCGGTTGAACCGGAAGTGATAAAATAAAATATCTCCTGTCAATAATAAGTAATTATAGACCGCTTTGACAGTTTTCAAAATCTCCGATAGGTGGCGTACGCTTTTTTTCTATCGCGATCAATGTTTCTATTTCTTATCAATATCAACAATCTGATAACTCCATTCTATTTGTCGTTATTTCATTACCTATATTATCTGATCATTTAATTTGATAAAAGTATGAATACTTATTGCCAACAACTTATTGATTTTCCGCAATATACGGATTCCTTGAAGATCCGGCAATGGCAACACCGACTAGGCCATAGAAAAGAAAAAAAAATCGGTAAAGAGATAAAAAATGGAGGGTGGATTTGGTGCAGAACTCTAGGTGAAGTGAAGAATCTTAATACATTAAAAAAATGTGTCTACATGTCATGATAATGGGTTCAATCAAATCTCTTCCATCCAATTTCAAGGTAAGTGCTATATGACGATGATTGCCTTGAAAAGATTTAGGTTATAATATTTTATCGTTATCGCAAGGGTGTCTATGAGGGTGTTATCACTGTTAATTGAAGTGATAATTAAAGATGCAACGTTCCTAATTAATTTAACCAGAATTTTTGTTTACGCCTATGTCCATGCATGGTCTAAGTCCAACACTGATTTGAACAGTCAATAAATAAATAAATTTAAAAACGATGGTCTTCATAGCAATAATAACTTCATATTTAATTTATATTTAATTTTAACTTATCTCAAGAGTTCAAGCATTCTTTTCACTATGATGCGATCAAGAATCTCATTTAACTTATATTTAATTTAGTCCATTTCTTAGGTGAAATAGAGCTGATAAATAAAATTAAATATGAAAATGTCATTAATGGTACAAAGATGTACAGAGTATAGTTAAGATCAATCAACGGTATAGTATCATGTGTCGTTTCACCAACTTAAATAATTACCCATTAAATATAAATTTCAATTTTAGTCGGAGCCCGGCTGTATTCGTCCTATCCGCGTTAATTGTCATTTTTCGTTTGCCTCATTAATTTATCGGTTGTATTTGTTGATTTCGCTTATTAGGTATGTGCTCAGTAGTTTGGGTTTCTCCGTACTGTAAACATTGTGATCAGCGTTGCCAGCCCAGCGACTCAAATGTACTAAAAAATCACCGAAAAAAGTACTACTTTTTCGTGAAAACTACTAGTTTGGATTTTCATTCAAGGCTTATTAGGTATGTGCCATGTGCTCAGCATATGCTCAGTAGTTTGGGATTCTCCTTACTGTGTGATCAGCGTTGCCAGCCCATCAACTCAAAATGTACTAAAAAATCACCGGAGAAAGTACTACTTTTTCGAGAACACAACTAGTTTGGATTTTCATGCAAACATCCTACTATTGGGTAAGGAGGGGTGGGAGGGGGAGGGGAATATACAAGTAACACTTATTTACTGAATATTGTGATTATCTCATTATTCTCATTTCTCATTATAGTCAAAACACTTCAAAACAGTGAATCGTCATCATTTTTATTCATAATCTAGGGTTGCCATCTCTAAAATATGAAAACCAGGCCAAGGTTTCTTGAAAATCTGGACAAAATCCGGATTGCGGGAATTTGGAAACCTTGAATATTTTTTTGTACTTAATTCCAAAAATACAGGGTGTATCTAACTCAACACCGAAAAAATTCAAGGTGTTATTCCTTGTGATATTTTAGGAAATAAAGTTCATATAAACATGTATCCTAACTTGCTTGCTTGCTTCCTTTTCGAGATACAGGGTATTATTAATATTTCCATGAACAATCTTTCTTCTATTCATTTCTCAATTGTCTTTTCTACAATTTCAATAAAATGTTGTGGTTTTGTTGATAGTAATATGTGAGATGTTTATAATTCCTATGGTGTAATCACTTAGTACTGGGCAGGCGTTTTGATTTTTCTCGATATCGCCTACTTTGAAGTAGCGAGGCGTGGATGATCTTGCTAAATTTCCATGTTTTAAACCAAATTTACAGTTCATGGATTTCCAGGCAGAATGTCATCGTTGACTCGTTGAGGTTATGTTTTATGTTGAATTTTTGTTTACAATTTCGATATTTCAAGTCTACACGTGGAAAACGTACTAGACATAGTGAAGAGGTAGATCTAGTTCGAAAGTACTAGGTTTGGCAACGCTGATTGTGATGAGTATTCGTAAAACATAACATTCGATATCAAATTGCCGCGTGAAATAATATTGCACCATCACAATCTGCACCCACTATACTCACCTTAATATATCGATTATTCTCCTTCAACAGCTTTTGTTGAGGCCGGTATTGGCTTCTTTGGGTACCGGTAGTGGAGAGGTGAGAAAGAAATGATTTTCTGAAAATTCGGAACCTTTTTCGAATATCCTATAAATTACTAATCATGGCTGAAGACAACGTGTATACTAGTGACCTCTCCTATCCCAAGGAAGAGAAAAAGTGTCTCGTCTACAGAATTTTTGGTAAGTATAGGTATATTGGATAATAAAAATTGGTCCAGAAAAGATGAACTATTTTGGCAATTTCTGGAAATTATTTCATAGGTATACAGGGTGTATCTAAATAACACCTAAAAAATCAACGGGTGATATTTTAGGAAATATAGTTCATATAAACATTTGTCCTAAATTGCTTCGTTTTCGAGATACAGGGTATCAATATTTCCATGAAAAATCGTTTTTTTTATTCATTGCTCAATTTTCTGGTAATTTTGCACTTATCATGCGATGGGTTTTTTTTCGAAAATTTTTTTTGGTACCTACGTATTTTTGTCTGAAAAACACGAATTTGATAATGAAAATGTGAACAAACCACTATTTATCGAGATATTTCAAGAAAAAATTCGAAATTTTGTCTTCTTTTCCCCCTTGTGTTGGATGCATTTACAGGTACTTGCTCTTTTTATTTTGTCATTGGACACTTTATATACTCATGATGTACTTCAATGACACATTTTAAGGTAGGAAATTCAACAGGAAATATGATTTTTATGGCGAGTTTTTCCTATTTAGTGAGCAAGCATACCAGATGACGGCCATTTAATCCATAGGCAATCCAAATACAAGATGTCAAATGTCAAATAGATTGTCTTGGAATGACATTACACACGCCATTATTTCAAATGATCCTTCTTTTCACTAAACATGGATAAATCACAAAAAATCATATTTCTAGTTGACTCATACAATAAAAAAAATGTGTCTAACATTGTGTGATATATATAAATTGTCCAATGATGGAAAAAGAAGGGCAAATTGTTCTAAATGCGATCCGGAAGACAGGCGGAAAAGAAGGCGGAATTTGTAACTTTATAGTGAAATATCTCAATAAATACTGGTTTGTTCACATTTTCATTATCAAATTCGTGTTTTTCAGACAAAAATACGTTAGTACCAAAAAAAAATTTCGAAAAAAAACCCATCGCATGATAAGTGCAAAATTAACAATTTTCTTCCCATCAATTTCAATAAAACCTTAATATTATTATGGAGCTCCTTCTGGTGCAATATTAGATTCGAAATAATATTTCCAGTGACGTCACAGTGGCAAGTTCATCGATATTTATGGTGAATATCATTGTACGCCACCGGTTTTTTTGAGTTTCATATTTTTATTAGATTGAACTATTGAAATAACAATTTTTTTATCCTTTGTGTAATTTTGGTATCTAGCTTAATTTTTGAGGAAACAATTAAAATTCGATTTGACTCCAAATTTTAATGTTCACGTGTTTTCAAGACTTCCATTGAGATAACTCAATAACCCAAATTAGAATCTTTTTGAAATTTTGGGGCTTTCTCAGTCTCCAATCATACTGAATTTTGGCACCATGAAAGCTTATACAGGAGGGTTATAAATAAAAACAATTGATACTTCAAACTTCAACATCCTTCAACACATGTTTATATGAATTTTATTTGCTTGAATATAACAAGTAATCACTCCTTGAATGTTTTCGGTGTTATTTAGATACACCCTGTATATTTAAGGCATTACTTAGGTGGGTAGGTTTTTCATCGAATTAGCTTGCATTTTTTTGAATTTGTAGTTTTTTTCCTAATTGGATTGACTCTTATTGTTTTCCTCGTATTTTTCCATACCTACCTAGAACCCCAATAACTCAGTGGATTAACCTTGTGTAAGGAGGTCACTGTTATTTCAAATCTAAATTTCATAATTTGTACCTGCATATTGAGGCATCTTTTGGACCTATTGTTAAGTCATTTAGGTTTTGTATTGAAACAATTGATACCACTCAGTAGGTTTTTTATAGTTTTTTTAAATAGAGCAACTAGAAATGCAACATTTTTGGTTCCTGAGTTCTTCTTATCTCGCAAAATAAATGAAATCCAAGTGTATTTAGATCTATGGTTCATAGGAAGTTATTAAAAATATTACAAGAAATCACCCCTTACATTACTTGAAAACTTTGGGACAAGTAATTATGAATAGATATAAAAAATAGTCATATCTATCTTCTGAATCATTTGTGATCGGATTCTTAAAATTGGCGGGGAGCAAGTACAGGGTGATTCACCATAAATGTCCCCCCCCCTCCAACTCACTAATTTTTGAACCGATTTAAAAATTTGAAGAATAATCTAAAATGATTTTTCAGAATTTTTTTCCCGTTGCATCAGAAAATACAGGGTGCTCGGATCAAACGATCTACAGAGTACTACTTGATTTTTTTCAAATGGAACACCCTGTATTCCATTGTATTTTTAGATTCTTCCTGAAGAGCTGATTTCATCAATACATCACACTTGGGGTATAGCGGGAATGATTACAGAGATATAGTGTGTTCAAAATCGAGATTTTTCAACTTTAGGATTTTTTGTGTCGAAACTATTCATTATTGGTCAAAACGGCTTCTATGTCCCCATCTCAACTTTTGATTAACTATCTACTGACATTTAATTGGGACATTTACAGGATGGTTCAAGATTCAGAATTCTAATCACTCTGTATCTCTTCCAATCATTAAATGTCAGTAGATAGTAAATCTACAGTTAAGATACGGACATGAGAGCCGTTTTGACCGATAATGAATAGTTTCTTCACAAAAAAATCCTAAAGTTGAAAAATCTCGATTTTGAACACCCTATATCTCTGTAATCATTCCCGCTAGACCCCAAGTGTGATGCATTGATCAAATCAGCTCTTCAGTTTGTTCCGAGCACCCTGTATTTTCTGATGTAGCGAAAAAAAACTTTATTGAAAATCATTTAAGATAATATTTCAAATTTTGAAATCGGTTCAAAAATAACTGAGCTAGAGGGGGGGACCTTTATGGTGAATCACCCTGTACATCAAATTGCTCATTTAATTGACAAAACAATTTTAGCTCAATAACTCCCTATGGATTCTATTCCATAATCCATTGAGGATTATTATGACGAATTCAACGTACCAGATGTCATAGGGTTATTTCAAATGATCTTCGAAATTTCCAAATTGCTCAATGGGTGTAACTTCGAAATTTTGAAACATCTTCCTCAGTCACACTCATTAGCAAATGAAAACTCAGAACGCGAATATCTTCGTAATATGAAATAACCCTATCACACCGGGTATCGATGATTTCGTTATAGGAATCCCCCTAACCGATTATGGAATAAAATACAGAGTGAAACCGGAAGTGAAATTGTTTTGTCATTTATAGATTCAGAAGTTATTGCAATGGCCGTTTTTTGGGAATTTTGTGTACTATAAGTATATTTTAGCAGACCCTGGATTTCCTTCCTATATCAAGGAAAGTTCAGTCAATAGTATATTCAGGTGATAAGGTATCTCCTCGGGTATATATTATCTTTCTGGTTGATTAGTTATTCAAAAAATAATGTACAGGGCCGGAGGTATGCAGATTGAGGCGAGCATTGAAAACATTGAATTCAGAAACATTATAACGATATAATCTGTTCAATTTCCAAGTATATGAGTAGCTATTCGAAGATATTCCAACAAATAGTTGTTTATGTTGCAAGAGCGTAAAAGTAGGCTTTTATGCGATCGAAATACATACTTAGAACATTTTCACTACTTTCAATCTGGAATTTAATCATGATTTTGATTTGGCCAAATTTTGTATGCCACTGGCGAAGGAAGATCGAATGGTAGATTACTTGAAATTACTGGAAAAACAGTGAAATTACTTCACCGCCCGTTACTACTTTATCGTCCTAGCAAAATATCGAGAATTTGCCCGTTTCGCGGGATCGCAGTAGGCTGGATTTAACCCTTGAATTCACATGCCATCAGAATCAACGTTAACACCCATGCGGGGTCCTTTAGAGACCCCAGCTAAATATATGATTTCCAATTAGTTTAATTAGGTTTCTCAATTAAATAAATCTAGGGAGAAACAAAATGATACTTTAGATATTACATGAAACTTTATTCTAGAAAATGAAATAAAAAATACACATTTCCGGTACCGAAACAGTCTTCTCCAGAAGTATCACTTTGATAGTCAGCTTCAGAATCAAAAAATCGATTAATCTCATGAAAATACACGAAGAAAAGTTTTTGAAATTTTTCCCTAGCCCTCCTGGGGATCACTTTACTAGGATATTTTTTCACAAATTCGTGTGAACTGGGTATTTTTGCGAGTCAAATCATCTTAATTTTCTCAAAAATCGATTCATCTCAGAAAAAGTACTCCCCTTCGATCGATGTTGAAAAACATTAAATATATACTCTATTGATCATTCTAGAACACGTGATTTTGACATGGTTTCTTGAGGGGCACACAAACTATCTATTAGGTTACCTTTGATGAGCATTGCCCTGGCCGTCCCAGCCGAGGTCCCAGCCACATCCACAATATTATAACAGTTTCACCAAACAAAATTATGAACTTCTTTCTGGTTCTAACTCGGATTCCAAGGAAAACTGTTATTTGACAGATCTTGACAAAATACAATGTTTGCCCCTCAGCAACCTGTCAAATGACGTAATTCTGGAATGATTAATAGGAAGAAGGTTAATTCAGGCCGAGCAAGGTTGGATTGTTTAGAAAAAGTAGTCTTCTTCAATCGATCGATCGACGTTGAAAAATATCAAAAATATAATATATTGTATCTTAACGCTAAGCAATGTGCCATCTGACGGCATATATCACGTGATCATCAAGTGTGATTATTTGGTAGTAGTATTGAAGATTATTCGCGAGATTCACGAAGTGGGCGACATCTAGGTTACATAATACGAACTTCAAACTGGGGGAAAACAAACTGTTGTCTATGGATAAAGTGCATAGACTACATTGCATTCAGCTAGCTGTAGCTGTAGTCAATTGTGTGACTGGTTATTTGTTCATACAACCGAATATGGTAGAAATCCCAATAGGAAAAAGGTTAATTTAGGCCGAGTAAGGTTAGATTGTTTAGAAAGAGTAGTCTCCTCAAATCGATCGATCGATGTTGAAATTTATACTTTATAGGAAGAAGGCTAATTTAGG